TTTATGTACGTGTTTGCTTGGTACATTTATTATATAGATAAGACCTTTAAATTTTTACTTTCACAGCATACACAAAACTTTTTTTAAAACACTATTTCTCTCTCCCCTCAGCATCCCAACATTTTCAATGGTTTCTGATGCCAAGGGCACTTCACCAGAAGGCTTCGGTGAGGACCAACTCGAGCTTCAACTGACTGCTGTCGTCGTGCCTTAGAAGTTGAAAGAAGCAGGTATGTATTAAAATGGTGCAATATCTTTCCATCCTCCTGAAGAAAGCCAAGGAACATGTCAGTTACTCAAAGGAATAACTGCAACCACGCAGGAATGTCAAACCTTTCGGACTGCCCCTTCCAGGCCCACCCAGCTCAGAGGGTCATATGGGTATTTCTGTCGATCCACGTGCTGAACAGGACTTGGTAATAAGAAGCAAACATGCTACTTTGGGATGACTTCATTTCTTCCATTAACCAAGATCTTGAGATACAAGCTCCAGATGGATATAGTTATGTACGTGTTTGCTTGGTACATTTATGAACATTTAATTTATATATATATATGACAGGTTGAGGTGTTGCTGGAGGCCTTCTACAAGATCACCCAGGGCCCTACAGTGGAGGGCAGAAAAGTAGACGTCTGCACTTTCTCCACCTTACCATCGCCTGGAGAAAGTGGTTGAGTACCTCCTCCAATTTCCTATTGAGTATGGCGCACTCATGGGACGCGGGTGGCGCTGTGGGTAAAAGCCTCAGCGCCTAGGGCTTGCCGATTGAAAGGTCGGCGGTTCGAATCCCCGCGGCGGGGTGCGCTCCCGCTGCTCGGTCCCAGCGCCTGCCAACCTAGCAGTTCGAAAGCACCCCCAGGTGCAAGTAGATAAATAGGGACCGCTTACCAGCGGGAAGGTAAACGGCGTTCCGTGTGCTGCGCTGGCTCGCCAGATGCAGCTTTGTCACGCTGGCCACATGACCCGGAAGTGTCTCTGGACAGCGCTGGCCCCCGGCCTCTTAAGTGAGATGGGCGCACAACCCCAGAGTCTGTCAAGACTGGCCCGTACAGGCAGGGGTACCTTTACCTTTACCTTTATGGGGCACTCAAAATTCTACTGGACTAAGAGATGTTGGGAATCTGTGGGGTACACAAAGGAAGGGATGCAGAGGAAGACAGAGGAAGAATACGTTTAACAAAGCCCAAAGCTTGAGATGTCTGCAGGCAAGTCATGTCTCGTTGGGGCCAAGCTGACTTTCTTCGCCCAGAGCTGCAGCAAATGATCCAGACGTCCTTCATCCCTGGCTGATGGAGCAGGAGAGAGCAGGCTTTACTTCAGCCCTGCAGTCCCAGAGCAAGTGCTGACTGAGCCCCTTTTTCTATTGGCAAGGATGGAGACAAACAAGCACAATCTTCTTATTATCTATTTCATGTATGAATCGCTTCCTACGAAGATTCTTGTAGGCATTACACAGTACAATAAAAAGAACATTCTGAAATACAGGTCAGTTTCTGAGGTGGTTGTAAGGAATTCCTTGTTTTTAAGCTCTTCAGGCGCCATGCTTCTGTTGTAAACAAAATCTGCCCATTTCCCCTTATGGGGTATCCAAGAGCCCGTATAGAGTCCTTACATGGGTTCCCTATTGGTAGGAGAAATAACAGAGGCCAACCAGAGAATATTGAGAAGCAAAGTGGCTAGTAAGCCTGATCTTTATTAAAGCTGTTGCAACAGGGTGCTCCCCTCACACGCAGGAGGACGGAGGAGGACCCAGAACAAAGGTGTGCTTGCCATTATATAGACATTTTAAATTCCCTCCCCTGGAGCTCAAGACCACCCCCCACAAACATCATACCTACATCACAGAAAAGGTGGTCTACAACAGAAATTTGAGTGCTGTTGTTTTTCCTGTCTGCCAGGTTATCTGATAATGCCCCATCTGATTGCTTTCCTAGTAGTCTGCCCATTCCTTTGAAATGGTGATTACAAAATTCCTGTAACAAGGAAGGTTTTTTTCCACCTCCTTAGAGAAATATTCGGTCAGCTTGGGAGTCAAAATGCTTTCAGGACTGTCTTCCTGTACTGCTTCAAACATGTGGCTTATATATTTATGTACTTGTTTGCTTGGTACATTTATGAACATTTATTATATATCTAAGACCTTAAAATTCTTATAACACTTCCTCAGCAAAGGTGTAAACCTCAGGGGGTCTGTGGGGCTCAGATACCCTGGGGTGGGGGGACATCTGGGCTCCATGGGCCACAGACACTGCCAGGCAAATGGACAGGCTCACCTGATGGGCTTGGTTGCAACAGCATTTTAGTGAGGGTTCTATGTTTGTTTGTGTGTGAGAGCCATAGCTGTCAACTTACAGATTTGAAAATAAGGGACCAGCAGCCAAAATAAGGGACCTGGAGCCTTGCCTGTTCCAGGCACTCCAGTCTTCCTGTCCTCCTGCAGTCTGGTCAAACTCATGCTGGTAGCTTCGAGAACACTGTCCAACCAACTTTGTAACCAGAGGTTCAACTGAATAGAATCCGACTCACATGCACCACAAGGCCTGTGCAGCCTCAACTTAAGAATGGCGTCCAGCATTCAAAACCCCCCTCAGCTTGCATTAACTAGCCACACACACACAGCCTCCCCCCCCACAAGATCTCCATTCCTTTCCCCCCACCATGTGCCCCCGCTCCAGACAGACCTTTTCGCCGGCAAGGGTGAGTGGGCCGTCGATGACGTATCCATCCGATTCCGATCCGAGCACTCAGCACAGGTATGTTCAACTTCTGAGCCCCTCTGAGCCAAAGGCAGAAAGCCCAGCCAGCAGCCAAACGAAGCCTCAAGGAAAACCACCATCACCTCTCCGCTGGGAAGCACTGAGCAAAGGCGAGTCCCCAGGCAACGCGGCCGATTTGATCGGCACAAGCTCCACCCCCCAGTCGTTCTTAGATTTCTTATTGGGTGAGCAACGCAGCCAAGCAACACAGTTGGAGCATCCCTCCTGCCAGCAGGGAGGGAGGGAGAGGAGCTGCTTCCTTTGAAATTTAAGGGACATCATTTAAGGGACATACATCAATAAGGGACAGCAGCGGGACATGGCGTTGGAATAAGGGACTGTCCCTTCAAATAAGGGACACTTGACAGCTATGGTGAGAGCATTTTGAAAATTTATAGCCTACCTCAAAGGGGCTATTGCCACCACAAAGTGCCTTGATCCTGAAACACCACCCACTTTTCTGGAGCGACAGACTGCAAGGCTGCGAGGATGTCTGAACTAGTCTGACTCTAATATAAATACCATCTTGAACATATTTTACAGGGACAATAATCATCTTGTCATAGTTGCGGGGGGCAGCGTCACCATGAAAAAGAACAACCAGGAGTTTGTGGGACTTTAAATGACTGTTTTTATTAGGGTGGAAGCTTCTGTAGGCCAAAGGCTACTTCCTGACATATCCTGAGGTTTGTAAGGACAACACTGAGGAAGAGGAGCTGACGGTCATACCACTCCGTAGCTCTGTGAGGGAAAAGGGTCTGCCAATAACTTTCAGCATCCTTAAAAAAGGCCTGTACATAGTATTATTTGAGGGAACTCCATGACAATGAGGTATTGAATATAGTGCAGATGAGACTTCTGCTGTGTAATTCCTGGGTGATAGGGCAGGGTGATATATCTATATATCGTCCAAAACCGAAGTCCATTTTGTGATACCGGTTTCATAATTTTTGACCTGGCATTATAGCATGAATCAGTGTGTGTGTGTGTGTGTGTGTGTGTGTATGTACTATGCAAAAATCAAAATGTGGGGAAAACCATGAAGCCAGCCAATTCCTCTACACAGCTCCATCCTTATTTCAAACGTGATATATCAGTATATTATGACGTTGTCGTGCCTGCAGGTCCCAGGTTCAATCCCTGGCTGCTCTGCCGAGGGTTGGGCAAGATCCCTGCCCAATATCCTGGCCAGCCAGTTAGCATAGACAATATTGAATGAGATGGACCAGAATTCTGGCTCATAGAATCACAGCTTGATGCACTGCTCCTGCCAACCTAGCAGTTCGAAAGCACATCGAAGTGCAAGTAGATAAATAGGTTCTGCTCCAGCGGGAGGTAAACGGTGTTTCCGTGCGCTGCTCTGGTTCGCCAGAAGTGGCTTAGTCATGCTGGCCACATGACCTGGAAGCTGTGCACCGGCTCCCTCAGCCAATAAAGCGCGATGAGCACCGCAACCCCAGAGGCGACAACGACTGGACCTAATGGTCAGGGGTCCCTTTACCTTTATGTATTCAATAATTATTAACATTAATATGTAATAAACACAACCATATTTGCAAGTAAGCAATACAGTTCTACCAGCTACTGATCCTTACCCCATGATTTTAGTTACTTTATAGTGTAATGCTAGCCATGTCTCTTCAAAAATCATTTCCATTAAGTTCTATTGGTAAGAACTGGAGCCTTTGTCGAGCCTTTTCAGAGTCCCATCTTAGGCTTTAAAGGCTGCAAACTTATGCATAATCGGCCAGGAATAAGCTGCACTGCACTCAGCGGGGGACAAAAATAGGAACGTGCTGTCAAGTCACTAGTCCGTACGTAAAGCGTCTTGTACTTGGCGCATGCGCACAACGCCATCGAGAGCGAAACTCGCTGACTCACGTTTCTGCGCATGCGTCCTTCCCAGGCGCCAGGAAAGCAAAGAGCTAAGAGAAAGCATGTGAATGACCGCGCCTACAGTCACTACCGGTATTCGTTCGGTCAACTTGGAAACCATGCTGTGTTAGATTTGCTCCTCGGAAATAGGAGGAGGGATGTGAAGCAGCTCTAGCGGCTCGGCAATCTCTACAAACAACCCCCACATACTTTGCCTCGGCTGTCAGAAAGCAGAGAACTTCCGTGGGACCTTCTGGCCACTTAGCATCGAAAAGAACGGAAGTTTATTCGAAACACGCTGCTACGCCTATCTCTAAGGCGAAGCAGCGTCTCTAAGCGGGGATTGGTCTCCGCCGCCACCGCTATCTCGTCACTTCCGTCCTGGCCCGGAAGCGGTCTCCTGGCCTCTTCTTTCCTCGCCTCAGCAACTCAAACGGTTCTGGAACATGAGCTGAGGAGAGTCGTTGTCAAGATGGCGGCGTCGGGGGGAGGCGGTAGCGCCGGTTCTTCCCCGACGGCAACGGCGGAGCGGGAGCCCGGCTGGGAGGTGGCGGTGCGGCCGCTCCTCTCCGCCTCCTACTCGGCCTTCGAGATGCGGGAGTTGCCGCAGCTCTTGGCCTCCGTCATTGAGAGGTAGGCGGGGCGTGGGGGGCTTCGGCCGTTGGTGGGCGTGGTCCGGCCAACACCTGTTCCCGCCCCTTTGGCGCTGAGCGGGAGTCATGGCACGTGGAGAGTGACTTGCAATTGTTGCTGCTATAAAATGGGGTTGAAATTTACAGGTCTGGCAACCGACATTTCCATTTCCAGTTATGTCTCCTACCCACTGATACTGATGGACCCAGGCGGGTTGGTCACGCGCATTGAGATCAGTGGATCAACTCTGAGCAGGCCTGACACTCGACGATTTGATCCTTTTTTTTGGGGGGGGGGAGGAGATATTTATTCTATTGGGTTTTTTTATAGAGTAAATATTTCCCCCCCCCAAGGATTTATTATATTATTACTTTTTATGAGGGACGGGGGTGGCGCTGTGAGTTAAACCACAGAGCCTAGGACTTGCCGACCAGAAGGTTGGCAGTTCGAATCCCCGTGATTAGGTGAGCTCCCGTTGCTCGGTCCCTGCTCCTGCCAACCTAGCAGTTCGAAAGCACGTCAAAGTGCAAGTAGATAAATAGGTCCTGCTCCGGCGGGAATGTAAATGGCGTTTCCGTGCGCTGCTCTGGTTCGCCAGAAGCGACTTAGTCATGCTGGCCACATGACCCAGAAGCTGTACGCCGGCTCCCTCGGCCAGTAAAGCAAGATGAGCGCCACAACCCCAGAGTTGGCCACGACTGGACCTAATGGTCAGGGGTCCCTTTACCTTTACTTTTTTATATACTGTCCTTCAAGAGACAACAGGATAGCTTACCACATAATACCCAAAATGCATGAAGTAATAATAAAATAGGGGGGAAAGAAAAAAGGCATATGCTAGCATAGAATAAATGCTGATTTACTAGCATATATTATACCTGCATTTTTCATTATTGGTTGAGGGGAGAGTCAGCAGGGTGTAGTTGTTAGTGAGTATCTGACTGGGGAGCTGGGAGAGGCAAATTCATATTATTATTATTATAGTTTATTACTTTATCTTCACTCTAAGGTCCCATGGGGGGGTTAAAACAATTTAATATTAAAACATATTTAATTCCCCCACTTATACACATGAAGCTTTCAGTGGTTAGCTTCGGCCAGCTCCTGTCTTCACTACTTCACAGGATTGTTGTGTGGCTGAAATGGAGATGGGAGACTGAAGAAAGAAACATAGGATTCACAACTGAGTTCCTCACAGGACAGTTGGCATATACCGTATTTTTTGCTCTATAAGACACACTTTTTCCCTCCTAAAAAGTAAGGGGAAATGTGTGTGTGTCTTATGGAGTGAATGCAGGCTGCGCAGCTATCACAGAAGCCAGAACAGCAAGAAGGATTGCTGCTTTCACTGTGCAGTGATCCCTCTTGTTGTTCTGGCTTCTGAGATTCACAATATTTTTTTTCTTGTTTTCCTCCTCCAAAAACTAGGTGTGTCTTATGGTCTGGTGCATCTTATAAAGCGAAAAATACGGTAATTATAAGATATAAGTAAATTTATAATCTATTATTTTGTGGTGCTTGGGGGCTAATTAAATTATGGGAAGCCGATTCCCATCAGCCCCAGCAGTGGTGGTCAAACAATGTGTGAGTTGTAGTTCAACAGCAGCTTTGATGGCTACCTCTCTAGTAAACAATTGTTTTAATACTTTGCTTTATTGTAGGTATTTTAATGGAGGCCTTAATTCTGTAATTCCCATGGTGGTTTTACAAGAAAGCTTGTTACCAGAAAGGTAGCTGTGTTTGTGTTTTGTAGCACCAATTCAGGATTGCCCTTCGTTCCTCATAGGCATGGGCGTAGCTGGGGGGGGCAGGGAGGGGCTGCTGCCCCCTAAATCAATAAAAATCTATACAAAAACATACCTGAAGTTCAGCCCCTCCCCCAACAAAGGGCCTGCGCCCCCCAAACCAAATTCTTGGCTACGCCCATGCTCACAGGGGTTGTGGTACCTGAAGGTTTTACGCCATAATGATCATCCTTAAAGTGCCTAAGGGGTCTTTTTGTTGTTACTTATGATTGCTTCCAACTCAGTTTTATTCCTGTTAGACCCAATGAAGTTACTGGACCAAAGTTAGTCATGTCCATTAATTTCAGTGCATTCATCCTGAGTAGGACTAACATTAGATATAACCCTGTTTAGTATTATATATACATTAAAAATTGTCTGCCTCCAAAGCACTTGTCAGATTAAAAATGCAGAAGCACAACAATAGTAAAATAACGTACAATTTACGTTATTAAAGCAGCTTCAGGAGAGGAACATGAAACTGCTTGGTCAATTTCAGAAGAACAGCAAGATGTTAAAATTTTAAAATTCAATGCTTTAGGGTTTTTTTGGGTTTTTTGTTTGTCTTGGTTGCTTTCCTAAAATATGAGAGAGAATGGGGACCACTTGAACCTCTGTCCAGGGGGAAAGGGGGGAATTCAATCATCTGGGTGCTGCTGTTGGATTAGCCTTGTTGTAGATAAACTTACTGTATGTTTTTAATTTACCGTATTTTTCGCCCTATAGGACGCACTTTTACCCCTCCAAAAATGAAGGGGAAATGTGTGTGCGTCCTATGGGGCGAATGCAGGCTTTCGCTGAAGCCTGGAGAGCGAGAGGGGTCGGTGCGCACCGACCCCTCTTGCTCTCCAGGCTTCAGGAAGCTCTGCGCAGCCCTCGGGAGCCCGGCGCGAAGTCGCGCCGGGCTCCCGACCACTGCGCGGAGCTGCCTGCAGCCCGAAGCCTGGCACGCGCTGAAGAGCGCGTCCGGGCTTCGCGCACCTCTCCTTCGCGCCGGGCTGTTCTGGGAGCTGGGGTCGCGCCTGGGGGGGAAATAATTTTTCCCCCTTTATTTCCCCCCCCAAAAACCTAGTTAGCAGCACTGAAATGACCTCTCCAGGGCACAAACCTAGGCAATGTATGGAGCAATGCCCAGGGCTGCCCAGATGACAAGATCCCCCCTCTCGACTTCACTGATGTGGTCCAAAGGAAAACAGAGCAGTACATTTGGCACTAGCTTAGCTGCAGGAGCCTTGCTATTATTGAGAGGGTGCTTTCCATTCATGAACAGTTAATCAACAGCTGCAGAACAGATGGGGACAATAATAATCTTAATAGGAAGTTCTTTCACTTTTAATGAGCAGTACATCATAGCTCAGTTGGTAGAGCATGAGATCAAGGTTATGGGTTCTAGCCCCATATTGGGTGAAAGATTCCTGCACTGCAAGGGATTGGACTAGAACGTCCTTGTGGTTCCTTCCAACTCTTCAATTCTGTGGTTCAGTGATAATACTGATCCTTCCTGGGATCTAGTGAGATTTAGGGTAGCTGTCACTGCCTTTTTCTGGTAGAGCTGCCATGCAGAAATTCAACCGATACAGCCTTCCCTCCAGCTGAGAGGTTTAGGGAGGTTTTAAAATGTCACAGTTGTTGATGTTCTGTCTTGTGCAACTGTCAGAAGCATCCCAGCTTCTTCAGAATAAAGGTGTCACCTCTGTTCTGATTCGCACAATATGTGAGTGCTACAAAGCTCTCTAAAACTATCACTGACCACAGTCTTTCCCTTTTCTGTATTTTCTACCATGTTTGTTCTTACAAAGCAGCTTTCAGTTGCGCTGCTTTTGTGTCTGCTGTATGGGTGTCATTTGGTGGTGGTTTTGTTTTGCCACTTAAACTGGTATCTTCCACAGTTGCTCGTGACTGCAGTAATAGGCTTCTCTTTAAGTCAGAGTGGGAAACCTTGGATCCTCAGACCAAATGCAGTAGCAACCCGCAAGTCCTCTCTCTGGTCTTCAGGACTCCTCCCAGGCCTCTCTTTCTCCTTTTCTGATGATTTTGCCTGGTTGGAATGTGTCCTTGAGTTGTGATAATAATGCTTTGTCTTTGCCTGGCTGGAGAGAAGTGTCTCTTTTGGTGTAGAAACCTCTGGTATTTGCATGGCTGGAATGCAGTACAGTATACTGCACAAAATTAAGAGTTGCATCCATTGCTTTGCATACTTTGAGCTTTGGTCCTGCCCACCACTGGCATGTAGTCCTTAGAAGGTTCCTGAAAATGAATTACCACTGCTTAAGTAAAGCATTTTCTAGATCAGCTAACTGATAAAAACAGAGGTGCTTCAATACAATGGATGTAGCATAAACCACATTAGAACAGTAGCAGGAACAAGCTGAGCATCCCCCACCCTGGCAGAAAACAAACTATTCTGAAATGCCCTTCATCTTTCCTTGCATCAGGTTGTTTTCATGCCTCTGTTGTGCAACTCTCTGCTTTGAACCCTCTCTTTTGCAGAATTGCACAAACTTCATCCAGCTCTGTGTGTGCATTAGTGTGTGTTCATGCTTTCAAAGTTCTGGGGAACTGCTGTGGGCCATTAACAAAGCAAACAGCATGAAGCTCATTGAAGCAGCAGAGAGGGGGAAAACATGTAAGTGCAAAAGGGTGCTTTGACTCTTTTGGCTGTTTCTATTTGAGGCTCAGCTCCTGAGTTGTTTTGTTGTCCCATCGTCTGGATTCTTCAGAACTTCCCAAAACGATTTGAAAAGCGATGGACTCAGTCTGATGGAGCATTCAGAAACTTCCTGTTACAGTTGTAAGAGCTTTTTTGGCCAGTTTTTGTAAGTGTGTGTCAGGTCCATATTATATGTTGGGACCCTCCTACCATGGTATGTTCCTGAACTTGCTTTGTGAGATGGGTATTGGGGGCACTGTGTTACAGTAGTCCAGGCCCCACCTATGGGACTGTGTGTAGAAAGTAGCAATAATAATAATTCAAACCTGGGTCTCCCATGTCCTAGTCTGTTTAACATCTACATGAAGATGTTGGGAGCTTTATACATAGGGCTGCCTCTGAAGACGGTTCAGAAACTTCAGCTAGTGCAGAACTGCTCACCGGGACAAGATGGTTTGCACATATTACACCGATCCTAGCCCAGTTGCACTGGCTACCAGTTAGTTCCAAGCCCAATTCAAAGTGCTGGCTTTGACCTATGGTTCATTAAATGGCTCAGGACCTCAGTATCTCAAGGACCGCCTCTCTCCATATGAACCTACCTGGATCTCTGAGCACAATTCATAGTGTTCGTGTTGACCTTTAAAGCCCTAAACGGCCTCGGTCCAGTATACCTGAAGGGGCGTCTCCACCCCCCAGCCTGGACACTGAGATCCAGCGCCGAGGGCCTTCTGGCAGTTCCCTCCCTGTGAGAAGCCAAGTTACAGGGAACCAGGCCGAGGGCCTTCTTGGTGGTGGTACCCGCCCTGTGGAACACCCTCCCAACAGATGTCAAGGAAATAAACAACTATCTGACATATAGAAGACATCTGAAGGTAGCCATTGTTTTAGGGAAGTTTTTAATGGCTGATGTTTTAATGTATTTTTAATCTTTGTTGGAAGCTGTCCAGAGTGGCTGAGGAAACCCAGCCAGATGGGTGGGGTATAAATAATAATAATAAATAATAATTGTTTATTTATTTATTTGTTTATTTATCTGAGACCCTTCTTCATGTGCCTCCTCCTGGAAAAGTGAGCAGTGTTTCCCAAACTTGGGTCTCCAGCTGTTTTTGGATGACAATTCGCATCATCCCTAGTAGCAGGACGAGTGGTCAGGGATGATGGGAATTGTCGTCCAAAAACAGCTGGAGATCCAAGCTTGGGGAACACTTGTCTGGAGGGTGGCCACACAAGAGCAGCCTTTGCTGCAGTGGCTCCCTGTTTGTGGGATGCTCTCCCCAGGGAGGCTCACCTGGCTAGATGGATCAGTAAGTCTAGCTCAGTCTAAGCAGCTTCCTCTGCTACTAAGTCAGACCATTGGTCCCTTTAACTCAGTATTGTCTACATTGACCAGCAGTGGATCTCCAGGGTCACAGGCCAAGGGTCTTTTTTTAGCCCTTCCTGAAGACACCAGGGATTAAACCAGGCCAGGCAGGTGCTCCAACACTGAGCTGTGGTCTCTTCCCATAAAATGTTTTCTTTCCAAGGTTTAAGTCCTCATAGTCCAGGGACATAGAAAGAAGATGCCTTATACAGAGATAGGCCTAGCTCAGTGCTCTCTAGTCTGACTAGCAGTGACTCCTGGGTTTCAGATGGAAGTCTCTCCCAGCCTTACCTGGAGTAGCTACAGTCCCGCCCCAGAGGCAGCTTTCTGTGGGGAGAGGTAATAGCTTGGTGGTAAATTGAAAGCTTTACAATATCTACAGGAAGTCCAGTGTTCAATCTCCAGCTTTAAAATTATTTTAATTGCATTGTTTTAACCCAGAGCTTTCCAAACTGTGTGTTGTGACAGGTTAGTGTGTTGGCTGCAGTGTGTAGGTGTTTTGTGTGAACGCTCCCCACACCCCTCCCTGTGCTGGAAAGGGATTGCAGTAGTTTAATCTCCAGTTCGCTAGTAAAACTGAATTACTGTGTCGCAAAAATGATGCATGTCTAAATTTGTGTGTCACCAACATGAAAAGTTTGGAAAGCTCTGTTTTAACCTTTCAATGGGCTCCTTTGCAGGGAAGGGTGGGATAGAAATGTAATAAATAGTTCCAAAAAAGGATCAAGGCTAGCAGAGCTGGAGTGTGTGTGGCGGGGAAACTCTTCTCTCCCTGAGACTGGAGAGCTGATGCCAGCCAGAGCTGGCAGCACTGAGTTAGACGCTCACCTAAGTCCCCTCCAGCTCTCAAAAGGTTAAGTCATAAAATATTGGGGTGGTTGGTGCTGCTGCTGCTGCTGCTGCATCATCATCAACTTTGGTGCTACTTTTGAATGTGAAATTCTCTGGATATTTTTACTTGGTGGGATTCCCCCACCACTGGGTTAAAATTTTGATGAACGTTAGAGGAACTGCTAATTACTGTTTTTATGTTGATGTGATAGTTATACTTTTGAGAATGCGCTGCTGTTGTATTTACACTGTTAGATTTTTTATGTGTGAATCGATCCAGTTGTTGCTCTTGTTGCAACAATTACATTACCCCCCCCCAAAAAAAACAACCCCTCAATTTTTTCGGAAAGCACATTCTTGTTGATATTGGATTGGATTCAGGATAAGTAGATTTGCTAGTAGTTCCACTGTTGAGGGCAGTAATGTTTCTGAATCTTCTTCTTTGGCTATCCCTCATAGCAGAGTAAGATTGTCTTCCATGAACACGGTCTTAACAGTGAGTCTGTAAGTGACGGTGGAGACCAATTCTGGATCCACACGTTTTTCCACAGTGGGGACATAGGTTTCTGGGCGGGAGTTGATCACGACGGGGGTTTGCCAAGCATGCCTTCCTCTTAGCACACTTCTCCTTTTCGTCCTAAGTTCGAGTGTCTTCATAGTTCATGACACTTTGGGTAAAGGCTGTCCTCCAGTTGGAGCGCTCGCAGGCCAGTGTTTCCCAGTTGTCAGTGTTTATCCGACATTTTTAAAGATTTGCCTTAAGAGAGTCTTTAAACCCTCTTGTTGACCACCAGCATTACGCTTTCCATTTTTAAGTTTGGAATGGAGCAGTTCCTTTGGAAGACAGGCATCCGAACAACATGACCAGTCCAATGAAGTTGATGTTGAAAAATAATTGCTTTGACACTGGTGATCACTGCTTTTTCCAGTACACTGGCATTAGTTCACCTGTCTTCCCAAGTGATGTGTAACATTTTTTGGAGACTCTGAAAAATTTCTAAATACCAGACACTGAGCTGGTTTCTGAATACCAGTTACTGGAAACCACAGGAGGGGAGACAGTGCTCTTGTGCTCAGGTCCTGTTTGCAAGTTTCCCTTGGGGGCAGTGAGAACAGGCTGCTCGACTAGATGGACCACTGGCCTGACCCAGCAGGCTCTTCATACGTCCTTATGGATACAACCTGTAATCTTTAACATACTCTATGCATATGGTCAAAGTTCAGGGCAGTCCCCGAGAGCATAGAAATAACTGGTTCATAATCCACTCTCTGTCTTCTTTCTCTCTCTGCAGTGAGTCTGAAATCTTGCACCATGACAAACAGTATGAACCTTTCTACTCGTCCTTTGTCGCCCTTGCGACGCACTACATCACCACAGTGTGTGGACTGGGTGAGTGTCCAGAGTGTGAGTTTTGATGTTCTGCTTGAGCCATCATGCCTTCTCTCCTTGTTCTTACCAACAGATGTCTCTTTTCCTTGATGGTTTGTAATTTATAAGGCAAACAGGGGGCTAGACAGGGAAGGGGAGGTTTGCAAACCAGAAATGAACTTCCAAGGTGGGGAGACAGATCAGCAAATGGTAAATCGGTTTCTGAGGTTTCTTTGTAGGGAACTAACGCCTCTTTGAATGATCTGACATCTTTGGCTTTTTAGTACCTAGAAATCAGCTGCAGTCTGTGGCAGCTGCCTGCAAAGTCCTGATTGAATTTTCTCTGCTGCGACTTGAAAACCCAGATGAGGCTTGTGCTGTTTCGCAGGTGAGAGGCCTTTTTCATAGTGTATGAGAATGTATGTATGCATGGGTATAGTTTAATAGTAGAGCCTATGCTATGCATCCAGAAGTTTCCAAGGCTTGACTTAAACCAGGGGTGCAGAGCTTCTATGCTCCCTTGCCTGCCCTGAATGTTGCTGGACTCACAGCTCCCATCATCCTCAACCATCAGCCCTAGCCAGTATGGTAAGTAGTCTGGGATGGTGAGAGTTGCAGTCCAAAGCACCTGGAGGGCATCAAGTTGGCAAAGGCTGGTCTAGAGGAACACCTTGTCCACCAACCCCTTTGCATGCTGCATCTCAGCAGCCCAGAAGGAAGGCTCACCAATACGTGAACTGGGATTTTATTTAACGGGAGTTGCCAGGCACTGAACTGTTGGGGAAGGCTGGGGTAGAGAATATATGGGATTAGATGGTCCTGTTTCCTTACAGGGTAGAAAGTATTGCATATTGCAGCATGCCACAGAGTGCGTGCAGATTAGACCACACAGATGGAATCACTGGAAAGACGCAAAGAGTGCTTTGCAAGGTTTAATAACAACTGCTCAAACGTACATCTTACAGTCACCCCTTCTGCATAGTGTCTGTAAACATCCACTCATTACACACAGAGTAAGGTACATACAGCACATTATATACCGTTCACAATTGCTGGTACATGCAATGTGTTAAAAAAAAAAAAGAAACACTGTAATCACCTTATTTGGCTAATTATAATGACTTATCAGCACCTGCTACACAGCTGCAAAAACTAGGTCAGGATCTGCACCCTGGCTTTTAAAGTAGTACACATCCTGTGGAACAATATTGAACCCTAATATTTAAACAAGATATTCAACAGAAAGCTTCAAAAGCCTTGCAAACGGCAGCATGATGACAGTCTTACATTTTTAGCATACAGAAAGATAGCCTTGATGACGTGGTACCACTAGGTCCATTTCCACTTACCTGTTAAGTTAAACTCGTGTTACGCCAGATGAATGTGTCTATCATGGTTGCCTACTTTGTATTGCTTTTAAAATGCATTTTCTGTTGTTTTCTGTGCTGTTTTTATTATATTGTGTACGTCACCTTGAGATATATGTGGGAGATAATTAATAAATAATAGTACAGTGGTGCCTCGCAAGACGAAATTAATCCGTTCCGCGAGTCTCTTCGTCTTGCGGTTTTTTCGTCTTGCAAAGCACGGCTATTGGCGGCTATTAATGGCTTAGCGGCTATTAACGGCTTAGCGGCTTTAAGAAAAAGGAAACAAACTCGCAAGAACTCGCAAGATGTTTCGTCTTGCGAAGCAAGCCCATAGGGAAATTCGTCTTGCGGAACGACTCAAAAAACGGAAAACCCTTTCGTCTAGTGAGTTTTTCGTCTTGCGAGGCATTCGTCTTGCGGGGCACCACTGTAATAACCAGGGTACCATAAAAACTCTGCTACCCATGTTTACTGAAATACCACCAAAGCATGTCCTCACATCTGCCTTCACCTTTGAAGTTGGCTCTTTCTCTTTAGAAACACCTGATCCTGCTGATCAAGGGCCTGTGTACTGGCTGCAGCCGCCTTGACAGAACCGAAATCATCACATTCACAGCGATGATGAAGTCAGCCAAACTACCCCAGACAGTGAAGACCCTCTCTGATGGTGAGAACTGTGGTATGGTGGAGCAGGTTAGAGTGTTGGACAGTGACCTGTGAGGCTAGGGTTCAAATCCCCACTCAGCCACGTTACACTACATTAAGCTCACTTGGCCATTTCTCATCCTTGCCTACCTTGCAAGGTTGTTGTGAGGATAAATCACTTAGGGGCAGAGAGAAGCCTGAATGGTATCTTGAGCTCCTTGGAGGACAGGTGGGATATTAAATGAAATAAATAGGTAAACTTTGTTGTGAGCTCTCTAGTGCTGAATGTGACCAGACGATCACATTCAGCCTTTCTGTTCCTGAAGCAAGGGCTGAATTAATGTGTTTTCCTCTCTCCCTTCTGCAGTGGAGGATCAGAAAGAGCTGGCATCTCCAGTCAGCCCCGAACTGCGACAGAAGGAAGTGCAAATGAACTTCCTCAACCAGCTGACGACTGTCTTTAATCCCAGAGTGGCAACCTCTCCAATCCTGCCACAGACTCAGGTGTGTATGGAAGCCTGGAGACTCCCTCTGTCCAGTGACAACAGTTCAAGTGAAAGGAGCTGGGGAAGGACTACAGCTTAGTGGTAGGGCACCTGCTATGCTTGCAGAAAGTGCTCGATTCACTCCCTGGAAGCATCCCTTGGTAGGCCTGGAAAAGACCGCTGGAGGGCCGCTGCCAGTCATTGGAGACAGGACTGAGCCAGTGGTCTGATTCAGTACAAGATAGCTTCCTATGTCTTAAGGCAGTGGTTCTCAAACTTTCCTCCTTGCAAGCCGCTTGAAAATTGCTGAAGGTTCTTGGCACACCGTTCTGCCAACTGCAATGTGCTGGGCTAGGTTTTTGTCTGATTTTTTATTGTGTTTTCATTGCTTCTTTTATTTCCTGTATTTCCATTGCATAGAATTCAAATCGTAATACACTAAAATACAAAAGCACTATGTAAATGTGGAGCGGCACCATGGCTGGTGCCCATTTCTCCTTTTTCTCCTCAGGGGGAAGGTGAAAGTGACGACCAGGCGTCCACGGACCAAGCCTCTGCAGCCAAGACGAAGAGCATATTCATTGCTCAGAACGTGGCCAGCTTGCAAGAACTTGGTAGGGAAAGGATTTAATGCTTACAACTGCTATCACTTGTTTTCAAGCGAGCGATCTTAAAAGAAAGGAGAGGAGAAGGGGGGAAAGTAGGAAGTTGGGTTTCCCTAGCTGTATAACATTTCCATCGGCTGAGGCTGACTATTGTTGAACACCAGTTGCTGGGGGGTGGGCAGGGAAAGGGTTATTGCCTTCACACCCTACTAGTATTCCTCCTGAAGCTTTCTGATTGGCCACTGTGGGAAGAAACAGGAGGCAGGACGAGATGGATGGCGGGATGGCTCAGTTGATAGAACATGAGACTCTTAATCACAGGTTCATGGGTTTGAGCCCCACTTTGGGTAAAAGATTCCTGTATTGCAGGAGGTGGAACTAGATGAGCCTTGTGGTCCCTTCCAACTCTACATTTCTATGAAAAGGAATTGGTCTGATCCAGCAGGGCTCTCTTTTTTTGTCACACTGCTTGCCTTTCTTCTTAACAGGTGGCTCTGAGAAGCTGCTGCGGGTCTGCCTGAACCTCCCTTACTTCCTGCGCTACATAAACCGCTTCCAGGATGCTGTGTCCGCTAATTCCTTTTTCATCATGCCAGCCACGGTAGCTGATGCCACTGCAGTTCGTAATGGGTAAAGAGAGCTCCCCCTTTTATGTTCTCTCCCCCCCCCCCCACCTTCCAGTCTGGGTTGGACGTTGCCAGATGGCCCTGGCTTACATCTGTTCAGTGCTGGGTTTCAGCACCAGCGGGCCACTGATTTCCCTGCCTTGGTGAATCCCAAGCTACCCTTCCAATGCTGTCAACCTTCTTTCTGCAGGTTCCATTCGCTGGTGATTGACGTGACCATGGCCTTGGATACTCTCTCCCTCCCTGTTCTGGAGCCTCTTACTCCCACAAGGCTGCAGGACGTCACTGTTCTGGCTCTTAGCTGCCTCTATGCAGGTGAGCACTTGCCTGACAGTAACATAATGAAACTGAACTTGGTGCATATTGTCATTCTGATCTCAGAGTGAAAGGATGGACCTCTTCCTCTTGTCGGCTCTCCTTATGCCCCTCCTGTTCCGATTAAGTTTCCCCTTTGTTGAATTTTAGATTGCAAGCTTCTCTTCTGCTTTGTCATGTGATGTGCACGTCAAATGGTGTTGCATCAACCAAATAGTAACAATGGATTGTACCTAGTTAGTTCTACTCGGAGTAGACTCATTGAGTTTACCAAACATGATTGGGTTGATTAGTTTCATAGGGTAAGTATAACAATCCATTTAAATTAGTGGATGTGACTAACAATTCCACTGCACCTATGCCAGCCTCATATCCTCCAGGTGTTTTGGACCACAAGTCGCAGCAGTGGCTGATGGGAGTTGTAGTCCAAAGCCTCCGGAGGGCAGCGGGCTGCTGAAGGCTGGTTTGTGCCGAGTCTAGTTTAGTTGAATACAACCCGGTTACGGTGCCTACCTGGTTTGTGCTTTGGAAACTTGTCTCTCAGTAGGAACTCTATAGAGAAGTACTGACAGTTAAAAAGAGGTTTCCTCAATTTGCGATTGGGGACACTTCTTATTGCCCCCCTGCCCAGACTTACTATGGGGTGTAGCTTACAGCACTAGGTGAGGCTCTGCCTGACACCGAGATCCTCTCTTTCTCTCTCCACCCAGGCGTGAGTGTTGCGACCTGCATGGCCATCCTGCATGTAGGCAGCACCCAGCAGGTCCGAACTGGGTCCACAAGTTCAAAAGAAGAAGACTACGAAAATGATGCAGCCACCATTGTGCAGAAATGTGTAAGTGGGGAGGCTGGATGCTTAGGGGAATCCCTCTTTGTGTGTGTCCAGAAGGGAAGATACGGTGCTGAATTTGCAACCCAAAGGGTGGGTTTTTTTGTATGCATGCATGTATAAATGGCAGCTTTTCATATAAGTCCTGAAATTTCTTGTTTCCATCTATGTCTGCAGCTTGAAATCTACGATATGATTGGGCAGGCCATCAGTAACTCACGCCGTGCAGGTGGGGAGGTAAGGGCGATAACCTCCAAGCAGAACTCCTTTGTCTTGGCGACTTTGCCCCATATGGATGGGCTGGAATGAAACGTTATTTGTTTGTTATGCAAGGTTTATTTGTAAGCACTTGATTGTAATAGGGCCTCAAAGCAGTTTACCAAAAGTAGTAGTAGTTTGTTGTTGTTTATTAAACTTATTAGTTGCTTTTTGAAAAAATAACTCAAAGCAACTTACAATAAGTAAGACATCAAAACCAGTGAAAAACACAACGGGGGGGGGGGGAATCTTAAAACACATTCAGATTTTTAAAAAGCAGGATTAAAACATCCCACCCCACCCACTGAAAGAAAAGAATGAAACAAAATAAGCATCATTTAAAATGTAGTTTAAAGCTATTACTTAAAACTGTAAAAAATAATTAAAATGAATGATTAGCTGAAAACCAGAATAAAACAACATTCTGCAAGTCTGGGTAGGCTTTGCCTAAAAAAAAAGGTTTTTAGTAGGTCCCGGAAGCAGTACAGTGAAAGCGCACGCCTGGTGTCAACAGGCAGAGAGTTCCAAAGTGTAGGTGCTACACTAAAATGTTGATTTCTTACAAATGTGGAATGAATATTGTGTGGCATCTGTAACAGTGCTCGTTTTGCAGATCAATGTGGTTGTGAAGTTAAACATGGGTTTGTATGTGTTATCACTCCTTCCCCCCTCTTTCTTGGGATGGCAGCACTACCAGAACTTCCAGCTGCTTGGCGCCTGGTGTCTGCTGAACAGCCTGTTTCTCATCTTGAACCTCAGCCCCACGGCCCTGGCTGATAAGGGGAAGGAGAAAGACCCCCTGGCTGCCCTCCGGGTACGGGACATCATTGCTCGTTCCAAAGAGGGAGTGGGATCTCCCAAACTGGGGCCTGGGAAAGGGTAAGTTTGGTATCAGTCAAGAGAGTAAAGTCAGGGACTCCCCCCCCCTCACCTTCCTGTATCTTAGCTCTGGGATTCTTAAAATGCTTCCTTTTTCTCTTCTCCATAGGCACCAGGGTTTTGGCGTCCTGTCTGTTGTCCTTGCCAACCATGCCATTAAGCTGCTCACTTCCCTCTTCCAAGACCTGCAAGTTGAAGCACTTCACAAGGTGAGAGAGAGACAACTCCGATCAGGGTTCTGATGGGTTTTGCTTTCCGAACATGACAAAATAACACAGCTATGACCCTCCGCCCTCCAGGCCTGGGAGACCGATGGCCCCCCGGCTGTGCTGAACATCATGGCCCAGAGCACATCGATCCAGCGAATCCAGCGGTTGATCGACTCCGTGCCCCTCACAAACTTGCTCCTGACTTTGCTGTCGACCTCGTACAGAAAGGTATTTACGGGCCCCTTGGGCTTCCTTCAAACTGGAGATCTAGAAACTCGCTCGATTTTTTTTACATCATTTGTAAAAGTCATCTTTTACAGTGTGGTGTAGTGGTTAAGAGCAGTGGACTCGTAATCTGGTGAACCGGGTTCGCGTCTCCGCTCCTCCACATTCAGCCGCTGGGTGACCTTGGGCTAGTCACACTTCTTTGAAGTCTCTCAGCCCCACTCACCTCACAGAGTGTTTGTTGTGGGGGAGGAAGGGAAAGGAGATTGTTAGCCGCTTTGAGATTCCTTAGGGGAGTGATAAAGCGGGATAACAAATCCAAACTCCCCCCCCCCCACCATCTTTGAAGTCTAAGCTTTCAAGAGCTAAGCTTTGCAGAAAGCAGCTGACCTGGTCTGGTCTTTCTCCTCCCTCCCACCCCACCCCGCTGACCCAAACTTTCAGGCTTGTGTTCTTCAGCGACAACGAAAGGGCTCCATGAGCAGCGACGTGAGCGCTTCCACAGACTCCAACACTTACTATGAGGACGATTTCAGCAGCACCGAAGACAGCAGCCAGGGTGCGTGCAAAACATGGGAGGCCTGGGGATTTGTGTTTCATGGTGGCAGCAATAGACGCAGTAGAGGACCCTTAATTTTATGTTACGCTCTTGTCTCTTAAACAATCTCTGTGTTTACTTTGGGTTTTTTTCCTAGATGACGACAGCGAGCCCATCCTCGGGCAGTGGTTTGAGGAGACCATTTCTCCCAGCAAAGAGAAAGTGGTCCCTCCTCCGCCACCCCCGTCCCCACCCCTGGAGAGCTCCCCTCGAGTGAAGAGCCCCAACAAGCAGGCCGCAGGAGAAAACGGGAACATCTTGGCCAGTCGCAAAGATCCAGAACTGGTGTGTGGTGGGAACTTCCTAGGGTTGTGTCCAGCTGGTTTTGCTCAGAATAGACCCATTGAAATCAGTGGCACATAGTTGAACCATGAGACTCATCCCCACAAGAGGCAGTGATGGCCACCACCTTGGACAAATTCATGGAGGACCCAAAGATTGTTCTGTTTCTTTGCTTTGAGACAAGTACACACAAACACTCACACCGGTTACTGCAATTTGCAGTATAAAAGGTGCCCTTTATACAATGATTTCAGTAAGGAGTACATGGGGCGGGGAGGTGTGTATGGGGTCAGGGGGACAGTACTGACGACCATATTCAATACCTGTTGGCTTTTGGAAGCAAAAAATCTTGGGTCATCTATTTTTGAACACAAAAAGTGAATTTTTGGGATATGACTGGGATCTGTGAGAAAGCACAGCTGATTATCATATTGGCTTGAATATAAGCCTCACTCTCCCCCCTTCCCCCATTTCTGACTGCGAAAAGTTAAAGTACGGCTTAGATTCACGACCATTTGAATACACGACCCAGTATGCAGCCAGGAGCCGTGAGGAATAGAGAGCTTCTTTTATTCTCTCCCCCCCCCCCGCCTCTCCAATTTTAAAGGTGTGGCTTATATTCAGGCCAATACGGTATTATCCTCCTGGTTCCATTCCAGTTTCTGTTTGGCTCATGCCTCATTCTCTCCTGTCTCCTCTTCTCATTTGGCTTCTAGTTCTTAAACCTGGCCTCCAATATCCTCAACTTTGTGACTTCCTCCATGCTGGACTCCAGGAATAATTTCATACGCAACTACCTGAGCGTCTCGCTGACAGAGCAGCACATGGCCACGCTGGCCTGCATCATCAAGGAAGTGGACAAGGACGGGATCAAAGGTTGGGGTGCAAGTCCTTTCTCTACCCCCTGCCATTCTAGTCTAGTGTCTTTGCTTGAGACCCTGGAGGGGAAATTGAGCTACATCAGGGATGGGCAACCTTAGGCCTTCACAGTCCTGCTTTGCATCCTCCTTGAATGGTTTTTTCCTGGCTGGAATGTCTACTTGAGCTCTGATGATGTTTCTGGCTTGCCTGGACGGAAGGTAGAGGGGTGTGTGTGTAAAAACTAGCCATCTCCAGCAAAGTAAAATTTACCTTCATTGCCCCACCCATTTTTGCCTCTGGCCCTGCCCATCACTGGCATGTGGCCCCCCAGAAAGTTACCCAGAGGGGAAATGCGTCCCTTGGGTTGAATAAAAGGTTTCCCCACCCCTGAACTCAATGGATCACTGGTCTTGACCTGGTCCAGCCAGCTTCATATTTTCATAGGGCATGTCCCTAGCTGTCTCTGAACCTGGCAGATGTGATTTGATTATTGTAAGGGCAGAATTGTACACAAACAGGAGACTTGCAGCTGCCCCTGGCAGTGGCAGCCCCGCGTCTCCTCTACTGCTGGAGAAAGAGGGACACAGAGGGGGTGGCCATCTTTGGTGGCGTCTTTCGTCACTTAAAAGTTCTGGCTGAAGATCAAAGATGGACGAGTGTAATTGTAAGCAAAGTGCAGCCTTCTGACACCACCTCAACCAAGAGGTTCCGTTTAGCTATGTCGGGTTTCTGTTTATTTTGTGTGAAGTGGTGGGATCCTGGGATAACCAGCTGACTCTGCCCTTTGTCATAGGTACCACAGAGGAGGAGGAATTTGCTGCTGCACTGTACCACTTCAACCACTCCTTGGTGACCTCGGACCTCCAGTCCCCCACTTTGCAAGTGAGTCTTGCATTGCTTGTGGGGTTAGTAATAAGAAGGATCTAGAGGGCCCCCCACCTCTTAGGAAAGCCAGGGCCAGCAGTTTAGAAATTAGCATGGGGGAATGGTGGGGTGGTGTTAATGTCTGAAAATTTGATGGCCAAGTTGAATCTAGAACAGAGTTGTGGAGCCATCTGTGGTCTTCCGGGAACCACTGGACTCCAGCTCACAGCAGCTAGCATGGTCCACTGGTCAAGGACAATGATAGGAGCTCAGTTGTATTGCATCTCCATTGCATGCAGAAGGTTACAGGTGCAATCCACAGCATCTTACAGATGCCATATAACACTCATTCCGTATTTGTAAGAACTGGGTCTTTTAGCATGGCAGCACCTACGTTTTGGAACTCACTGTTTCTTGATACTAGGCAGCTGCCTTCACCATACTCTTTTTGGTCCCTGCTAGAAACATTCTTGTTTAGACAAGCTTATCCAGTTGTTTAGAAAGCTGATGTGAGTTTTTAAAATCTGTTTTTAGGTCATTGTCATTTTAACTTTTTATAGTGTTAAACTATTTTTAGTTTTTCTTACTGATAGCTTGATTGTGTTACCTTTTTTGTAAACTGCTTTGAGGGTGGTGGCGGTGGTGGTTGTTTGTTTTTAACAATTGAGGAGTGTATAAATTTTATGAAGTAAATAATAAAAAACAACAACCCTGGAGAGCCACTGTTGATCAGTATAGTCAACATTGAGCTAGATGGTCTGGCTCAGTAAAAGGGAGCTTCATACGTCCTCCAAATTGCACCTCCGTGCTGATAACGGAGTCCCCTTTAGCAGCAGTTGTTTAGATTTTATTGAAGGACTTCATGCAGGCACTTATTTTCCCCTTCTTGCCAGAGCACTCTCCTGCAGCAGCTGGGCGTGGCCCCTTTCTCCGAAGGCCCCTGGCCCCTTTACATTCACCCCCAGAGCTTGTCTGTCCTCTCTCGGCTCCTCCTCATCTGGCAGCACAAAGCGAGCACCCAAGGAGACCCTGACGTGCCCGAATGCCTGAAGGTTTGGGAGAGGTGAGCATGCGGGTAAAGGAGAGCTGTAGTCAAGGCCTTGCTGAATAAGAAACAACAGGTCTCATCAACTAGTATCTTCACCGGGATAATCCTCAACTTCCTCCCATGCCGCTGTGTCCCTTATATATGTTAAGATTGGAGTCCTACTTGTTAAAACACATTGGTAGACCTTAAAGTCCCTGCTTGGTAGTTCCACCGCCCTCAGACATTTGGGGGTGGCATTCCAGGGGAGGGCAGCCCCAAAGCGATGGAATCTTCCCAAGTCAGCACCTTCCTTGTGTAGCTTTTGTCATATGCCAGAGTTGTACCTGGTGCTGTTGAGCTCCTTGCTTTGCTGTGACCCGTTCCCTGCTTCTTCCCTCCCCCCCTTGGCAGGTTTGTGGGCACCCTGAAGCAGAATGCCATGCAGGGGACGCTCCCTGGCGACACCGAGGACCTGAACGTCGAGCACCTCCAGCTGCTCCTGCTGATCTTCCACAGCTTCTCCGAGAAAGGCCGCCGGTCGGTCTTGACTCTCTGCATCCAGACCATCCTGGAGCTGATGGCCAACCTGGATTCGCAGCTGAGCTGCGTCCCTCTTCTCCTGGCCCGCCTCCTCTTGGTCTTCGACTACCTGCTTCACCAATATTCAAAGGTTCCGGTGTACCTGTTCGAACAGGTGAGCACTGTGTATGGGTGTTGCTCTGCTGCTGGGTGCTGCAGTCCTCAGGCCAGGGATTCTTTAACTGCGATTCCTGCATTGTGGCACACGGGTTGGGCTAGATGACCGTTAGGCGTCCCTTCCAGCTCTATAGTTCTGTGATTCTGTGATGAGCAGCCAACCAAACTGACGTTGTTCTTTGCTCCCCTCACATCTGTCCTCCCTCTGCTTGCCTTTTTAGGTGCAATACAACTTGCTCACCCCACCCATTGTTTGGGCTGGCGGGTCCCAGGATGGCAGTCGGCGAACCTCTTCTCCCCTCTACCATGGGTTCAAGGAAGTGGAAGAGAACTGGGCCAAGCACTGCTCATCAGGTGGGTCTCTTGAGTAAGCTGGTGGAGGTATGGTTTCCCTCGATGGTTAGTGGCATTCAAACAGTTCCAAGCTTATTTTAGGACTTTTCCAAATGCAGCAAATCTTTTTGTTGTTGTTTTTGTTTTAATTCACCGTGGTGATGGAGCTGATGAGTGTATCTTCTCTTCTCTTCAGCTGAAAAGCCTCCCCAAGAGTGGCTTTAAATACAATCAGTTTACAATCTTAAAAAAACAACCCACATGGGGAAAGGGCAAGAAAGGAACTTGGGCCGCCATTTTTTAAGCAGTTGTTTTGATAAAGATCAGCCAGCACAGTTCAGGAGGTGCCTGGTGGAGCTGAGCTTTGGCAAAGCTGACAGTGAGCCCTGCTTCCCATCTCCTATTGAGGCATTTGAAAGCCTAGCTGTCCTGGTTTCAAAGATCACTTGCATCTGTGTTTCTGTGTTCCCTTGGAGGCAACTTAAAATAACCCGGTCCTTTGAATTGTTCTGTTTCTGCCAGATGCAGCCCCCCAACCCAGGTTCTACTGCATTCTCTCACCGGAAGCACCTGAGGACGATCTGAACCGCCTTGATAACACGGTAACTATAAGCATCTCCCACCCCGTAGGACTTGAATTTTGCTACAATGGGCAAGGCTTCCATGGTGATGTCCACCAGTGTTTGGCAGCTGGCTTGGGACCATCTGCGGGCCCCCGTTGATCATTGCACGTACAACGTACGAGACCTAAAGCTGCGTTCCCCAAACTTAGAATAACTGTTTTTTTTCTTTTGAGGGTGTGGTCTTAACCCATGTGCCCCAGTGCCCTCTGTCTGCATGCAGAGGGTTGCAAGGCCAGCTGGCTAGCCCCAGCTGGGTTGTCTCCTTCCAGCTGTCCCGCTGCAAAGGCCCATTGGCCTCTGCTCTGACGTACGTCAGCGACCCAGGCTTCAAAACCAGGGCACACTATGTCAGCAGAGCGAACTGCGCACACAGAATAGGCGTGAGGCTTGTGGAAGCATACTACAACTACGGATTTATTAATCACAAATCAGGACAAAGAAACAAGTCGTCTCTCTCTTTGTCTTTTCAGAGAGACAGAGTCAAAAGCAAAAGCTACACAGTGGTACCTCAGGTTACATACGCTTCAGGTTACATACGCTTCAGGTTACAGACTCCGCTAACCCAGAAATAGTGCTTCAGGTTAAGAACTTTGCTTCAGGATGAGAACAGAAATCGTGCTCCGGCAGTGTGGTGGCAGCAGGAGATCCCATTAGCTAAAGTGGTGCTTCAGGTTAAGTTCAGTTTCAGGTTAAGAACGGACCTCTGGAACGAATTAAGTACTTAACCTGAGGTACAACTGTAAACATAACGGATGTTCCCAGCAAGCTGTGCTGGAATGTAAACAGACATGTGACACGCAACAGTTCCATGTCTGCTCCTTAAGGTAGAATGGAATATTCCCAACACCCTCTTCCCTATAAAAAAGCATTATTCAGAACAGTGTTTTGCACAATCTGCTAAGGAAGATAATAACACAATAAAATTCAAAACATTTACAGTTAATTAACAGTTAATTGCACATTTATTCAAAATCCAGTTAATTTAATTAATTCAACAAATAACTTGATCCATCAATACCAGCTTTTCAAAGTCTTTTTATTCCTCCTGTGCCTCACTGCCTCCCCCTTGCCTCTCAGCTTTCCCCATTTCCTCCTCTGGGAACTGCTGGCCTAAAGGAAGGCATTTTTCCTGTGGGGACGAAATTGTACTTTTAGCAGATCCTCTGAACCAGAGTGGTGAGTGGAGCAAAGCCACAGTGAAAGAGTTTGGACTCCTCTGCTTCTCTTTCAGGTGTGCGAGGTCTTGTTTGCGAAGGCCACAAAATACGATGACCTGTACTCGGCCCTCACCTCGCTGCTGGCTGCTGGCTCCCAGTTCGACACCCTCCGAAGAAAGGAGAACAAAAATGTCACCGCACTGGTAAGGGCGCCTCTGGCTCCTGAGCCAGACTTTGATGTGGCTGTTCTTCTGCTGCCGTCTCCAGATAAACTTGAATTTGTTTCACTGGATGAATCTGGCAGGGAGCTCAGCTGCCGATCTGTCCTCTGAGTCTCTTGGCAGTGGTGGTTCATCTTTTGCACTGTGCAGCTTACAGGTGGGGCAGGTGGCAGCAATGTGGCTCAGTTGTGGGACCTAGTGCGGCAATAAGTAAAGGTGGTCTTGAGTAGACAGTAGAGCCCTATTTGAGACTGGTCATTGAACTGGCATGATGATGTGAGCCATCCTCACAGAAGGTTCTGGGTTCCCTCATTTGCCCAAGACATGAGATTTGTATGAGAGGGAAGGGTCATATACTATGGCTGCACATGTGTTCTGCTTGCAGAAAGTTTCTGGTTCAATCCCTGGCATTTCCGGAAGGTAGGGTTGGGAGAGACCTCTGCCTGTGAAACTTTGTAGAACCGCTGGCAGTCAGTATAGGCAAGGATGTTCTTGGCTGGACCGATGGGCCGACTCAATAGAAGGATGCTTCCTATGTCCTTCTGCAGGGCTTTCTATATCAATTAGGCTTCCTTGCCTTTGGCTTCCCTTTCAGTTTTAGTCCCTGAGGGTTGGACAGCTGTAAGAGAGAATAATTGGGTGCACTCTCCCCACCTTAGATCAAATCTATGCTGCCAGGTGCCATAAGAAAGCGGCAGAGATAGTGCAGGATAGTACGCACCCCGGAAATGACCTCTTTCAGCTTCTGCCTTCTGGAAGAAGGTATAGGGTTATAAAGGCCAGGACTAGCCGCCTGAGAAACAGTTTCTACGCAAATGCAATTCTGGTTCTAAATACAGCATAAGGGGTCTCTATAGTATAGTGTATTTTTTAGTATAGTGTATTTTATAGTATAGTATAGTATAGTATAGTATAGTATAGTATAGTATAGTATAGTATAGTATAGTATAGTATAGTGTAGTGTATTCTAAAATGGGGTTTCAGAGTTTTTAGGGGTTTTTGAATGTTTTATGTAGTTTTTCAATTTCATTGTTCTGTATGGGACAATGACAATAAAGATACCGTATATCGTACGAGAACTGCAGCTGGCTAATTCTGTCTTGCTTCTTCTTTTGCTCAGGAGGCCTGTGCGCTTCAATACTACTTCTTGATCCTCTGGCGGATCCTGGGGATCTTACCACCCTCCAAGAACTACATGAACCAGCTGGCGATGAACAGCCCTGAGATGAGCGAGTGTGACATCCTGCACACCCTGCGCTGGTCTTCCCGTCTGCGTATCCCCACCTATGTCAGCTGGATCAAGGTAGCTGCTCTGCTTGGCCTGAGAACTTCAGGTTTTGTAGGTCGTCTAGATGGAATCGTCCCCATTTCCCCTCCTTGTCCACATCCAGTCATCCACTGTGTAGCATTGTTTTAATGGTTGTGTTCTCCACGTATTGCATTTTCCTTTCATTGTAAGTCTTTGAGACTTTTTTGGTTTGTTGGAATTGACACATATAAATAAATACAGCTAAACCATGGTTTGCTGTTACACCAAGGCAGACTTGTACTGCCCTCCTGCAAGTGAGCTGTAAGAAGTCCTACTTTAGGATTACGTACAGCTTAGCTGTTATCTCCAAAGTCAAAACTGTCATTAATTATAACTATGGTTTGCTGAAACAAGGCAGCTAAATAAACCATGGTTAGAAATAGGCTTCCAGCCTATAGCCTCTCAGAGTGGCTGGGGCAACATTCAGATGGGTGGGGTACAAGTAAATTGTTGTTGTTTTAGCAAACTATAGTTAAGATTAGCCACAGCTTGTTGGATTTTGGTTGTTTTCTCAAGCTACTGTTAAACAACAGCTGTTCAGTTACAAAATAAGAATATCCTCCCTCCCCCAGCAACAGGATGAACACCTAGAATAGCCACTGCCCCCATACATGGAATGGCAAAAAATATATTTCCCTGGTGCTAAAAAGTTGACAGTGTTGGCACCAGCCAATCTTACATGTGGGAGAGTGTTCCAGAGATGGAACAATAATAACACAATACAGTGGTACCTCGGGTTACATACGCTTCAGGTTACAGACTCCGCTAACCCAGAAATAGTACTTTGGGTTAAGAACTTTGCTTCAGGATGAGAACAGAAATCGTGCGGCAGCACGGCAGCAGTGGGAGGCCCCATTAGCTAAAGTGGTGCTTCAGGTTAAGAACAGTTTCAGGTTAAGAACGGACCTCCGGAACAAATTAAGTACGTAACCAGAGGTACCACTGTAATGCTTAAGCGTTGTGGTGAAACACAGCCACTCTCTGTTCTCATGCGCTCCTGAGACCCCGGAAGCTACCTGTTTGATTCACTATGGCATGCACTTTTCATGAAATCACCTTTCAGCGTAAGAGATGTTGCAGGCCTGTTGCAGTTCTCTTTCCCTCGGTGTATTGTATCTTTTTGTTTTCTCCTCCTTTCGCTTAGGATCACCTTGTTAAGCAGGGCATGAAATCTGAACATGCCACTTCTCTCGTTGAGCTGACCTCGGTCAAGTGCAGCTGTGTGAAGTACGACGTGGAAATAGCAGAGGAGTACTTTGCCAGACAGGTGTGTGTTGAGGTGCATAGAACTAGTGGCGGCAGCTGGATTTTTGTTACCTGCTCTGATGCAATGCAGAGGGTAGTGAGAGGACTTAGATACACACGAACGTGTTGAACCTGCTGGATCAGTGCAATGGCCTGTGTATCCCAGCCTCCTGTTCTCATAGTGGCCAACCAGGTGCCTGTAGCAAACTTGCAAACAGGACCCAAGCGCAAGAGCACTTTTGCCCTCTGTGGTTTTCCAGCAGGATCCAGCTGTGGAGGCAGAACATAGCCACTATACTAGGAGCCACTGATAACCATATCCTCTCTCGTTAATTGGTCCAATCCTCTTTTTTTAAAGCCATCCAATTTGGCAGCCATCTCTGCCTCCTGTGGGAGGGAGTTCTATTGTTTAACTATGCACTGGGTTAACAAGTCCTTTCGTCTGTCCTGAATCTTCCATGGAGGGTAACAATAATAATAGAACGACCTGGCAATATCCAGATGTTTCAGACATCTTTCCGAATCAGACTTGCCCAGCACAGCTGTTGGCACCTGGTTAGCAAAGGCCAAGTTAGAATGTGGGGTGGAGGACCCAGATTTCTGATCCTATCTTGCCTGTGAAACTCATTTGGGTGATTTCAGGCAAGTCTCTCTTAACCTAACGTGCTATTGCAGGGTTCTATTTTGAGAATAAAACAAGTTGGCTCCATGCAAGCCACCCCAAGCCTGCTAGGAGGGAAGGTTTGGGATCCAAAAGTTCTCAGTAAAAATAACCTCTTCCATTCTTTCCAAAGATCTCCTCATTCTGTGGGATCGACTGCACCACCATCCTTAGGCTGCACGAGATCCCCAGCTTGCAGTCGATTTATACCCTGGACGCTGCCATTTCCAAGGTCCAGGTCTCCCTCGACGAGCACTTCTCCAAGCTGGCCGCTGAGACTGACCCCCACAAGTCGTCTGAGATCACGAAGAACTTGCTCCCGGCTACCTTGCAGTTGATCGACACCTATGCCACCTTCACCAGGTAAGTGGGCTGCATCGTATTCCTGGAAGGGTTGTATACCTCGGCCCAGTATACCTGAAGGAGCGTCTCCACCCCCATCATTCTGCCCGGACACTGAGGTCCAGCTTCAAGGGCCTTCTGGCGGTTCCCGCATTGCGAGAAGCAAAGCTACAGGGAACCAGGCAGAGGGCCTTCTCGGTAGTGGTGCCCACCCTGTGGAACACCCTCCCATCAGATGTCAAAGAGATAAACAACTACCTGACATTTATAAGACATCTGAAGGCAGCCCGGTTCAGGGAAGTTTTTAATATGTGACATTTTAATGTATTTTTGATCTTTGTTGGAAGCCGCCCAGAGTGGCTGGGGAGACCCAGCCAGATGGGTGGGGTACAAACAAACAAACAAACAAACAAACAAATAAATAATAATAATAATAATAGTCTTAGAACAGGGGTTCCCCAACTTGGGGAACCCAAGTTTTGGACTACAATTCCCATCATCCCTGATCACTGGTCCCACTAGCTAGGGATGATGGGAGTTGTAGTTCAAAAACAGCTAGAGACCCAAGTTGGGGAAACCCTGCCTTAGAACATAAGAAGATCCCTGCCTAATTGGCCCAAGGGCCCATCTACTCCAGCATCCTGTTCTCACAACAGCTAATCAGATGCCCATTAAGGGAAGCCCTTAAGGAAGTCCTGAATGCAGCAACCCACTCTTCACACCTGTGATTCCCAGCAGCTGATATTCAGTAGCGTTACTGCCTCCCAACAGTGGAGATGGAGCATATCCTTAGCCCTCATTTCATTTCATTTTTCATTTCACTTTTAATTTGTTTACTGCCTTTCTATATCGGTACAAGCAAGGCAGTTTTCAAGCTGTAGACAAAAGCACAATTCGCAACAAAAAGCACATATCCTATACCACTCTGATCCAGTGCAAATAACTCATAATAAAAATATGACTTTAAACTAAGCAAGTTACATCAAATAAAGTCAAGTTCAGTGATCAATTTAGAATAAGATATTGCACTATAAAATTAACCCTTGGAATATCAGCAAATAATAGCTAAACAGAAATTCACTCTCAGCTATTACAGGAAATAATTACTAGATGATAATCAACAGCAAAGTCATAATACATAAAAGACAATGTTAAAAGATCGAATTCCTCCATGAATTTATCCGATCCTGTCTTAAAGCCATCCAAGTTGGAGGTCATCACTGCTTCCTGTGGAAGGGAGTTCCACAGTTTTGAAAATGCCTGCCCGGAATCGTCCAGCTTTCAGCTTCTTCAGGTGGCCTGGAGTTCTAGTATTTTGAGAGAGGGAGATATCTTTTCTCAGAGACCCCCAAAAGTCTGAATCTGGAACTCCCAACCTCCCCTCCCCTGTCCCTGGTGCAGGTCTTACTTACTGCAGAGCCTCTCGGAAGAAGGCGCTTCTGAGAACAAGCCCACAGAGGAGAAGCTACAGGGCTACGCAGCTGTCCTGGCTATCGGCTCCAGCCGATGCAAATCCAACACTTTGGGTAAGCTGTTTTTTGCCTTCCTTCCCTGGTGTGGCTTCACTGCTGTGATTGCTTTCCCAGATGATGTTACGGCTCCTCTGTACATAGAGCACATGCATTCAAAATGTCCTGGATTCAATCTCCAGCATCTCCACTTGGTTGGGGGAGGGGGCAAGCGGATAGCTGAGCTTGGAGCCTCTCCAACTCCATGAAGTTCCTGGGTGGAGTTTGAGTTCGTGCCCTGAAAGCGTGTCTCTTGTTTGCCGGTCTTCTGTGGAGCAGGACCAGCCCTTGTCCAGAACTTGCCTTCAGCTGTGCAGTCTTTGTGTGAATCATGGAACAACATCCACACCAATGAATTCCCAAACATTGGCTCATGGGTAAGTCCAATTTTATAAATATTATTATTGTTGTTTATTTTCTGGCTGCAGTGGCAAAGCGCTACGTATTTTTTTCCCTATTTGCTACCCGTGACGGGGTGAGCTCCCGTTGCTCAGTCCCTGCTCCTGCTAACCTAGCAGTTCGAAAGCACATCAAAGTGCAAGTAGATAAATAGGTGCCACTCTGGCGGGAAGGTAAACGGCATTTCTGTGCGCTGCTCTGGTTCACCAGAAGCGGCTTAGTCATGCTGGCCACATGACCCGGAAGCTGTACGCCAGCTCCCTCGGCCAATAAAGCGAGATGAGCGCCGCAACGCCAGAGTTGGCCACGAATGGACCTAATGGTCAGGGGTCCCTTTAACTTTATATACTGCCTTTTCCTCCAAGGAGCTCCAAGTGGTGTATACAGGTCTCCCCTTCCCCATTTCATCCTCACAACAACCCTGTGAGGTAGGTCGCTGAGAGATGGTGACTGGCCCAAGGTCACCCAGTGAGCTTCATGGTGGAGAGGTGATTTGAACCCTGGTCTCTCAGGTCCCAGTCCGACGATAACAACTTGGTGGTTGGGAAAAGGAAGCAGCTCACACTGCCTGCTTCACCTTCTCACATTTTCCTCTCCTTCCTCCTTGTCCCCATTCAGTGGACCTTTACGGTGGTGAGCTCTCCTCTCTGCCCACTAGATGGCAGGCTCATCCGCTGGTTTAATCTCCTCTTCTGCTTAACACTGTTGGGATACTGCCGGGGAGACAGGGGCATTTGGCAGGCCCCCAGCTGGCTCCAGCCACCAGGCGGCAGCCGGGCGATCTCCAGTTCCCGGTGCAGCATCAATCAGTGACACAAGCCTCAGATACGTTTAGAGACTCGGCACGCTCTTATCTTTTTTTTTTTTTAAATAAATTTTTATTAGTTTTCCATAAATAGAAAAAACAAAACAGAACAAAAACATAAACAAACATAAAATGGACCTCCCCATACCACCCCTTTCCTGCATCCTTATTTCAAATTTTTCCAGCAACCCTTTAGTCATGAACATATTTTACTCATTTCATAAATTTAACTTCCTTAACTTAATAATAACAACTGTAGTTCTTTATCTCTTATCTCCCTGACTCCTAGTTTTCTTCCAAATTACAACAATTTTTAAGATATGCTTTAAATTTGTTCCAATCTTCTTCCACCGCCTCCTTCCCCCGGTCTCGAATTCTGCCAGTCATCTCTGCCAGTCCCATGTAGTCAATCACCTTCGTCTGCCATTCTTCCAACGTCGGCACGCTCTTATCAGCAGAGTGAATAAATCCTCACAACAGAAGTGGCGGACAGAGACATGTTTGAGCATTATTTATAGCAATTTATTCAACGGAACAAAGGAAAAACATGTCTGCTTCCCTTCATCTCCAAGCAAACAGCAGATAAAGCAAAAGGAATATACAAACGGAAGTTCCCAGCAAGCCTGTGCTGGAAGTAAACAGGCATGTGACACACAGCAGTCATGCCTGTTCCCTTTTAAGGTGGAAAGGAACTATATCCTAACAAACACATCTCTCAAGCTAGCTATGAGGTCTCTCTCTTCAAGAAAATCTTTAATAAAAATACATTAAAAAAACAACTCAGCAGAGCACTACCATTTATTTTTTTTAAAAAAGCTAGCTATGAAGTCTCTCTCTCTAGGAGGTGAAGGGGGGAAAGGTGCTTAAAACTTAACTTGACCAGCCCAAAAAAAGCAGCTGTGGGACAGCTATCCTTAAAGCAAAACCTTTTCTTATGGTGTGATAAGAACCATAAGATGAGCCTGCTGGATCAGGCCATTGGCCCATTTAGTGAAGCATCCTGTTTCACAATGGCCAACCAGATGCCTCGATGGGGGAATCCCGCCCCCCAGCAGGATCCACACACAAGGCCACCCTCCCTGGTATTCAGAAGCATCACTTTCTCTAATCACGGAGGCAGATTGTAGCCATTGCGGTGGAAGCCTTTTGTGTCTTTTTCATTCAGCTGCAGCTGATGGCCATAAAAGAAGCAGCTTTCTCATCTGTATTTTCACCCACCCAAATCTGGATTATGATACACTCCCTTGGGCTGTTTAGTTTAGGGCTATAGCCAACTAAGTCCTACTCGGAGTAGACCCATTGAAATGAATGGACATGCCTGACTTAGGACCATTCGTTTCAGTGAATCTCCTCTGCGTAGCCCAATGCTGGGTACAACCACTTAAATTTTATACACCCTGGGAGTCAAGTTTTCCGTGGTATTGTATTTATTTGCTGATTTTTAAAAAAAGTTTTCTTGCATATTTTACTCACTCTTAATTGTGCACTCTAAATAGCCCTGGAATAAATAATAAATGAAGAGGGTAGTTTAGGAAATGTATTTAAAAAACAAAAGCAAATGGAGCTAACTCAGTTTTACTCGGAGTAGACACTCTGAAATGAATGGACCTGGGAGAGGTATGTTAATTAATTTAGTGGGCCTACTGTGAGGAGGACTAGCATTGGATGCTCTTTTGCTTGCTTCTAGCGCAACGCTTTTGCCAACGACACGATCCCAGCAGAGAGCTACATCAGCGCGGTGCAAGCCGCCCACCTTGGCACCCTCTGCAGCCAGAGCCTTCCCCTTGCGGCCTCCTTGAAGCGGACCCTCCTCTCCTTGGTCAGGCTCACTGGTGATCTCATTGTGTAAGCTGAAATATGTTTGGTTCACAGACAGCCCCTCTTTCATCTAGACCAATGGGCATCACTTTGGGGTGGGCCATCTGTCTGTCTATCTGAGTACTGAGTGGCAGCAGCTCCCCAGACGGGACATTTCCTAGCCCTACCTGGAGATACCATTGCAGATCCTCTTTTGCTGAGCTAGGGCTCTTCCCTTAGACCAGTGGTTCTCAACCTGTTGGTCCTCAAATGTTGTTGGACTACAACTCCCATCATCCCTGAGCTCTGGCCTTGCTAGCTAGGGGTGATGGGAATTGTAGTGCAACAACATCTGGGGACCCACAGGTTGAGAAAGGCTGCCTTAGACGAAGGAACACAGAACACTGCCTTGTATCAAGTAAGACCATTGGTCCCATCTAGTCAGTATTGCTTGCACAGACTAGGAGCAGCTCCCCTGGGTTTTAGACAGGTGGTGTTCCCAGCCCTAGCTAGAGATCCGACTGGGGATTTCACTGGGGACCTTCTGCATGCAAAGCAGGTACTCCTTTACTGAGCTACGGGCCCCTTCCTCATCAGCCTTTTGAGTGCCCTCTTTTCCCTCCCATCACCTCCAGCTGGTCAGATGAACTGAACCCGCCCCAGGTGATCCGCACACTGCTTCCCCTTCTCCTGGAGACCAGCACGGAGAGCGTAGCGGAGATCAGCAGCAACTCCCTCGAGAGGATCCTGGGCCCAGCGGAATCGGACGAGTTCCTGTCACGTGTCTATGAAAAATTGATCATGGGCTGTTACAACATCCTGGCCAATCACTCTGACCCCAACAGGTATGGATTCTTTCACAGCCCTAAATGCCTTGAACAATAAGAAGAGTCTGCTGGATGAGGCCAGTGCCCCATCTAGTCCAGCATCCTGTTCTCACAGTGCTCAACCAGATGGGCCAGTGGGAAGCTGAAAAGCAGGATTTGAGCACAAGAGCACACCCCCTCCTGAGGTTTCCAGCAACTATTACTCAGAAGCATTGCTGCCTTCGACTGTGGAAGCAGAGCATAGCCACCAGGCTAGTAGCTATCAGAAGCCATCTCCTTGGTCTTGTGCTCCATGAATTTGATTTGTCCTCTTTTAAAGCCAGCTAGGTTGGTGGCTGTTGCTTAAATATATGCCCAGTTCTTTCCCTGGAGGCAATTCAATGTCCTCCATTGCCTGCATCCTTTTCCAAAGTGCTTTTATACAGTTTCAGTAGAGCAAATCCCTTGTACAGATAAATCCAAATGTAACATGTGTAGCTGCTTCTGTACAGCTGAACTGCAAAACTGGTCTTAGCTGGGTCTCTTCTGTAGGCTCCTTGTTGTTCTGCTGATTCACTAAAAAGGTGGGGCCCTGTTGCCCCTCTCCCCTCAGAGGGAATGCAGCTCAGAGCCAGTGTGGTGTAGTGGTTAAGAGCGGTAGTCTCGTAATCTGGGGAACCGGGTTCGTGTCTCCGCTCCTCCACCTGCAGCTGCTTGGGCCAGTCACACTTCTTTGAAGTCTCTCAGCCCCACTCACCTCACAGAGTGTTTGTTGTGGGGGAGGAAGGGAAAGGAGAATGTTAGCCGCTTTGAGACTCCTTAAAGGGAGTGAAAGGCGGGATATCAAACCCAAAACTCTTCTCATGAGATAAGAAGGCCTCAAAAGGCCTTGAGCATTTCTAAGCAACTAGCATAAAATTGTAGAGTTGGAAAGGGACCCCACGGGTCATCCAGTCCAACCCCCTGAAATAAAACCTGCTGCGGCTTTAATCTAACATGGCTATCACACCCTCCCGTGGGAGCGACTTCCATAGTTTAACTCTGTGCTGTGTGAAGAAGGACTTCTGGGTTTACCACAGGCATTTGATTGATGACTGTGAGAAGCGGCTGCTGGACTAGATAGGCCATTGGCCTAATTACCGTATTTTTCACTCTATAAGACGCACTGCTCTGGAGGTTTCGGGCGGCTATCCCTGAAGCCTGGAGAGTGAGAGGGGTTGCGAAAGCAACGTAAAGCCTCCAGAGCGCAGCGGGCGGCTATCCCTGAAGCCAGGAGAGTCTTGCTCTCCTGGCTTCAGCGAAAGCAACACGAAGCTTGCTGTGCAGCGCCCCTTCAGCGAAGCAGGAGGAGAAATGGAAGGGGCTCCGTTTCTCCTGCCACTTCGCTGAAGGAGCGCTGCACAGAGCGGGAGAGCATTTTTTTTTCTTGTTCTCCCCCTCTAAAACTAGGTGCGTCTTATGGTCGGGTGCGTCCTATAGAGCGAAAAATACTGTACTTTTTAAAGCTGAACTGCCATGGCTGCAGTGGGTTCCTCCCATTAACACAAGTGGATAACCAATGCTGCCCTCCTCACTGTTAAAAATGTGTCCTATGCTTGGTAAGACTTAACCTGCCTCTAGATAAAGTTCCCATCTCTGGCAAAACAATTTCCCCTTCCCTTAGTGGCCTTGATGAATCCATCTTGGAAGAATGTCTGCAGCATCTGGAAAAGCAACTGGAAAGCAGCCAGGCCCGGAAAGCGATGGAAGAGTTTTTTTCCGAGAGGTGAGCAAGGCCATCCACCTTCCTGTTACCTCCGCATTTCTGACATGCCCTTCTGCTCAGGTGCTGCCGAGCTCCTGTCTGCTGTGCAGCTTGGCCAGGTGACCAAGGATGATGGGAGTTGTAGTTCAACAGGGGTCATCACCCCTGGCTATGTCACCCTCTGCCAACTTGGTGCCCTTCAGATATTTTGAATGATAACTCCCTGTATACACTGGGGCTGATGGGAGTTGTGGTCCCAAAACATCTGGAGCTTTGTGGAGGCTGGGAGATACGCCAAGAGCCTAAGCAAATGTCCATCTAGTTTTGAAAGAGGCCCAGACAGATGCCTCTAAGAAAAGCATAAGTGGAGGAATGGAGGCCAAAGCCTTTCCCCCTGTTTATTTACGTTTTTACTTACTTATTTATAAAAATAGTTACAGACTGCTTTTCATAAGAGAAAACCAGAGTGGTTTACAAAAACCACATGAAAAACCATATATAAATCCTAAGATCAGAAATAAGCTGTAATGGAAAGATTCATTCTTAATCACCTGCATAGGCCTGACTGAATAGAAAAGTTTTCAGCAGGCATGAAATGAAAGGTGCCTGAACTGAAGGCTCTGTATTATTGTTGTCAAATGAGCCCCTTCAACTCTGGGAATGACCCAAAGATGCTCCCTGCAGGTGGTCTCAGTAACTGAGCTGGAATTTAAGGGCTCAGGCAGTCCCTGAGGCACTCTGGACCAAAGTTGGTCAGGGCTTTGTAAATTAATAAGGTAAAGGTACCCCTGACCAATGAGGGACGCAGGTGGCGCTGTGGGTAAAAGCCTCAGCGCCTAGGGCTTGCCGATCGAAAGGTTGGCGGTTCGAATCCCTGCAGCGGGGTCCACTCCCGCTGCTCAGTCCCAGCGCCTGCCAACCTAGCAGTTCGAAAGCACCCCCGGGTACAAGTAGATAAATAGGGACCGCTTACTGGCGGGAAGGTAAACGGCGTTTCTGTGTGCTGTGCTGGCTCGCCAGATGCAGCTTGTCACGCTGGCCACGTGACCCGGAAGTGTCCTCGGACAGCGCTGGCCCCTGGCCTCTTGAGTGAGATGGGCGCACAACCCCAGAGTCTGTCAAGACTGGCCTGTACGGGCAGGGGTACCTTTACCTTACCTACCCCTGACCAATAGGTCCAGTCGTGACTGACTCTGGGGTTGTGGCGCTCATCTCGCTCTATGGGCCGAGGGAGCCGGCGTTTGTCCGCAGACCGCTTCTGGGTCATGTGGCCAGCATGACTAAGCCGCTTCTGGTGAACCAGAGCAGCACACGGAAACGCTGTTTACCTTCCCACCAGAGCAGTACCTATTTATCTACTTGCACTTTGACGTGCTTTCGAACTGCTAGGTTGGCAGGAGCAGGGACCGAGCAACGGGAGCTCACCCCGTTGTGGGGATTCGAACCGCCGACCTTCTGATCAGCAAGTCCTAGGCTCTGTGGTTTAACCCACAGCGCCACCTGCATCCCTTTTGTAAATTAATACAAGGACCTAAATTCCATATATCTGCTATTCTAAGTTATGCTGTCTCCAAACATGGCGGTTCCATTTTGCCATCAATGGGGCTTAATGGCATGTAGCGTGGGGAGGACAGACTGCAAATTCCAACATTTTCTTAGGCTCGTGACACTTAACGTAAATTGTGTAGCTACCAGCCATCTTATCTAATGCCTTCTATCCAATGTTCCTTTTGAACCAGTGGAGAACTGGTGCAGATCATGATGGCGACAGCCAACGAAAGCCTTTCGGCGAAGTTCTGCAACAGGGTCCTGAAGTTCTTCACCAAGCTCTTCCAGCTGAGTGAGTGGTCCTGCTCAATCCTGCTTTGTGGCTATAGTTTTGACTTGTACAGGAATAATAAACTGTTCTCTGCATTTAATGCTTGCTATGTTGTGCAGAACGTTGGTGAGGTGCTTGCTTTAACATGGTTGTTGGTGCATGGGCCCCAGTTCTATCTGAAACCTTCCCCTTCCCTCAGCTACTCCTGAGTCTGTTGGACAGATGGAGGGAAGCTACTGTCAGCCCCAATTGCTTCAGATCACGTGAAAAACCCTTATTTCCATTCCTTCTCAGGGGATAGCACAGCCGTCTCTTTTCTTCTCCCCTTTTGTGGCTGCCCAGATTCAAGGAACAAGGCATCTGCTTCCGAATTTCTACAGCTCTCTTTTATACACACACTGTTGCTTAGCAAAAATTTATTGAAACTGACTCAGGGATGGGGGGAACCTTGGTAGCCCTCCCGATGGAGTTGCTGGACTCCAGCTCCCATCAACCCCAGCCAGCATGGCCGGCCTTCCAGAGGGCCCCCGGGCCCCCACTCCTGCATGATAAAGAAGTTCTGCCGTTAAAAACCCCTTTGTAGCTTTGTAGGACATGACACCTGCAAAATAAGCTCGCAGACATCTACCAGATTTCCTCTGCAAACTCATCAGATAACTAAATGCAGGTGATCTTAGCCTGCAGTATTTGGATAGAACAGTGCTTCTCAAACTTGGGTCTCCAGCTGTTGTTGGACTACATCGCCCACCATCGCTGAACACTGGTCCTGCTAGCCAGGGATGATAGGAGTTGTAGTCCAACAACAGCTGGCGGCTCCACTGGGATAGATGGTTGTCTCTCTCCCCCCCCCCCCGGTAAAATAAGTGCTGGTGAGCCCTTGGGGAAACTGTCTTAGGAGCAGAGGAAGCTGCCTGTTACAGTGAGTCAGACTGCTGGACCACTTGTCTCACTATTGTCTGCAATGGCTGGCAGCAGCTGTCCAGGCCTTCAGGCAGGGAGTCTTTCCCCAGCCTTTTCCCAAGGTGACACGGATTGAACCTGGGATCTTATCCATACAATCTCTGCCCCTGAACTGTGACCCCTCTCGGCTTTCTGTGGAGGTTGCTGGTTGCTCCGTTCCACCTTCTTTTTCTCTGCCTCTTCTAGCTGAGAAGAGCCCCAACCCCAGCCTCCTGCGCCTGTGCGGCTCCTTGGCCCAGCTGGCATGCGTAGAGCCAGTGCGCCTCCAGGCCTGGCTGACCCGGATGACCACCTCACCCCCGAAAGAGTCTGACCAGCTGGAGGTGGTGCAGGAGAACAGGCAGCTGCTCCAGCTGCTGACAACCTACATTGTCCGAGAGAACAGGTAGGTGGATCGGCCCCATCCAGGTAGGGAGCTTCTAGTTTTTAGCCACATGGGAAGCTGTTTTATATGGAATCAGACCATTGGTCTATCTAGCTCAGTACTCTCTGCACCAGTGGTTCCAAAGTGGGCAATACTGCCCCCTGAGGATGGGGGTGGAAATACCTAGGAGGGCTCTAAGATGCAGAGGAGTTGGTGATGCAAGACTCCTGCTAAGGGACTTTAAATTGGGAAACTGGTGCCACTTCCTCAGGCTTATCCACACATTAAGAAGTTACCGACAACGAAGTAGTTAGTAAGCATCATATCGGAGGCTCTTGCAACTAGCAGACTTTGAAAAGCTGGTATCACTGGATCAGGTTCATCAGTTTGCTGGATTGATTAACCTGAATAGCTTTGATTGGATTTGGAATGAATGTGCAGTTAATTGAGTTTCATAGCAGGTCGTTCAAACCACTATTTTGAATGATGCTTTTTGTAGGGAAAGGGGCGCTGGGGATGAGTTCATGGAACCTAGGGGGTGCTGGGGCCCTGAAAACAGTTCGGGAACCAGTGATTCATACATGGACTAGCAGTGGCTCTCCATGGTTTCAGAGCAGATTCCCAGCTCTACCTGGAGATGCTGCCGGCTATTGGAGCCGGGACTGTCTGCATTCAAAGCAGCTGCTCTGCCATTGAGCAGCTGCCCTCCCCCGTAGCTTCCCAAACCCAAATCTTCCCAAATCTTGGTGTGATGGGCCGCTACTGTCTTGCCTTTCCAGCCAAGTCGGCGAAGGCGCCTGCACTGTCCTCCTGAGCACCCTGATCCCGATGGCCACGGAGATGCTGGCAAATGGTGATGGAACTGGCTTTCCCGAGCTGATGGTAGTCATGGCCACTCTGGCCAGCGCTGGTCAAGGGGCAGGGCACCTCCAGCTTCACAGCGCCGCTGTCGATTGGCTGAGCAGATGGTAAGAAGGGTGGTGGGAAGTGTCTTGTTTTGCGTGTCAGCCTCTCCCTCTCCTGAACAGAAATGGCTCAAAGTGATTGGATGGTTTGTATTGAGATGCAAAGGCGTTTGCCTGTCCATAGCCTGGAACGGTGAACTGTGCCACTGGGGCAGGGCATGCCTTTTTTTCTTTTCTTTCTTTCTTTCTTTTATTTGATTTTCAAGATTTAATTATCATTATGAATAACGATCTGGTAGGAAATACGTAAGAAGAAAATGGGGGGGGGGACAGCGGTAACAAAACAACAACCAGGGTTCACAGCCATTGCATCATAAAATAAAGTATGTTCTCAAGAGACTATACATTGAATTAGATGTTACGACAAAATCCTACCTCAAAGAGAACAGAGCTAAAATTACAAATTCCAAATGTTGCCATATTTCATTGGGACTTGTCATTCCTGTGATTAGGTTGGAGATCCAATATTCTAGGCCAATTTTCTGCCATCTTCCCCGCCAACCACTCTTTTTATCTCACGCTGTTCTAGCAAGAAATACTTGTCTCAGAAGAACGTTGTTGAGAAAATGAATGCCAACGTCATGCATGGAAAGGTAATGCCTATCTTTGTTTAAGGGGTATGTGCAGTTAATTCCCTTGTGGTCTTGTAGATCAGGCAGCACCAAGGGGGAGCCAGGGAAGAAAGGATGGAGGACAGGGCAATATGGAGCCTCCTTCCTGAACACAAGGGCGATCCTTCCCTGCATAGAGAATCTTGTGCTCGGTCTGTCATGGTGACTTTTGCCCAACAGTTGAGGGAAGCATTATGGTCTCTGGATGTCTTCTCTGGGAGTCTACTCTGGTGGATGCAGTCCAGAGAAACCCAGCTTTGCTTTGTGCAGTTTAGTAGAATCAGCTTGAGAGGTATATCTGAATACTTGCCATGGCAGTGAGCTGCCTTATACTGAGTTAGACCATTGGTCCACCTAGTTCAGTATGGTCTATACTGACTGGCAGCAGCTCTCCATGGTTTCAGGCAGGGGACATTTCCAGCCCTACGTGGAGATGCCTTTGTGGATCGAAGCCAGGACCTTCTGCTTGCAAAGAGGTGCTCCACCACTGAGCTACAGCCCATCCACAGTGGGGTGGTGGAGAGAAGACTTCTTCTTGGAACAAGGGGCATATTCCAGCCAGGCAAAAGCACTTGGGGAGAGCATGCTCGGTGGAGAGTCCCATGGGGCAGAACAGAGAGGCCCACAGGCCTGAGTCTCTCAGCAGAGTCAATGCTGCAGCCTGACTGTCATGTTGCAGCAGGATTTAGTAGAAAAGTCCTCTATCTGTGTGACTGAATGCCTCCTCCTCCTCTTACCTCTTGCAGCACGTGACTATCCTGGAATGCACCTGCCATATCGTCTCCTACCTGGCTGATGTCACCAATGCCCTGAGCCAGACCGGCGGGCAGGGCCCCAGCCACCTCTCTGTCGATGGGGAGGAGCGGGCCATCGAGGTGGACTCAGACTGGGTGGAGGAGCTGGCTGTGGAGGAGGAGGACTCCCAAGCTGAAGACTCGGTAGGTGGCCTGAGACTCGCTTGGCAAACTGGTCTAGCAAAGTGGCAAGACCACTGTGTTCTGTGAAAAGGTTTATGAAGACAAAACACTAAATTGTAAAAGACCCCTTACATTTAAGGCTTCCTTTTTTGCCTTTGTGTGAGGCTAACTCGGATTGGTTGAATTTAAATTCAGAAGGGCTCTTAATCTTCCCAAAGCAACAGATGTGGTGGTAAAACTGTCCCCATACTGTACAATTTTCAAGTACCACATGCATGAGGATTTCCATGAATGAAGGCTGTTTCATACATATTTTTACAAAAACCTTGCAATGCAGAAAAGTAGGGCATTTGGGAGAAGGTGGCTCTGGTTTAGCCCTCTCCTGGAGTTTCTACTAGTCTACATGCAGAGATTTTAAAATAAAGGAGCATTCAGCCAAGTGAATTGCCCACAGGTCTGATACCTCTTCAGCTGGTTGTGAATACAAAGCCATTGTGTTTACACTGGTCTGAAGAAAGACTGTGTAGCTTTCCAGCTAAAAGGCCCTTTCCCCTCCTCTCTGGTGTGTGTGTGTAGGACGAGGACTCGCTCTGCAACAAACTTTGTACGTTTACCATCACTCAGAAAGAATTCATGAACCAACACTGGTGAGTCACCCTTGATTTTGAAATTTGAGTTGGGGGGCTTCTCTGTGGTCACCCGTTGTCTTGTGGCATTTGTCAGCCTGATAGCCCTGTCCTGGTGACCCAGGGTAGGGGGAAGTGCCCATTGCTGTGCTGGTCACCCAGCAGCCAGTCATCATGCCAACATAACTGACTGCTTTCAAGAAATAAAAACCTTCGCTCTGCAGGTACCACTGCCACACCTGTAAGATGGTCGACGGCGTCGGGGTCTGCACCGTTTGTGCGAAGGTTTGCCACAAGGACCACGAGATCTCGTATGCCAAGTACGGCTCTTTCTTTTGCGACTGTGGGGCAAAGGAGGACGGCAGCTGCCTGGTACGCTTCTCTGGTGATCGGGGGTGTTGGGATCTGTGGGGTGTTGTTGGTGGCAGCCCAGGCGGCACGCCGCAGGGGTGAACCCACGTGCCGTGTGTGAGCCTGACCACACGGAAATCATGTTCCTGATTTTGCAGGCCTTGGTGAAGAGGACGCCCAGCAGCGGCATGAGCTCCACCATGAAGGAGTCTGCCTTCCAGAGCGAGACCCGCGTCCCTGAGAGCGTCGTCCGGCACTCCAGCACCTCCCCCACGGACAAATCCAAGACCTCCATCAACGATGGGCGGGGAGGGTCTGACGAGGAGAAGCCCAAGAAGAGCAGCCTGTGCCGGAACGTGGAGGGCTGCCGGGAGCAGCTGCAGTCCCAGGTGGGCTGAAGGCCTCTCTCCTCAAGGGAGGAGCCTGGTGGCACCATGGGGAAGTTGGGGGGGCACCTGCCTCTTGAGATCAGGAACATAGGAAACTCCCTTAGGCCAAGTTAGGGTAATTGGTCCAACCAGCTCAGTATTGTCTACACTGGCAGCAGCTCTCCAGGCTTTCAGGCAGGGAGTGTTTCCCCAGCCCTTCCTGGAGATGTTTCCTGGATTGAACCGTGAGCCTTCTGCATGCAAAGCAGGCACTCTGCCACTGAGCTTCCCCTAAAGAAAGTAAAGAGTCTAGTCCTCATGGTTCAGAATGAAGTTCTAAGTTAAATTGAAAGCTGTCCGATACTGAGCCGGGCCCTTAGTCCATCTAACTCGCTGGCAGTGGCTCTCCAATGTTTCAGCCAGGAGTCATTCCTGATTAGGGTCGGGGATTTAACCTGGGACCTTCAACCTGACCATTAGGTCCAGTCGTGGCCGACTCTGGGGTTGCGGCACTCATCTCGCTGTATTGGCCGAGGGAGCTGGCGTACAGCTTCCGGGTCATGTGGTCAGCATGACTAAGCCGCTTCTGGTGAACCAGAGCAGCACATGGAAACGCCGTTTACCTTCCCGCTGGAGAGGTACCTATTTATCTACTTGCACTTTGACGTGCTTTCGAACTGCTAGGTTGACAGGAGCAACCTAGGGACTGAGCAATGGAAGCTCATCCCGTGGCAGGGATTCAAACTGCTGACCTTCTGATCGGCAAGTCCTCACTCTGTGGTTTAACCCACAGTGCCACCTGTGTCCCCCATTGAACCATATCCCTTCCCTATTGTTTACTTGATTTGCTGCCAGAGTCCTTGAGCAAGGAGGCCACTAAGGCTGTTTCCCTTTCTCTCCCCACCCCCCACCCATCTTGCTGCAGGTCAACTTCTCCTTTGCTCCTCTGGTGCTGGACATGCTGAACTTCCTCATGGAAGCCATCCAGGTCAACTTCCAGCAGGCCTCAGCCATGGGCAGCAGCAGCCGAGCCCAGCAGGCCCTCAGTGAGCTCCACACCTTGGACAAGACGGTGGAAATGACAGATCAGCTGATGGTAAGAACCTTGTGGTTTCCTTTGAAGCACACAGGGCAGCGGCTCCTCAATAGTCTTCCCTTCTCCAGAGGGACCCCAGGAGTCCATCCCCACCTCCTTTCACTCCAATTGGCTCCAATCAGCAGGGGCTCTATTGCAGAGATAGTAGCACGTCTTTGATCCCCCCCCCTGACAGCCCCAGACCACTACACGTGTGAACACAGGAGGTGGCATTCACTCTCTACTTTCATGCTTTATATAAGAGCTGATCACAAGAGCACTCTCCCCTCTTGAGGTTTCCAGCAACTGGTATTTAAAAGCATTGCTGCCTCCTGTGGTGGAGGCAGAGCATAGTCATCATGCCTAGTTGCCATCGGACCCCTCTTCTCCATGAATTTGTCCAGTCCTCTTTCGAAGCCTCCCAGGTTGCTGGCCATCTCTGCTTCCTATGGCAGCGAGGTCCCACAGTTTTAACTCTGTGCCTCGTGAATAAGTCCTATTTTTTATCTGTTCCTCATCTCCCAGCGTTCAGCTTCATGGGCTGTTCACAAATTCTAGTGTTCTGAGAGTGGGAGAAAAAACTTTTTGCTATCCACTTACACCTCGCTGCTTAAGGGCCCCCTCTGAAAGGCTTTGACCAGCCTTGGCAGGGCTCCAGACGCACTTCTGCCATAGCCGGGAGGAAGCAGAGTTCATCATTATGACTTCTGCCCAGTATTAAGCGTCAACAGAGATTCTTCCTTCCTCTGGCGTGGCGCCGCTCACTGGCTTGGCCTCTTCTGTGCTCTCCCCACTTCCCCAGGTGCCAACTCTCGGCTCTCAAGAAGGTGCCTTTGAGAATGTCCGCATGAACTACAGCGGGGACCAGGGCCAGACCATCCGGCAGCTGATCAGCGCCCATGTACTGCGGCGAGTGGCCATGTGCGTGCTTTCCTCGCCTCATGGGCGTCGCCAGCATCTGGCCGTCAGCCATGAGAAGGGCAAGGTGAGTCTAGACGGAGATGGGAAGCATCTGCATTTGGGGCAGCCACCTGCAGTGTGTGTGTGTGTGTGTGCGTTTTAAAAATCAGTACATTTTATTTCATCTTCCACATATGCGTATTACACTACAAATGACACTCCTCCTACCCAGAGTAGACCCGCTGAAATGAGGAAAACAAAATTAGTCCTGTCCATCAACTTCAGTGGGTCTGCTGTGAGGAGGACTAGTCTTTGATATGGCTCCATGAGCTTCTTCCATGAAACGGAGAGCCAGCATATGGTGTGGTGTTTAAGAGTGTTGGTCTAGGACAGGGGTCAGCAACCTTTTTCAGCCGTGGGCCGGTCCACCGTCCCTCAGACCATGTGGTGGGCCGGACTATATTTTGAAAAAAAAATATGAATGAATTCCTATGCCCCACAAATAACCCAGAGATGCATTTTAAATAAAACATTCTACTCATGTAAAAACATGCTGATTCCCGGACTGTCGGTGGGCTGGATTGAGAAGGTGATTGGGCCGCATCCGGCCCACAGGCCTTAGGTTGCCAAGCCCTGGTCTAGGACCTGGGAGATCAGGGTTCAAATCCCCAATTAAGCTGAGCCTTTCTGGGTGACCTTGGGCCAGTAATGGTCTCTTAGCTTAAACCTTGCATGGTTGTTGTGGGAATTGAATGAGGAGGTGGAGAACCAGGTACACCACTTTGAGCTCCTGGAGAAAAGGTGAGATATAAATGCAATAAATAAATAACTATTAAGTTCAAAATACATTAGAGTATTAATAATCTTACGTTTGATTATATATATGCATAATAAAATAGCTTGTTGGTTCCATATATTTTTACTTAGCAGTTGATCCTTCTACAGAAATAAAGAACTATCTGGTCTGTAAATGCACAAAGTCAGCTCCTTATCTTGAAATTCTCAGTTGTCTCTTTTTGTATTGAGTTACCAGGCTCCCATTTATCAGTAGCATCTCACAAAAACATACTTTCCCCCTTTAACACAACAGTTTAGCTTAGCTATATTTTGACAGTTCTCATTGTTGCCTTACAAAGCTCTGTGCATTTACATAGTCTTGTAGTGGGGTCTGGGAAACTTTCATGATCATAATGGTACCGTAGAGATGAAGCTGGCAACTCTGTGCTGTTCATTTCCCATTCAAGTGCCAAAGCGCCTCACACACTCTCTGCAACATCTCATGATCGTATTTTGCTCTTAAATGCAGATCACGGTCTTGCAACTCTCGGCGTTGCTGAAGCAAGCCGATTCCAGCAAACGGAAACTGACCCTGACTCGCCTGGCGTCCGCCCCGGTTCCCTTCACTGTGCTGAGCCTGACGGGGAACCCTTGCAAGGAGGACTACCTGGCTGTGTGTGGGCTGAAGGTAAAAAGCATGGCAGCAGCCTCTGGGGCCACAGCACCGCTCCCTCTCTTGGCATGACTATATTGGGTCCGTTAATTGCCGTGGGATAAAATACTTTCTCTCCAGTTAAAAAAAATAAAAAAAGCTACCTTGACATAGTAAAAGAGTGTAAACATAGGACAGCTTGGAAGAGATGCCTCGTGTAATAATAATAATAATAATAATAATAATAATAATAATTTATTATTTATACCCCGCCCATCTGGCTGGGTTTCCCCAGCCACTCTGGGCGGCTTCCAACTGAATATTAAAAACAGTACAGCATCAAACATTAAAAACTTCCCTAAAGAGGGCTGCCTTCAGATGACTTTTAAAAGTAAAACAGTTGTTTATTGCTTTGACATCTGCTGGGAGGGCATTCCACAGGGCGGGCGCCACTACCGAGAAGGCCCTCTGCCTGGTTCCCTGTAACTTGGCCTCTCGCAGTGAGGGAACCGCCAGAAGGCCCTCGGCGCTGGATCTCAGTGTCCGGGCTGAACGATGGGGGTGGAGACGCTCCTTCAGGTATACTGGACCGAGGCCGTTTAGGGCTTTAAAGGTCAGCACCAACACTTTGAATTGTGCTCGGAAACGTACTGGGAGCCAATGCAGATCTCTCAGAACCGGTGTTATGTGGTCCCGGCGGCCACTCCCAGTCACCAGTCTAGCTGCCGCATTCTGGATTAATTGCAGTTTCCGGGTCACCTTCAAAGGTAGCCCCACGTAGAGCGCGTTGCAGTAGTCCAAGCGGGAGATAACTAGAGCATGCACCACTCTGGCAAGACAGTCCGCGGGCAGGTAGGGTCTTAGCCTGCGTACCAGGTGGAGCTGGTAGACAGCTGCCCTGGACACAGAATTAACCTGTGCCTCCATGGACAGCTGTGAGTCCAAAATGACTCCCAGGCTGCGCACCTGGTCCTTCAGGGGCACAGTTACCCCATTCAGGACCAGGGAGTCCTCCACACGAGCCCGCCCCCTGTCCCCCAAAAACAGTACTTCTGTCTTGTCAGGATTCAACCTCAATCTGTTAGCCGCCATCCATCCTCCAATAGCCTCCAGGCACTCACACAGGACCTTCACCGCCTTCACTGGTTCTGATTTAAAGGAGAGGTAGAGCTGGGTGTCATCTGCATACTGATGAACACCCAGTCCAAACCCCCTGATGATCTCTCCCAGCGGCTTCATATAGATATTAAAAAGCATGGGGGAGAGGACGGAACCCTGAGGCACCCCACAAGTGAGAGCCCAGGGGTCTGAACACTCATCCCCCACCACCACTTTCTGGACACGGCCCAGGAGAAAGGAGCGGAACCACCGTATAACAGTGCCCCCAGCTCCCAGCCCCTCTAGACGGTCCAGAAGGATGTTATGGTCGATGGTGTCGAAAGGCCGCTGAGAGATCCAGCAGAACTAGGAAACAGCTCTCACCTTTGTCCCTAGCCCGCCGGAGATCATCAACCAGCGCGACGAAGGCAGTTTCAGTCCCATAGTGAGGCCTGAATCCCGATTGGAAGGGATCCAAATGGTCCGCATCCTCCAGGCGTGCTTGGAGTTGTCTGGCAACCACCCGCTCAATCACCTTGCCCAAGAATGGTAAATTTGAGACTGGGCGATAGTTGGCCATACTGGCTGGGTCTAAAGATGTTTTTTTAAGAAGCGGTTTAATGACCGCCTCTTTCAGCGGGTCTGGGAAGGCTCCCTCATAGAGGGAAGCATTCACCACCCCGCAGAGCCCATCGCCCAGCCCTTCCCGGCTCGCTTTTATCAGCCAGGATGGGCAAGGATCAAGGAGACAGGTGGTCGGTTTCACTTGTCCAAGCAGCCTGTCCACATCCTCGGAGGTAACAGATTGGAATTGATCCCATGTAACAGGACTAGACAGAACTCTAGCACTCTCCCGCCCTGGCCCTGCTCCCATGGTGGAGTCTACCTCCTTCTGAATCTGAGCGACTTTATCTGCAAAAAACTTTGCAAAAGCATTGCAGGAGATCTTGGGGTCCCTACCAGGCCCCGGTGGTGCAGGTGGTTCCGATAGATTGCGAACCACCTGAAAAAGTCTCCTGCTGCTGTTTTCTGCAGATGCAATGGAGGCGGTGAAGAAGGCCCTCTTCGCCGTCGCCATTGCCACTTGGTAGGCTCGACGTTGAGCTCTAGCCCGTGTCCGGTCTGATTCAGAATGAGTTTTCCGCCACCGGCGCTCTAGCCGTCTCAATGATTGTTTCATCACCCTCAGCTCCGGGGAAAACCACGGGGCTGTCCGGGCTCCATGCAATCGGAGAGGGCGCTTCGGAGCCAGACAGTCTATAGCCCTGGTTAACTCCGCATTCCAGCGGGCCACCAGGGAATCAGCTGAAAGGCCATCAACTTGGGATAAAACATCCCCTACCACTCTCTGGAAGCCAATTGGATCCATTAAGTGGCGGGGGCGGACCATCCAAATCGGTCCCACCTCCCTGCAGAGGGGAAGGGTTGCGGAGAAGTCCAGTTGCACCAGGAAGTGATCTGACCATGGCACTTCTTTTGTTTTGCTTTTAGTTAATGTCAGATCACCAACATCCGTAGAGGTAAACACCAAGTCTAAGGCATGTCCGCGGCTATGAGTTGGGCCAAACTTATTCAGGGACAGCCCCATGGAGGCCATGCTTTCCACGAAGTCCCGAGCGGCCCCTTGTAAGGTCGTGTCGGCATGGATGTTAAAATCCCCCAGGACAACCAAGCTAGGTGTCTCCAGGAGCATATCTGCCACAACCTGAAGCAGCTCGGGCAGGGAATCCTTGGTGCAGCGGGGAGGTCGGTACACCAATAGGAATCCTGTACTGCCCCTATTGCCCAACTTCCAGAACATGCACTCAGAAAATTGGGTCTTCCCAATAGGACGCCTGGTGCAGACTAATGACTTCCTAAAAATCACTGCAACCCCCCCTCCCCGCCCACATGACCTGGGTTGCTGTGCGTAAGAGAAACCTGGTGGGCAAGCAGCGGCAAGGACAGGCCCATCTGCCTTCATCCAACCAGGTCTCTGTCACACATGCCAGGTCAAATCCTCCATCCACAATCAGGTCGTGGATGGCAGTGGTTTTATTCATCATTGACCTGGCATTGCACAGCAACACTTTCAGGTCATGTGGGTTTCCCTTGCTGATTCCAGTATCCTTCTGGTCAGGACCAGACCTGGAGGCAGGGATAGTCCTCAAACAACGACTAAACCTGCCTCCTCGGTAATGACATGGTCTGGTCTTAGCGTAACTCCTCCTCCGGCCCGTGATCACTGAGATCGGGTGTCCCAATACATTCCCTCCTGTGGAACCTGCCCCAGCCATTCTATTGGCTGAGGCCCACTCCCAGGCAGCCCTGACCCTTCCCCTTAAAAGGCAAAATACAAACTATATAATAACTTAACAGAATAATAAAAATAGAAGCACAGCAAAAAACAATAGTGCTAAAATTAAACTATTCCCCACCCTAACTAAATACTTAACCAACCGCAAACAGAAATAAAATTATAAAATTATAAAACATTATAAAAAACAACCACCACCATTTAAGGTGCAGCAAATTAAAAGCAGTTAAAGCATTTAAAACCATTTTGTCACTTGCTGCAGGTAGCTGCTCAGGCCTCTAAACTGTAGTGGTGAGTGCAGGCCCCGCCCCCTAGGCCAGATGGAGTTGGCAGGAAAGGGAGCGGCCCACCCAGCACTCACCAGAGCAGCAGCAGCAGTGTAGTGGTGGTTAGAACCTGGGGGGATTTGAACCGGGGAGAGACCTGGGTTCAAATCCCCACTTGGCCGTGAAGTTCACTTCTCAGCCCAACCTGCCTCACAAGGTGGTTGTGGGAATTAAATGAGGAGGAGAAGAAGAACTACCATGTGCGCCACCTTGAGCTCCTTATAGAAAAAGTGGGATATAAATGCAATCCATCAATCATTTTCCAGTTTCCGTGTATTAACAACTTAGGCATTCTCTCCAGCATTTAATCGAGTTATTTCAATTTCTCTCTCTCTCTCTCCAGGACTGCCATGTGCTCACCTTCAGCAGCTCTGGATCTGTCTCGGACCACCTGGTCCTTCACCCTCAGCTGGCCACGGGCAACTTCATCATCAAAGCTGTGTGGCTGCCAGGCTCGCAGACGGAGCTCGCCATCGTCACCGCGGATTTTGTGAAGGTGCAGTGAAGTTGGGAAACAGGTTGGGGGCTGAACTAGATGGGACCTTTTAGGGTCTGATCTATAGAGGGTTGCCGTTGTGCTGCTCCTCAGCTGGGTATCCTGGACCTAAGCTGCTAAGGGCCTTGTAAATTATTTTATTTTTAAAAAATAATTTTTATTAGATTTAACATATAAAATTATAAAACACATCACAAAACTTCACCACTTATACAATTATTATTTTTTGGACTTACATCAGCGCCTCTGATGATCCACCGTTTTAACCACTTTTTATGCATTTCTTAAATTCATATTGCCTTTAATTATCTTAACTAACCAACTTCCCCCTAATCCCTTTTTTGCAATAGTTCCAATAATTCTCCTCACAAAACTTCTTGCAAATCTACAAACGTAGTCTGATCATCACAGATACTTTTCATATAATCTGTAAATTTACTCCAGTCTTCTGTGAACTTTTGGTCCCGCCGATTACAAATCCTTCCTGTTAGTTTATCTAATTCTGCATAGTCCATTAATTTCATCCTCCATTCTTCTTTCGTCAGTAATTCTTCTTGCTTCCATTTTTGTGCCAATAATATTCTTGCTCCCGTTGTTGCATATAAAAACAGCTTACATTCCTTTCTATTTATGTCACTTCCTACAGTGCCTAGTAAAAATGCTTCTGGTTTCTTTATAAATGTATATTTCAACATTTTTTTCATCTCATTGTATATCATCTCCCAGAAGTTTTTCACCTTTTTACATTCCCAAGGGCATTGTAAATTAATGTGATTTTTTTTTAACCTGGTCCCATAGCATGTGGGCAGACACTGCCGACTTTGGAGCAATGGAGTTATGTCCTGGGGGTAGTCTTTCCCCATTGACAGTCTAGCCACAGCATTTTGACCCAGCTGGAGTCTGTTCTTGCAGTGGCCAACCAGCCAGATGCCCCAAGGGAAACCCAGAAGTTAGACCTGAGCATTGCAGCGCTCTCCCCATTTGAGATTCCCAGCAATTGGCTTTTAGTCCATCGGCATTCATCTAGCTTCTGACAGTAGCCCTTTTTGTTGGCCCCCAACTACTAACTGTCCCTTCTGTTCCAACAGATTTACGACCTCTCAGTGGATGCCTTGAGCCCAACTTTCTACTTCCTGCTGCCCAGCTCCAAGATCAGGGACATTACTTTCCTGTTCAACGAAGAGGGCAAGAACATTGTGGTCATCATGTCATCTGCCGGCTACATCTACACCCAGCTCATGGAGGAAGCCAGCAGTGCCCAGCATGGCCCTTTCTATGTCACCAATGTCCTAGAAATCTCACATGATGACCTGAAGGTAACACAGCACTACATTTTATATTTCTGGTACCTGGATCGATGAAGGTTTCACAGTATGACATGACAGCCTTAAACAAGACCTCCTCTCTGTTTGGCTTTTCCCCTTCTGGGACATCACTGCTCACCCCTAACTATGAACAAGTTAAAAAACACAGGTCCCAGTACCAGTCCTTGCGGGGCACCACTTTCTACATCTCCCCATTTGGAGAACTGTCCATTTCTTCCTATTTTTTGCTTCCTGCTACTTAACAAGTTCCTGATCCACAAGAAGACCTCTCCTCTTATTCCTGGACTGCTAAGCTTACTCAGGAGTCTTTGGTGAAGCACTTCTTTTTGAAGGTCCAAGTATACCATCTCTACAGCTTGTTAACACTCTCAAAGAACTCTTAATAGGTTTGTGAGTCAGGGCTCTGCTTCAGCAAGGCTTGTTTTTCTACATACTTGGTTATTTTATCCTTAACAATACTTTCCGCCAGTTTTTCCAGTTAAGCTAACAGGACTGCAATTCCCAGCATTCACCCCCCACCCCCAATGCCCTGATCCTGTTTCAGTCTCTTCCCCTTCTGGAACATGTCTCCTGGAATCCAGCAAAATGTGGCCGTGTGTTTAAGAGGGTGTGTTCAGTATAGCAAGCGCAAATGGAAATTGAGCAGGAAGATCAACAGGTTATTGTGCATTCCTGAGAGGATATTTTCCTGCGTTGTCCCCAACACAGAGTAGACCCATTTAAATTACTTGACCCAGTCACTAAAAACTGCAGGAGGGGAAAGTGCTTTTGTGGTTGGGTCCTTCTTACAGGTTGGGGCATCTGGGTGGCCACTGTGAGAACAGGATGCCGGGCTAGACGGGCCACTGGCCTGATCCAGCAGTCTCCTAAGTTTTCATGCCTCTTCATTTCAGTGGATCTCCTCTTGAGTGGGACTCACATTCATAGAATCAGAGAATTGTAGAGTTGGAGGGAACCCTGAGGATCATCTAGTCCAGCGGTTCTCAACTTATGGGTCCCCAGATGTTGTTGGACTACAACTCCCATCATCCCTGAGCTCTGGCCTTGATAGCTAGGGGTGATGGGAGTTGTAGTTCAACAACATCGGGGGACCCACAGGTTGAGAAAGGCTGATCTAGTGTGACTCCCTGCAATTCAGGAATGTAAAGCTGTCCCATTGGATTGGATGCAACCCTGAGAACTTTTGCGGGCGCTGCTGGCACTTGCGGGTACTCCCTTGGTGACCCTTGGTCTTGCCACTGCATCACCCTTGACATCCTTTCCTCCCACAAGCAGTTTTGCCTCAGGAGGGCTTGGCATCACATGAACTTCCTCAAATGCCACATCGAAGCAGTGTTTGGGCCAGGGAAAGCATTTCCCAGTTTGCCTTCTTGGTAGCCTTCACAGTCCCGAGTCGCACCCAGAGGTCCCGACATGCCTCTTTTCTCCCTGTTCCCTGCAGGACAGCAACGGTCAGGTGGCCGGAGGCGGTGTTTCTGTCTACTATTCCCACGTCCTGCAGATGCTGTTCTTCAGCTACTGCCAAGGCAAGTCCTTTGCGGCCACCGTCAGCCGGGCCACGCTGGAAGTGATGCGCCTCTTCCCCATCAACGTCAAAAGGTGAGGCCAGCTCCCCCACCTCCTGCTCCCTTGGCATTTTGTGAGGTGGCTATTAGGAACAACTTTCTATACAGTAGGCTGCGGAGCATAGGGACATAGGAAATTGCTTTCTGCTGAGCCAGACCACTGGTCCCCCTAGCTCAGTACAGCCTGCCGTGACTGGCAGCTGCTCTCCTTAGTTTCAGGTGGGGAACATTCCCAGAGATACCGAGGAGTGAGTCTATGGGGTTTTGAACTTGAGACTTCAGACATTCTTCCACCAAGCTATAACTCTTCCTTTAGAAAGTAGGAAAATGTCCTCTGCATTGTCTACACTGATTGGCAGCAGCTCTCCAGAGTTTCAGACATGGGACATTCCCAGGCGTACCAGGAGATGCTGCGAGATATTGAACCTGGGACTTTCTGCTTGCAAGGCAGATGCTCTACCACTGAGCTAGGACCCTCATACCATAGCTGCCTTACACTGAGGCAGACCATCATGTTCAGTATAGCCTACACTGACTGGCAGCGGCTCTCCCTAGTTTCAGGCAGGGAACATTCCCTGATATACTGAGGAGTGAGCCACCAGTCCACAGTTGCCTCTGCTTGTGATGCTAGACTGATTTTACCTACCCTTGCAGCTCCAACGGGGGCAGCAAGACCTCCCCAGCACTCTGCCAGTGGTCAGAGGTGATGAACCACCCTGGCCTGGTGTGCTGTGTGCAGCAGACGACCGGCGTCCCTCTGGTGGTGATGGTGAAGCCAGACACTTTTCTGATCCAGGAAATTAAAACCTTACCAGCTAAGGCAAAGGTCAGTTTGTTTGCTTTTTTGTCTTCAGACTCCTTCTCCCTTTGGGCAGTTTCCATAGGTGACAGGGAAAGCAAAAGGGGAGGAGGCTCTCTCAAGTTAGGGAGGAAGAAAAGAACAAGAGCACCCAGTAAACCAAGTAGAATTGCAGTGAATGGAAAATTGCACAGCCTGATAGCGTAAAAATGTAACATCAAATCGGCTTGCAGAGTCCTTGCAGAGTAGCACCGTGTTCCAAATGCTGTGTGTTAGCATAGGATTTTATTTGCCATAGAATAACTTACCAGCTTGCTGGTGATTCTGTGAATCATGATTTTCTAGATGGGCTCTGTCACATTGTATTTGACACTGTTTTTGTAATATTTATATGTTCAGTTAGTGTATATCTCTCAATTTCTTGCAATGGGTGGTGGACAGAGAAGCAGATCTAGCTGTATACTTATCTCCTCATCCCCATGTCTGTCTGTTTGTTTGTTTTAAACTTACTGAGTTCCATATTTCATAAATGCATATGAAGATCTGCGGAATGGTGCCACTTTGATCATTTCCCTAGCCCCCTTTCCAAAGGCATCTCAATGTGTTCAATGGCCCTAGTGAAGGTGCAGTCAATGTGCTGCCCCCCAGAAGTTGCTGGGCTGTGACTCCCTTTCATCCCTGACCACTGACCATGATGCCTGGGACTGATGGGGGTTGGAGTCCCAATGACATCTGGAAAGCCACACAGATTCCCCATCTCAGGGATTCCGCATCCCTGAACTGTCAATTACCTTTACTGTCTCTAGCTACCTCCCTCTGTCACAGTTCTGACCATCACTTGCCTTTACTGCCCCTAGTTACCTTCTCTTGCAATGCTGCCTTGCTTTTCTGCACGTTGCTATACTGGTCTATGCTCACCGTTGGAAATGTAAGGAGCTGTCTACCTTTTGTGTATCTTTGGCCTTCCAGATCCAAGACATGGTGGCCATCCGGCACACGGCCTGCAACGAGCAGCAGCGGACCACCATGATCCTCCTGTGCGAGGACGGCAGCCTGCGGATCTACATGGCCAACGTGGAGAACACGTCCTACTGGCTCCAACCCTCCCTCCAGCCCAGTAGCGTCATCAGCATCATGAAGCCCGTCCGCAAGCGCAAAGCGGCAGCCATCAGTAAGTCGCTGCAAGGTCAGATTGGCTAGGGACTGTGAAGTGGTGCATACAATCTCTGCATTGTGTGGTTTGCCTTACTTATCCAAATAATCTGATTTTTATTAATCATTACTACTACTTCTGTTATAATCACTATTGTTCCTTACTATGATTATGGGGTTGATGCTTTTGTTTTCACTGCCATTGATACCCATGGATTTCATAAGCCTAATATTCTTCAGGAAACTGTATTATTCAGACGGACCGTTTTGAACCTGAGATTATTTGCACAAGCAGCCTTTATGGCTGTGTTTCTGGGTCTCATTGTTTGTCTAGCAATCTTGTGTTTTTAGGTGGTAATATCGTATTGCAATATTTTATATGAAAGTGTTGTTTGAGAATACTCAAAGAAATAAAAGCAAATGAAATAGAGACTTCCCCCTACCTTTAAAGGGGCCTGCAATCTAAAATTAAATTTAGCATAGAAGATTGAAGAGGAGGGAGAGATTAGGGATGAATGTTGGGGAAATGCTGTTACATTTGTAGTTGGATTTGACTGGAGTTTGAGATAAGGCCCAAGGTTTTGAGCTTGCAATAAAGCGTGTAGAATTATAGAAGTGTACAGCTGGAAGGTTCCCTGAGGTCATTTATTTATTTATTTGATTTATGTCCTGCTTTTCCTCCAAGGAGCTCGAGGTGGTGTACATAATTTTGCCCCCTCCTTTGTCCTCACAACAGCCCTGTGAGGTAGGTTCAGCTAAGAGGCGGTGACTCACCCAAGGCCATCCAGTGGGCTTCAGGTAGTTTGAAGTCTGGTCTCCTGTTCTGACACTGCACAACATGGACTTTCGCTGGTGCTCTGAGGAAGGTATCTCAGGCAGGACAAGAGAGAGGAGAGAGCATCATGTAGATTCAAGCGACTTGTTGCAAGCATTGTTGCTTTACTCCCAACACGGTCAGCTATAGCTGGTGGTTAAGGATGATGGGGGTTGGGAAGTCCATCGACATCTGGAGGGCCACAGATGTTCCTCATCTCTCCCTTGGTGCAGTGTCCTGGTCCACTGACTCAAAGGTGGGCTTGTGGGAGTGGTTTGGTGCAGGTATACCAAAGAAGGATGTCAAGAACGCTAGAGGGATCAGTTCTAGTGCTTTATTGTAATAAAGAGTAAACTTACAGTAAGTCAGCCTGCCAGGCCTTGCTGTTACAAGCATGGAACAGACACCGCAGCAGTGAGAGGTTGCCATGACTTGTCTGCGCCCAAGCGAACACTCGTCCAGCCTTTATGCACAAAGCAGCATACGTCAGTTTGCCCAGAACCTCCCATCACACCTGGTTGGTGAGATCATAGATGGCATAGAAGCTTCTTCCCACTCTGGGTCTAGAGCCCATCTCAACACCTACAAATAAGCACAGCATCAAAGCAAGCCAATTAGGGTATACCAAAGCAAGGGGGAAAGTAAACATGTGTGAGCTCAACTACCAATTATTTTCTGGGTTATCTTGACTACCAGGATGGTGTTTGCAGGCCTTCCGGAACATTTCTCTTTTGTTTGAAATATGCATCCTGCTTGCTTGCTTGATTTTATTAGGTGGGCAGCAAAAATGTTTCTTCTGATGGTTTTTAATATCTGTCTGTCCATCATCTCTGTATACAATTGCCTGCTACTTATGCAAAGGTTCAGTTCCAAGGGTCTGCTCCCAAAATGGTGCATAATTCGGATACCACCTAAACTGGACTCTGGGTAGGTTGCAGGAGGGCCCTTCTCATGATCTTTCCAGAGCCTGGTTAGAGAAAACCCACTGGGTTTGTGGGTTAGATGAAAATAAGTGGGGAGTGGGGAATGACTGCTCTTCATTTATTTCCTCTTCCTGCTCCCCGCCCCATGTCGTGTTTCGACCACGTATGTAAAGTGAGTGAAAGTTGTGGGCCCAGTATATATTTTAAAATGTATATTTCGCCTTTTGTCAATAAACCATAAGACGGTTTAAATACAGTATAGAACATAACAAACTACACATAAACACATGCTTAACATAATACCCATACACCACAAAACTTTGAAGCAGTTATATAAATACTACTCATAATAACAAGCAATAAACAGTAATACATAATAAACATAATGGATACATACTAAGCAGCAGTGTCAGGTTATACACAGTCAGTCTAGTGATTCACTCCACAACTCAAACCCCTGTAAACTTGCAGAGTCTCACAACAGATGCCCAAAAGTTTGAACTCTGCTCTTTTTGATTTTATATGATTTAGTGTTTTAAGCTTGATTCTGTCATGCAGTTTTGTGGAGCTGGTGGATTACTTATTGTGAGTTTAGAAATTATTTTATAAATGAAGAGTTCTCCCTGACTTTAACTTTCAGTGTTCCCCCCCCCTTCTTCCTCCAGCAACCCGCACCTCCACCCAGGTGAATTTCCCCATCGACTTCTTCGAGCACAACCAGCAGCTGACGGACGTGGAGTTTGGTGGCAATGACCTCCTGCAGGTCTACAACGCCCAGCAGATCAAGCATCGGCTCAACTCCACCGGCATGTATGTGGCCAACACCAAGGTGAGCATCCTTGCAAGCACCAGCCTTCTGAAAGGAGGAGGAGCTTCTGGGCAGACAGGGAAGATCACTAGTCCAAGGTGCTTGGGGTGGTACTGGCGGTCATCTCTGGCCCATTTATTTACTTATTCCATATAATTTATACACCCCTTGTTTGTAAAATAAACAAATCTCAAAATGCTTTAGCAATAAGAAATAGAAAGCACAATAATTTAAGGCATTCAAAAAGTTAAAATACCAAAAGCAGATAAAAACTTCCATCGACTTTGCAAATAATGTTTTTGGGAGATGCTGGGAAGAGTACAGCAATTGTGCCTGCCAGATGTCAATAGGCAGAGATTTCCAAATTGTAGGTGCTTCCACACTCAAAAATTGAGTTCTTATGAATTTGGGACAGTTGCTTTGTGACACGTGGAGCAGTGCCAGTGCTGCCGATCGAAGTGTTTGAGTGGGCACATGTGGAGTAACGCAATCTCGTAGGTAAACTGGTCCCAAGTTGTTAAGGGCTTGGCCCAGCAGCAAATCAGCAACCATTGCAGACCTCTGAGGACAAGATGTTCTATGCCAGCCTTTCTCAACCTGTGGGTCCCCAGATGTTGTTGAACTACAACTCCCATCACCCCTAGCTATCAAGGCCGGAGCTCAGGGATGATGGGAGTTGTAGTCCAACAACATCTGAGGACCAACAGGTTGAGAGCCCCTTATGCCATGGGTAGGCCCGGGGCCCGGATCCGGCCCAATCACCTTCTGAATCTGGCCTGCGGACGGTCCAAGCATCAGTGTGTTTTTACACGAGCAGAATGTGTCCTTTTATTTAAAATGCATCTCTGGGTTATTTGTGGGGCATAGGAATTCGTTCATTTCCCCCCCCCTTCAAAATATAGCCTGACCTCCCACAAGGTCTGAGGGGCAGTGGACCGGCCCCCTGCTGAAAAAGTTTGCTGACCCCTGTTCTATGCTGACAAGGTTTCACTCCTGTCGGTGGTCATGCTGCAGCATTCTGGACTGACTTCAGCTTCTGGATCAAGCATGAGGGAAGCCCCGTGTAGAGTACATTGCAGTAATCTAGGCCTTTTGCACTCTCTATTCCCCCTCCGCCTTCATGCACGGTGCCTTCCCCTCTCCCGCAGCCTGGCGGCTTCACCATCGAAGTGACCAACAACAACAGCACCATGGTGATGACCGGCATGAGGGTCCAGATCGGGACTCAGGCCATCGAGCGAGCCCCCTCCTACCTGGAGATCTTTGGCCGCACCATGCAGCTGAACCTGAGCCGGCCACGGTGGTTTGACTTCCCTTTCACCCGAGAGGAGGCCCTGCAGGCAGACAAGAAGCTGACCATCTTTGGTAAGATTCCTGAGGTTCCCCCCATCCATGTTTCAAACTATTGACTTTTGGTAATTGTCTGTTTGCAGTTTCTCTGGCGGACACCACCAAGTGAGAGATCTCAGTAATTTAGGCCTTTTGCAGCTTTTGATATACAATTTTATGTTAAAATAAAGTTTTTACGGTGTGAGGGGTGTTGCTTGTTTTCATTTTTAGCCCTGTCTATAAGAAAGCCATACCAAGCAGTTGCTAAAGAGTCTTTATGCTACAAGCGTTGTTCCAGTTTTATTTTATTTGTCAATCCACTCTACCCCCCCCCCCCCGGGTGTGCTATTTGCCATACTTTTGTTTATTGCATTTATACCTCATCTCCCAAGGGGCTCAAGGTGGCATACATGGTTCTCCCTCCCTCCTCATTTAATCCCCACAACAACCCTGTGAGGTTGGCTAGGCTGAGAGGCAGTGATTTGCCCAAGATTACCCCAGCAATTGGGATGTGGGTGGTGCTGTGGGTTAAAGCACAGAGCCTAGGGCTTGCCGATCAGAAGGTCGGTGGTTTGAATCCCCGTGACGGGGTGAGCTCCCGTTGCTCGGTCCCAGCTCCTGCCAACCTAGCAGTTCGAAAGCACCTCAAAGTGCAAGTAGATAAATAGGCACCACTCTGGCGGGAAGGTAAACAGCGTTTCCATGTGCTGCTCTGGTTCGCCAGAAGCGGCTTAGTCATGCTGGCCACATGACCCGGAAGCTGTACACCAGCTCCCTCGGCCAATAAAGCGAGATGAGCGCCGCAACCCCAGAATCTGTCACAACTGGACCTAATGGTCAGGGGCCCCTTTACCTTTACCTTACCCCAGCAATTACCTCAGCTTCATGGCTGAGGCGGTGGGGGTGGGATTTGAGCCCTGATCTCTCAGCTCCTAGTCTGACATGCTAACTGCTACGCCTTGCTGGCTCTCCCTGCCTTGCTTGAGAGGTACGGAAAAAAGCCATGGCTCTTCTCCTCTCTTGCAGTCGGGGCGTCTGTGGATCCCGCCGGCGTCACCATGCTGGACGCCATCAAAATCTACGGCAAGACGAAGGAGCAGTTTGGCTGGCCGGATGAGCCCCCGGAGGATTTCCCGTCAGCCTCAGTCAGCAACGTCTGCCCCCCCAACCTGAATCAGAGCAATGGGACTGGAGACACAGAATCGGCTACTCCGGCAGCTGCTAGTGGCACTGTTCTCGAGAGGTAAATCTTCAGAACCGTATGTTCCTTTTTTGACTTACCACCCATCCTGTCTTCCTGCAGGTACCGTTTATAACTCCAGGAACGTAGGAGCAGTTTTGTGGTCTAGAACCCCTTTGGATTCTATAATGGGGTGTGTGTCAGGGCAGTGCTTTTGCTCTGAGCAGGCTGGATCCTCATTTCCCCACCCTGCAGGCCAACGTTTGGCAAATGGGTGTGATTACTCTCATAATCAATCCTCTGTTGTCCTAATGATGCCAGGAGATTGATCCCACCCACTGTATTGGGGGGAGAACCTTTTTCTCATCAGCTGATGGGTGTATGTGTGCTTACATCTTTCTTTCAGTAAGGCTGAACTGCATGTAGGAGTTCCTTGCGAGGTTGTGGCGTGAGTGGACCAACCCCCCTTCCCAGCACTCAACAGCTGATGGGGATTAGATCCTGCTTTCTGCAGGAATTGATTGTGTATGCCACTTCACTGCAGGGAACCATGCAGAGTTGAAACCTGCCCTTCACTCTGCCTGTCAGTGACTGACAGGTGGGCATGGTTTTTTGGTCCTACTGGCCAAATCTGAACTCCTGGCTGGCCCAGATTGGGACATAGGCTGGAGGTTCCCCTCCCTGATGTAATGGCTGTATTGTTGTGTGTTTGCACGTGCATTGAATGAGTGGTGGCAGGGAACTTTACAAGAGCCCCCACCCCAGTGTCAGTTCATCCCTTACAGCACAGCATGTAAAAATCCTCTCCTGCTCCTCTGCCCTGGCAACCGAGAGGTTGTGGTGCCCAACATTCACCAGGCAAGTTCTGCGCATCACCGCAGAAACGTCTCTCCATCTCCTCCTCCCTTTCCTCATTTTTCAGTCAGTCTCTTTCCAGGGAGACCAGAGTCTGCCATGCAGCTTTGAGAGGGAGATGATGGGGATGAAAAGAAAGAGTGAGGAATTAAAACTGTTGTCCCTAGAGGGCAGCAGTGCTCTAGGACAGGGGTTTAGCAACATGGTGCCCTCAAGGCATTGTTGGACTTCAGCTCCCATCATCCTCCCTGCCTGTTGGCCTGTGCTAGCTGGCTGAGACGGATGGGAGTTGCAGTGCACCAACCACTAGACAGCACCACTTGCTTTTGAGACTCAACTCCCTTGTTCTTTCTCTCTGTGTGTGATTGGGAGGGTGGAGATGGAAGGAGCAGCCAGTGGCAGGCACGGCAGGAGAGGACAGAGTTGGGGTGGCCATCTAGAGCCAAATATATATATATTCTGGGAGGGAAAAATTCATCTGTGAGGCCAAACCAGCCTCAATGTGTGCATTTTTCTTATTTTTGCGAGAACCTGTGTGGCCTGCTAGTGTTGTGTGCTGAAAACAAGCATGGTGGTGTTGGGGGGAAAACAACAGCAGGGTTGACTTTTGCCGCCCAACTCCTCAAGGGCCTCTTGAGTCCCCTAAGTCCATGATTGGACAGAGAAGAATGGAAGGAGGAAACAGTAGAAGGAAAGCACGGAGCTGGACCTCAGTGTGATGGAGTCGGTGGGGGGCAGGGGAAAGTAGGTGCGGAGCAAATGGATACCCTTTGTAGTTCCTGGAGAGCAACGGGGCAGCAAACCACCTCTTGGGTTTGGGAAACATGTGAAGGACTCGTGGCTCAGTGTGTAGGATGGATACACACACTCAGTGACAGACACTGACATCCATTGACTAACTCCCATTCAGTGACTGCTGCCGAGTCACTGACACACAATCACTGACACATGGCTACTACAGGGTTGTGTATATGTCCCACAGTTGTTGTATCTTAAATTAAAAATGTGAAATTCTGCTCTAAGGAAAGCTCAGTTCTGTGAACCGCCAAAATAGTTTGTCAATCTGCCGATATTTCCTCTGTTCTTGTGCAACTTTAGTTCTGCAAGCAATCTTTAGCCACTAAAAAAATCTTGTTTAGCGTCCAACCCCCCCCCCCCTAACACAAACATTGCCTCTCAGATTTTAGCAGCCATTATCCTGCTTACGTTCAAGTGCATTTCCACACATAGGAGGACTGGACACTTAAAGGAAAACAGCAATATGAAATCTTGAGATTCTGAGGAAGCTGAGTTCTGTGATCTGTTTTGCTTATTGTAGGCACTTCTGCACATCTGCAGAATTGTGGCTTACGCATGTCCCATAACTGTTAAACCCCATTGGAAATACGAGCAGTGTGTGAGGTGCTGTAGAATTTACCCTCGCCTTCTATAGCACAGAGCATCACCTTTGGCTGGGGGTCTGGGATGCAGAGGGGAGGCTTGGGGGTGCCTCCCAGACTGGCCATTTCCTGCTCATTCTCTTCTCAGGCCTCCTCTTAATTCTTTCAGCTAGTACAGTAACTGTTGCTTGAAATTGTTTCTGACCTTAGCCCCACTTCTCTCTCAAACACTTTCATTTAATTTGCCTGTTTCTCTTCCCTCCCCCTTTAATTTTTTTGGTATGGTTTGCTTAGGACGTGTTTCTTCGATATTTTTCTGTGAGCTTCATATCTTTTTTTATTTATACGTGTATATACATATATATATTTTCCTTTTCCTTTGCTTCCCCCAAAGTTCTGAAACTGAGTCCTTAACCACCCTGGACCGGTTAGTATACTATCTTTTGTTTTCTCTCTCTCTCTGTGCACGAATGATTTTTTGCTTTATTACTTGTGTGTGTAAGACAATAACAGCGCATTGCTTTGATTTCTGTTGGTTGGTGTTTTCTTTTTTGAAAGCGCGTGTGCATAAAGCATAGATAATCTTGAAAAAGTGACCTTCATGCTGCTTTTTTTTTACATTAGGACCTCTTGCATGGCAGATCAGCCAGCCAAGAAGCCCAAGCAAAATTGAAATGAGCTGCTTGTCTCTTCTCCCGCTCGGCTTTTCCCCTCAATCTCTCTCCCCCTGCTCCTTTTGACTTCTGATTGGGAGAGATCTGCTAATCCTTGTCGGCAGCTAAATGCATTTAATTATTCTTTAAAATATTATACGTTGCTCCCCTCCCCCCGCCCAGGAATAAAGCCTGTCTGAACCAGCCTTGCAACAGAGGCCTGAGGCACACATAACACTAAGCTATGGTTTGTTGAACAAAACTATGGTTTGTTCAGTTTAAACTATGGTTTGTTCAGCCTACGGTTAAGCTAAACTTTGGTTCATTAATCCATGGCTTGGTGTTACGTGTGAAATCAGCTCAGCAGTTTAATTCTGGCTTAACTATGGTTAAAGGTCACTCATTGTAGTTGGTTTACAAACCTTAGTGAATGTTAACCGTAGCTTTGCATTACAAGCAAACCCCAGACCTCCTACTTAACTGTTGGTAAGGAGTTGCAACTTCCACAAAGCTACAGAACCATGAATGGAGAGCAGGGGGCAGGGGACCAAAGTGCTCTCAAGGTTTGGCTGCTCTTGCTGGTGCTTTCTAACTCTTCTGCGACGTTGCAAAACTGATGTTCAAGAGATCTGCCCGATGCCTCAGCTTCAGCTTGTCAACCATGGTTATTCCTAGCCATGGTTTAGCGTTATGGGCAGGGCAAGCCCATAAAAGCTACATTTTTTAAAAAAAAATCAGTATTACATCTCCCCTCCAATAAAACCTGTTCAAACATTCCAAACATTCCATAACCCAGCCTCCAATCTCAGCAAATGGAACATAACTTACTTGCAAGAAATCAGTTTTTTAGTGTGACCTGTTCTCTTGCACTCCCTGCCTGTTGATATTAGGCAGGCACCTTTGTTTCACTGTTTATGATCCTCTAGAAGCTTGGTGTGTGTGACCCAGGAGAGGGCCTTCCTCTGTGGGAACCACTCCCCACTGAGCTGCGCCTGGTGCCTTCCCTGTACAGCTTTCGGCGAATCCCGAGACGCATCCATTTGCCCTTGCCTTTGACACTTGAGACATGTGTGTTTTCGGGTTTTTCAGTTTCTAATTTTCAAGTGGGTGTGTATCCGCCCTGAGACTTTCAGGTGAAGGGCGGGTCATAAATCTTAACAACAACAGCAATAATAATAGCAACCCAGATATACCATTGGGGATTGGACCTAGGGCATGCAAAGCAGGTTCTCTGCCACTGAGCCCCATCTCTGGCCACTTCAGCTAGCAGCTCCCTTGCCTGAACTTCTGGTCTGTCTCATCTTCCCTCTCCCTCCTCCCTCCACCCCTTGCTTATCTCGTGCTGCTTCTGCATGGACCAAAGGAGCATACATCTTCATGGGCAGGGTGGCCGTTGGGTTTGCAAGCTCTGGAGCAATGCGGCAATATGAAACAGAGCCACTAATGTAATCACTGTTTAAGAGTTTTCCCCATTGTGCAATTGGTGTGCGTAGCACAACGGAGAACAGCATGGGTCTATGCTTCCAAGGAGCTTACAGTCTGAAAGCAAACACAATGGAGATGTGAGAAGAAGGGGAGGATAATGCTGGAAAGGGGAAGGAGAGGCAGTCATATCAATTACAAGTACTTGGGCTGCACCAAGGAAGCCGCTTCCCTTGTGGACTAGCACCTTGTCAAATCCTGAAAAGTCTGCTGCAGCGGTATTGGGGCTCGGCGTGGGCAGTTCCACAAGAACACTGAAAGAGCGTTGGTTGGATTAAGGGTTAAACTCAGTGTCAGTCCTGCTCAGAATAGACCCACTAAAATTAATGGGCATTGCCCACTGATTTCAGTGGGTCTGCTATTCATAGGACTTACTGTATTTTTCGCTCTATAAGACACACCAGACCACAAGACTTTTTGTTTTTGGAGGAGGAAAACAAGAAAAAAAAATATTCTGAATCTCAGAAGCCAGAACAGCAAGAGGGATCGTTGTGCAGTGAAAGCAGCGATCCCTCTTGCTGTTCTGGCTTCTGTGATAGCTGCGCAGCCTGCATTCGCTCCGTAAGATGCACACACATTTCCCCTTACTTTTTAGGAGGGGAAAAGTGAGTCTTATAGAGCAAAAAATACGGTAGTTGGATTACAATCCAGTCTCTCGCATTTGGTTATCTCTGCTCATTCATGAAACTCACTGGGTGACCTTGGGCCGGTCGCTGCCTCTCAGCCTAACCTACTTCACAGGCTTATTGTGGGAATTAAATGAGGGGTGGGGAAAACTGCAAATGCTCTTTGGAGGGAATAGGTGGCATATAAATGCGATAAATAAATGTACCCATTCTTCTGACAGGAAGACAAAATAGGGAAGTGTTATAATTGTGTGTGTTATAATTCTAGGGCCCAGGGCTTTAAGATTATTATTTTCTTAAATGAAGTTGTTGCCAAAAGGGGGGGGGGATATGTGTTGAATTTTTGTGTGCGATGTCTGATGGAATCTCAGAAGCCACATTTGGGTCGTGTGCATCTGAGATCACTTCTGTCTCAGGTTTGTCAGAGCTGCATGAGCTTCCAGGAAGCTTGATTTAATTTTTCTTGGGAAGTGTTTCCGGTCCTCCTTGTCTTCTTGATGAATTCTCAACCATTTTCTTCCCCACAACTAAAAGCATCCAGTGGTGCCAGCTTTTCCTTGTTGGGGAGTTGCTCCTGGACCCCCTGATTATTTTAGTTGCCCACTTCTGCACCCTTTCCCCCCATTTTGATGACTCCCCCTTTTTTCCTCTTTTGAGATGGGGCAGCCAGAACCGCCCCCATAACTGCATTCTTTATTTGTCTTGCCAGCCTGACCATGGGAAGCTGCCTTACACTGAGTCAGACCCTTGGTCCATCTAACTCAGTATTGCCTGGCATTGACTGGCAGCAATGGCTCTCCAGGATCTTAAGCAGAATTTTCTCCCAGCCCTACCTGGAAATGCCTTGCAAAGCAGGTGTTCTACCACTGAGCTACCACCCTTCCCATAATGCAATGGGATGCTCTCTTTTTTTTCGAGTTAAAAAATAAATAAATTGTGGAAGTGACGTTTCCTCCGTACAGGCAACCAGGTGGGTGATTGCTTGCATCCTGGAGAGATTTAAGGGTTTTTGTTTTTGGGTTTTTTTGCCAGATATGTGCCAGATCTGGGCTTTTTTGAGTGCTGTTTCTCACTGTCTGCCATTCAGGTTTGCTGAAAAAGATGTTATTATATTCTGCATTTTTTGACGGGGGAGAGTGACCTCTTTGGGAACAACAAACGCCCCCTAAAGCCCCTCTGAGCAGCCTCTTTATATGGCTTTCCCTAACCCCCCTTCTCCGCAAAAGTACATGTCACGCCACCCCTTGATCTGCACCGCACGTGTGTACGCTTCTCAGAGCAGAAGCGGGGGGAGGCGTGCTGATGAATCAGTCCTGTCAATGCCATCCAAGTTATCCCTGCTGCAGGCTGTGTAAGGAGAAACGTTCTTATCCTCTTTGGGGAGAGAAAAGCCTCTCTTTCTCTCTCTCTCCCCCCCACCCTCCCCATGGATTTGCAGAAGCGGCCCTAAGTTTTTTCTCTGAGCGGGAGCCAGGTTTAACTCTCTGGTCTGCAGCACAATGAATGAGATATGCACGATGCCTGTGGCAGTATTTTTTATTTTATTTTTTTACATTTATCTTGCTGCGATTCCTTTCTCTCTTTTGGTGGCGCCGGCAAGGGACTTGGCATCTCTTAGCGCTCCCTCTCTCCCTCCCTCTCTCTTTCTGAGCCACCCAGAGCTGCTGCTTGCCATGAAGCAAAGAAATAAATAAATCTTAAGGAGTCTTGCCTTTTTTCCCCTGAAACCAGCTTTCTCCTTCGTTTTTTACCCCCTCCAGGCTAGTAGTCAGTTCTTTAGAAGCTCTGGAAAGCTGCTTTGCCGTCGGACCAGTCAACGAGAAGGCAAGTAACTTTTCTTGAGGTTTTGGGAACGTTGCGGGTTTAGCTTTGGGGCGGGGAGGGCGGGAGGCGGATGCACAGCAAAGGGGATCAGCCACCCTCTAAGCCCTGATCTCCCCTCCATCCACCCACCCCAAAAGTGTTCTTATTTGCTGATTTGACTTTGATGCCGCTGGAAGCGGAGATCTGTCAGGAAAGCTGCCTAGCCAAAAAAGAGAGAGGGAGAAAAGGGGTTTTTTTTGGAGCTGGATTTGAAAGCCAGTGTTCACTTCTCTGATCACTGCCAGCAGGGAGACATTTGTTCCTGCAGCAGAGGGGGTTTTTTTGTGGGGGACGGTGGGTTTGTAGGAGACCTGGACTTGCTGGGTCAGACTTTACTGCTGCACTCCAAATGTCTGGTCTCCATCAGTGGCTCATTTGGGAGACTTTATAGCAAAGGTGGAGGGCCTTTTTGGCCCTTGGGGCCAGATCTTAATCTAATACCCTACAGGATAACCTTGACAGCCGTTTGACCCCCCTGCCAACTGCAGTTCCGGGACAGGCGGGTTGGACCAACCAGCTATCGTCTCACTTGACAGCATTATGCCCTTGGGAGGAAGATAGTGACCAAGCAGGATTGAATGTCCCGCCCATCAGCTGATGTGTTTTGTGCAAAGATCCCCTGAAGAGCCAGTGTACATACCTGAGCTAAGCAGGATTGGACACCACACCCACCCTCAGGAGATGGACCAGGGGCATAGGCTTTGCTGGGGGGGTAGCTCTCCCCCCCCCAATCCTCAAAAAGTATTAAAAAGCATTAAAAATACTCAATTCTGCAGGGGTTGGTTATTCACACTGGTTCCCCATGGATAACATGCGCAGCTGAACTAAGCAGAATTTAACTCTCCCTCATGCCTGACCGCTGGGGTTACACCACCCCATTTACAAGTGGATATAGCTTAAGGGAAACTGGAGCCCCCATGGGCCAGAGGCACCCACCCTGCTTTATTTGGTAGTTGACAAACACATTCAGGCCTTCCAGGGTCCCAAAGCAAGCTTCCAAAGAGCTGTCTTGTTGTTGTTTGTCCACAACCAACTTTATGGGACTGTTTATTCTTGTTTCCTGCCTTTCTGCCTGATGATGCTTTTTGGGGGAAACTCCCAACATCAAAGGCACCGCTAGCCCAGTTTCTGTGCCCTGCTTACAGGAGAAGAGCAAGGCTGCTGCTCAAGAGTTGGCTACCATGCTTCTGTCGACGCCAGCCCCCTCCAGCGTCCAGCAACAGACCAAGAGCCTCCTGGCCAGTCTCCACACCAGCCGCTCGGCCTACCACAACCACAAGGTAAAGCTACAGAGCCATCTTTTGTTCCCCCACCACACAAACCTTTGGGGTTCCATGTCCCAGGTGCCAATGGCTTCCCTGAGTTTCCCATCCTCGACGGATTTATTTTTGGCTTTTTTGTGTCTCAGATAAACCCTTTCGCCTCCCTGTAGATGCTGCAGAGGGGTCTGGGGTGGCTTTCAGGAGCTGTTCCCTTGAGGCCTCCCTGTCTGCAGCTGTGGAGAAGGGAGGGTCTGTATGCTCCAAAACAGAGGTAGCCGCTGCCGTGCTGTTCTCCTGATGCTGCTGAACTTACATCATCCAAACCCGTGACATCTGGGGCATAGCTGTCAACGTTTCCCCTTTTTAAAGGGAATTTCCCTTCTTCAGAATAGGATTCCTCACAAGAAAAGGGAAAAGTTGACAGCTATGATCTGGGGGGGGGGGGGTAGCACAATTGGCTGTCCCTGCCCTGGAACAACTCCCCACAGATTCACACAAGTAGTGGTGGCAGGTGTGGAAGAAAACCAAGCCTTCACTTTGTGATTAGGGCAACAGAGTTCAAGACAAGGCAATTGTGTTGGAGAAGAGACCCTCACCAGCATTACTCCTGTCTGAACTGATCAACATGGCATTCTTCTCCCATATACAATGCTTAACTGCTTTTGCAATGTTAACACAGCCTGGTTAATAAGAAAGCACAATAAACTAGCTTTGCAGGGAAAACAACAACAGGAAAACAGCACCACTGGTCAGAAACCCTCAAACGTTCCTCACTTCCTTCACTCTTTTCTCTCCCACCCTTATGCTGACTCTCTTTTACACTCTGAGGGAGATGTGGCCTTAAGAGAGAAGCAGGCTTGGGCTTATTACAGGCCCAGGTCCTTGAGACCCCAGATCTACCCATTTTGCTTCCACTAGCAGCCTCACTGAAGGGACGCGGGTGGCGCTGTGGGTTAAACCGCAGAGGGTGGGTTAAACCACAGAGCCTAGGACTTGCTGATCGGCGGTTCGAATCCCCGCAATGGGGTGAGCTCCCGTTGCTCGGTCCCTGCTCCTGTCAACCTAGCAGTTCAAAAGCATGTCAAAGTACAAGTAGATAAATAGGTACCACTCTGGCAGGAAGGTAAATGGCGTTTCCGTGTGCTGCTCTGGTTCGCCAGAAGCAGCTTAGTCATGCTGGCCACATGACCCGGAAGCTGTACGCCAGCTCCCTCAGCCAGTAAAGCGAGATGAGCGTCACAACCCCAGAGTCGGCCACAACTGGACCTAATCGTCAGGGGTCCCTTTCCCTTTCCCTTTAACAGCCTCACTGAGGTGCCCTCAAGCAGTTTGTGAGGAACTCCCAGGAATTCCCCCAGAAAACTTCTGCTGATAATACAGTACTGATAATAACCAGAATGAAGGGTACAGAGTACTCCAGAGTGGATCCTGCTGCTGTGGGGAGGAAGAACTGTAGCCCTGGGGGGAGTCTCCTCCTGTGGACTCTTGTCACTGGCCTTCCCTGTGGAGCGACTCAAGACGCATGAACTGTCTCAGGTTAACCTCCCCCCGCAGTTCAAGTGCACTGCTCAGAACGAGGTGAATGTTTGGTCTCTTGCTCAGTCCAGGATTTGCTCCTGAGCCTTCCTGTCCTCTGTCCTCTTTCTTTTTTTAAAAATTGATTAACAAACAATAGTGGAAGCATAACAGGAAGAAAACAAAGAATCAGAGATTTAAACTGTAAAGCATCACAGGCTGGAAGGCTGTGCAAAGTTACAGCTCAGCTCCAAAGGGATAATAAAGTTTTAACTCATACAAAGATTCCTTTTACAAATAATAAAGATTTATAAAAACAGAAGTCCTCTCCACCTGTGTGTTCCTTTATAGAGCCTTTATTCTCAATAATACAGTCTTAAGTGAGCCATACATTCGCATATGCTGGTGACACTGAATGTAAAAGGTAAAGGTAAAGGTACCCCTGCCCGTACGGGCCAGTCTTGACAGACTCTAGGGTTGTGCGCCCATCTCACTTAAGAGGCCGGGGGCCAGCGCTGTCCGGAGACACTTCCGGGTCATGTGGCCAGCGTGACAAAGCTGCATCTGGCGAGCCAGCGCAGCACACGGAAACACCGTTTACCTTCCCGCTAGTAAGCGGTCCCTATTTATCTACTTGCACCCGGGGGTACTTTAGAACTGCTAGGTTGGCAGGCACTGGGACCGAGCAACGGGAGCGCACCCCGCCGCGGGGATTCGAACCGCCGACCTTTCGATCGGCAAGCCCTAGGCGCTGAGGCTTTTACCCACAGCGCCACCCGCGTCCCTTTTTTGAATGCTGCCTTTTAGATACTTTGAATGCTGCCTTTTAGATACTTTAAGTTTGTGAGATACCTTTCCAATAAGGACAAACTGTTTTGTTTAATAGTAATAATAATAATAATAATAATAATAATAATAATAATAATAATAATACTTTATTGTTCATTTTCTACATATATACAACACATGGTTATCTTCATTTTGATAAATCCGGTAATTATATCACAAGAGATATATACAGTTTCAACTATGTGCTTTCTACACAAACCTATGACTTCCCACCCACTCCATGTTTCCTTTATATTAAACATCTTGCTTTACTTAACCATTGTGAGTTTATAAACATTCTCTTTTCTATTTCGATATCATTTTCCATCATATGTATTATTTTCAGAAATCATTCGAAGGCAACTACCATGTTTAAGTTACAGCTACTTTTCAAATAGTTTTTGAAGTTATCCCATTCTAGAATGAACTCCTGTCTGGGTTTATCTCCGATTCTTTCTGAAAGGGAGGCTAATTCTGCATATTCTGTCAATTTGAGTAACCATTCGACTCTGGTAGGGAGTTTATCATTTTTTTTCAAAATGTCGCAGTAAGCACTCTTATTGGGCAAACTGTTCTCTCTTTGTAGGATCAGGCTCTGCTGAGCAAAGCCATCCAGTATCTGACGGCTTCAAGCAAAGAGGGGAAGGACCTTGACCCGGAAGTGTTCCAGAGGCTGGTCATCACTGCCCGCTCCATCGCCATCATGAGACCCAATAACTTGGTCCACTTCACAGAGTCAAAGCTGCCTCAGCTGGAAGCAGGTGCATCAAGCTCCCTCTTCTCCCCTTCCTTTTGCCATTTTTGTTCATGTGTTGGCTTCTCGTTCATATTTCTGACCTCGTGGTAGTAATGAATTGTATTTATTTGGCTATAAACCATCACAAAGCAAAATTGCATTCAAAACCGAACCACAGATTTGGCTCCTAATTTTGTGGCAGAGAAACATGCAAGGTTGCCTAGCTTTCCTCATCCAGTAGCGAAAAGCACGCTAGCTCATGTGGTGCAACAAAAAATTTCCTGTGGCTAAACTTGGGACAGATATTTTCCACAAGGATCCTGCATAAAGGGCTCTGGGTAACATAGTGAACAATGCTGTTTTACAAAGAGTACAGAAATTCTGTTCCAAGTGTAATTCTTACAGCAGCAATCCAGAAAGGCAGAGGGTATAACAACTTAAGTCTTAATTCATAGTGAATTGGTGAAGACTGTTATTCCAGCAGGCCTTTGAGAACTGACTGTTTTAAGGGAAGGGCCTTTCAAATAGTGCTATGCTGTTTTTACTGTCTGTAGTTTAGTAAGTTTGTTTTTTACATTGTTTTAATTCCATTATAGTTAAATTACTTTTAAACTATTATCTGTTCTATGTTTTTAGCTTTCTACATTCTATCTGTATTTGTTTTAGGTTTTTGTACTGTGCTTTGAGTCCTGGCACTGGGAAAAAGACACGGGATGATGATGATAATGATAATGATAATAGAAGCAATTTTTGTCAGAGCCAAAGTTGCTAACTCCAGATGGTTAGCTTTCTGATAGTCTTAATAGAGGGATGCAACATATTTCTGGCTTGCTCCATGGGATGCTTTGGGTAGTCTGTTTTTGGCATAGTTAAAACCAAACAAACCTGCAGCTAACTAACTAGCTAGCTAACTAACTCTCTCTCTTCCTTTTTCTTTTAAAACAACGTTCAGAAGGGGGTGAAGAAGCTCAGGAGACCCAGAAGAACGCCGAAGGAGAAGGGTGCACTTTTATTACACAGCTGGTCAACCATTTCTGGAAACTGCATGCCTCAAAGCCCAAGAATGCCTTCTTGGCCCCTGCTTGCTTGCCAGGTACTCGCTTTCTATCTTTAAAACTTGCTTGAGTCACTTGTTCCTGAGCTCACCCGCAGGGCGAGCAAACCAGGAACTCGGATAGAAATGCAGGAAGCTGCCTTACACCAAATCAACCAATTTGGCCTGCCCAGGGGGTGTGGGGTGCCAAGAGGGGCAGCCAAAGAAGAGAAGTCAGGGGAATGGAAACTGTTTTTGTCCCAAGCGCTGCAGCCCCTTTTGAGGAGGACTTTCTGGAGAGGGGTGGGAAATGTCCAGAGGCAAAAAGTAGGTGTAGCAATGAATGTGAATTTTACCTTTGCCCAATAGACTGCCTTCCAGCTGGGCAAAGGCAGAGGTTTCTGCGCAGACAGACAGACACACATACACATGTACGTCCTCCATCCATAATAATAAATAATAATAATAAATTTTATTTATATCCCGCCCTCCCCAGCCGAAGCCGGGCTCAGGGCGGCTAACAACACTAAAACAGTGCAACATTATAAAAACATTATAAAAATTAATTAAAATACAAATTGATGGCAACCATAAACTAAAGTTTTGTAAAGATTGCCAAAGGAGGGAGTCAGGCTGCGCCCTGACCAAAGGCCTGGTGGAACAGCTCTGTCTTACAGGCCCTGCGAAAAGATGTCAAGTCCTGTAGGGCCCTTGTCTCTTGCGACAGAGCGTTCCACCAGGTTGGAGCCGCAGCCGAAAAAGCTCTGGCTCTAGTTGAGGCCAGCCTAACCTCTCTGTGGCCTGGGACCTTCAAGATGTTTTTATTTGCAGACCGTAGATTTCTCTGGGGGACATACCAGGAGAGGCGGTCCCGTAGGTACGAGGGTCCTAGGCCGTATAGGGCTTTGAAGGTTAAAACCAGCACCTTAAACCTGATCCTGTACTCCACCGGGAGCCAGTGCAGCTGGTATAATACCGGATGAAGCAAAGAGGCATTATCACGGTTCAAGCAAGCAAAGAGGAATGGTTCATGCAAGCAAAGAGGCATTATCACGGTTCAAGCCAGGCAAAAGCACTTGCAGAGGGTGCAGAATGGGGCCAGTGAGTGGGCATGGCCTTGGGAAGAAGCCCAAGGGCCAGATGGAGAAGCCTGGGGGGCCATAGTTTCCTCACTTGCTTCAGGTCCAGCATACAAATGCCCTGGGCTGTTGAAGGAGGCCTTGAGTGCTCCATCCCTCCTCTGCTAGCCCCCAACAGACTAGCGGGACAAAACTGCAGGCTAGTAACTTCCTTTGTGGGCTTTATTAACCAGGTGGAATTGGCCTGTGCCATCAGAGCAGCGACTGCAGCACCTTTCCCCTCTTGTTCCTGTGGGCAAAAAAAGTAAAAGATGCAAAACACCTTAACACATCAATTGTCGAATTCTTAAAAACAAAAACAAAACCCCTCCTCCTTTCTTTCCCCACCTCAGGCTTGACCCACGTGGAAGCCACCGTCAACGCTCTTGTGGACATAATCCATGGCTATTGCACCTGTGAGCTGGACTGCATCAACACGGCCTCCAAAATCTACATGCAGATGTTGCTGTGCCCGGTACAACTCTGAGGCGCTTTGGTTTGGGGGCAGGGTGGCGGGAGGAAGGGAGAGATACCTGCGTGCAGCCAAATCCGTTCACTCTGGCTCTTCTGAGGCTCCATCGCTCTGCAGAGAGACTGGAGACCCCTGGGCTTGAAAGGCTCCTTCTGCCCTTTCATACGCTGCCTGCTGTTCATCATCTGCATGAGGCTGCTGGGAGCCGTCGTCTGGGGATTTGGGGAACAGCGTCATCTGATGACACATAGCAGTCTCTCCCCCCTCTCACCTGAATCAGGAGAACCTCCACCAGAGAAGAACGCAGGAAATGGCCTTATGCAGAGTCAGGCCCTTCGTCCATGTAGCCTAGTGTTGTCTGCACTGACTGGCAGTGGTTTCAGGCTGGGTATCTCTCCCTTCCTTACCTGGATGAATGTGGGAGTTTTTCTCCCTTTCCTTAAAAACAAAGCAAGATTGTAGCCCTTGTAGTTGCAAATGAAGAGTAGAATTAAACAGGTGGAAATGAAACTGCCTTATATTGAGTCAGACCATTCGCCCATCTAGCTTAGTATTGCCCGCACTGACCGGCAGCAACTCTCCTGGCTTCCAGGCAGGAGACTCTCCCAGCCCTACCTGAAGATGCTGGTGATTGAACCTGTGACCTTTTGCATGCAAGGCAGGTGCTCTGCCGCTGAGCTACCGGTCTTTCTATCGAGAGGGCCTATCCACATAACTCCTTTGTAGACGTAGCTCACAGGCTAGAGCATATCAAGCTGCTCTTAATGTTGTGTTTTAAATGCTGGCGACCTGCCCTGGGACCTTACGGTGAAGGGTGGATAATGAATCAAATTATGATTATTAATGATGGTGGTGGTGCTTTGGGGGGGGACATCAAGTAGCAGGTTTCATCTCCAGTCAAAAGAATTTTGGAAGCCGGTCTGGGGAAGATCCTAGCCAGAGATCATCGGTGCCATGCCGTTTCAAAGGCTGCATGAAACTATGGCAGGGGAATGACACAGGCCAACTTTTGCTTTGCTTGCTATCCAGGATCCAGCCGTGAGCTTTTCCTGCAAGCAAGCTTTGATCCGTGTGTTGAGGCCCAGGAACAAGCGGAGGCACGTGACGCTGCCCTCGTCTCCTCGGAGCAACACCCCGATGGGTAACTAGTACTTGGTTTTTGGCTAACACAGCTGTGCTGGAGGAGTTCCCCTCTTGTGGGGCTTGTGCCATATGAAACCCTAGTTTAAAATCCCCCCACAAGCTGACCCGCAGTCAGAATGTCAGAATTTTGGCACTTGGCGAGATCCCAAGAGAGCAACTTTGCATCCTACAGAGGAGCGTGTGGCTGGGATTGAAGCTTCCTAATTTGTACCTCCTTTCCTACACCTGAAATTCCATTGCACAGGTGGAGAACCTTTTTATGCCCAAGGGCCGCAATCCATTCCAGGCAACCTTATGAGAGCCACATGCCAGTAGCGGGCAGGGCCAGATGCAAAAGTGGTTGGAGCAAAAATGCACCGTATTTTTTGCTCTATAAGACGCACTTTTTCCCTCCTAAAAAGTAAGGGGAAACGTGTGTGCATCTTATGGAGTGAATGCAGGCTGCGCAGCTATCCCAGAAACCAGAACAGCGAGAGGGATCGCTGTGCAGCGCTCCCTCTCGCTGTTCTAGCTTCTGGGATAGTCACACGAAGCCTCTTCAGGGCAGCGGGATGAAGGCCCCCCCCCTGCTCTGAAGAGGCTTCACACGGCTATCCCAAAAGCCAGAACAGCGAGACGGATCGCTGCGCAGCAATCCCTCTTGCTGTTCTGGCTTCTGGGATTCAGAATATTTTTCTTCTTCTTTTCCTTCTCCAAAAACTAGGTGCGTCTTATGGTCTGGTGCGTCTTATAGAGCGAAAAATACGGTAAATCATGCATTTGTACAGTAGACTAGTTTCTAAACACACATAGTCCCCTCTCAACCCTCCATCCAGACAAGCAGGGGGGATATTATCAGAGTTCAATCATGCATCTTGTTGTCTTGGTCCCACAGAAACCAGTTTTACAAATTAGTTGACTGATGAATCCCATTGCCTTTCAATAGTACTCAGTCACAAATAGCTTTAATTGGATTGGGGCCAATGTGTTTAAAAGGTAGCAGGTAGAAAGTGGTACGGTCATATGCAGAGGGCCACATTCTGCTCTCCCGGCCTGAGGCTGACATGCATAAGACTGTACTGCCCAGTGGGGGTCGTGGCTATGCAAGAGTGTCAGCTCACTTGGGGGGGAACCCGACTGCACATCCAAGGCCTCCAATCCCGGCTGCAGCACAACGCAGCAAAGCATTGTGGGATTTCTATGTGCCCGTGCCAATGTGCATTATATACGCGGCCGACAACACCACTTCTGCCCCAGGAGATAAAGACGATTATGACGATGACGATGCAGAGGATAAGATGCCGAGCTCTGGGATCCCGAATGGCGAAGACATCCGGCAGGAGAGCCAGGAGCAAAGCGAGGTGGACCACGGGGACTTTGAGATGGTGGTGAGTCTCACCTTCATTTCCAAAAGGGACTTGGTGGGTAGGCAATGTGATTCTGGACTTCAGCTTCCATCATTGATAGCCCCATTGGCTGTGCTGGTCAGGGTGGATGGGAGTCGTGGTCTCATCAACATCTAGAGAGCACTGCCTTGCCAACCCCCTAGACCAGACAGATCGTAGGAGGAGGCAGTGGTCCATCAGGTAAGCACAAAAATTGACCCTCCTTTCGGCTCAGCATCAAAGCTGTGTAGGCAGGGGATCAAGAACCTGTGGCCCCCCAGGGGTTGTTGGACTCCCCGCATTGGCCAGTATAATTCAAGGTCAGGGATTAAGGGAGATGGCAGTCTAGCAGCCCCTGGAGGGCCACAGATGGCTTTCGTCTCTGCAGTAGAACCTCCTACCTTCTCCGTCTCTGCTTTAGCATTTCAACAGGTCACCTGAGTGCATATCATCAGACATTTTGTTGATCTGGTTTTCTTAAAAAGTTAGTTATTCTTTGTTTAAAAAGGGGGTGGACACCAAACAGCCAGTAGACTCTGTGCAAAAAACACTGGCCTTTTAAGGAAAACTGTGTGTCCTGGCTGTACCTTGTAAGATCCTGTGTGTGTGTGTGTGTGTGTGTGTGTGTACTTGCCCAACAATTGGGTTCTGGAGGCATTTTGGGTGGGCCTGGCTGCCCTGCCATCTATCTTGAGCTTGCAGGGCAGCAGCTGAAGAAGGTGCAAAAAAGGGTTTTCTTGTGTGTGTTTCTTGTGGCTGATTAGCTGCTCTCCCTGTGCAAAGGTCAGAGGGGGCAGGGCTTCTGTTGAGGTAGGTGATTAGCTGTGGGAGGAGCTTATCAGAGCTTGCAGGGCAGCAGCTGAAGAAGGTGCAAAAAAGGGTTTTCTTGTGTGTATTACTTGTGGCTGATTAGCTGCTCTCCCTGTGCAAAGGTCAGAGGGGGCAGCGCGCAGTTTAATCCATCTTTTAGATTTAGGGGAGCTAGTCTCACACATTTGTTGGCGGAGACCTAGGTTTTTTTGGGGGGGAGTTATTTGTCCTGTCTTCATGCTTTTTATGATGGAGGACCGCTGTAGTCACCCCCAACGACATGTTCTCAAGATGGAGGGTGAGGGAACAGCTGCAGTCGCCTGCGATTCCTGCGCAATGTTTGCCATCTTGCCAAAGGTTGCAGGCAGCTTTACTTGCAGCAATTGCATGTTGATTGCACTCTTACAAGACAAAGTCCAGCAACTGGAGGAACATGTAGCTACGCTCCAAAGAATTAGAGAGCTAGAGCTCTTCTTGGAAGCAACAGAGCACACCGTCTCCACCAAGGAGGAGACAGGGGACTCCCCTGAGAAGGAGGCTAGTTCACCAACACAGGAGCCAGATATATGGAGAAACGTGACTCAAAGAAGTAGGAGGCCCAGGGTTCGCTCTGATTGTTTAGAAATACACAATCGCTTTGAGGTCCTCTCCCCTAGCATTGAAGACGAAGAGCAGACTCCATTTGAGGATCTCTCCCTCATTACAGTCGATCAGGTATATGAAGACGAGCAGCAAAGTCAGTCCTCAGGGAATGTGCAGGCGACCTTGGAACAGACAGCTCACGGAAGAACCCCGACCAGACCTAAGCGTGTAGTGGTGATAGGGGATTCCCTACTGAGGGGAACAGAAGCAGTGATCTGTGGGCCTGACAAGATGTCTCGGGAAGTGTGCTGTCTCCCCGGGGCTAAGATCCAAGATGTAACTGAACGACTGCAAGGAATCATAAAACCCACTGACAAATACCCCTTCCTCTTGGTTCATGTGGGAACCAATGACACTGCAAGCAATAGCCTCCAGAGGATCAAAAGAGACTACGAGGCTCTGGGCAGGAAATTGAAGCAATTAAATGCACAAATTGTCATCTCATCTGTCCTCCCAGTTGAACGACGTGGCCCAGGGAGAGAGGGAAAAATAGTGGAAGTGAACAGCTGGCTTCGCAAATGGTGTAAACAGGAACAGTTTGGATTCTTAGATCACGGACTGCAGTTTCCTAAAGATGGACTTCTGGCAAGCGATGGGCTGCACCTCACAGCGGTTGGGAGGAATGTTTTTGCCAAAAATCTCAGAAACCTCATCAGGAGGGCTTTAAACTGACTAATGTGGGGGAGGGAGACAGTGCTCCTGAAGGTAGGAGTCTATCAATTGATGAAGATGATAATCCAAATGTCATAGACCAAATGGAGCAAACAGCACACAGACCTAGTGGTGGGAGGAAAAAATCCTTAAATAAGAGACACGGGGGAATGATTAATGGACTTCAATGTCTGTACACTAATGCGCAAAGCATGGGAAATAAACAAGATGAGCTTGAGCTCTTGGTACAGCAAACTAAATATGACATAATAGGCATCACTGAAACCTGGTGGGATAAGTCCCACGATTGGAATGTAATAATGGAGGGATACAATCTATTTCAGAGAAACAGACCAGACAAGAAAGGAGGAGGAGTGGCGTTATATGTCAGGGATGTGTATACCTGTGAAGAGATCCAAGATTTAGAACCTCAAAGCCAAAGTGAGAGCATTTCGGTCAAAATTAAGGGAGAGAAGAATAACAGAGACCTCATTGTGGGAGTTTACTATAGATCCCCAAGCCAAACGGAGGACATAGATGATGCCTTCCTGGAACAGATGGCCAAGCATGCAAAAGGAAGGGAGATGGTAGTAATGGGGGACTTCAATTACCCAGATATTTGTTGGATGTCAAATTCAGCCAAGAGCATAAGGTCAAACAGATTCCTCACTGGACTTGCAGACAACTTCATTGTCCAGAAAGTGGGAGAAGCAACAAGAGGAACAGCCATTTTAGATCTGGTCCTAACCAATGTTGAGGACCTGGTTAGTGGGGTAGAAGTGGAAGGATCATTAGGCGCGAGTGATCATGCTCTTCTGAAGTTTACTATACAGCGGAAAGGAGCAGCCAAGCATACTAGGACTCAATTTCTTGACTTTAAGAAAGCCGACTTCATAAAACTTAGGGAAGTGCTGGGTGAGATCCCATGGACAGTAATACTAAAAGGAAAGGGAGTTCATGATGGCTGGGAGTTTGTTAAGAGGGAGATAGTAAAAGCACAACTTCAGGCAATACCAATGAGACGGAAACATGGAAGGTGCCTAAAGAAGCCAGGGTGGCTATCTAAAGAACTTTTAACTGAGTTAAGATTAAAAAAGGATGTGTACAAAAAATGGAAAAGGGGGGAAACCACCAAAGAGGAATTCAAACAAATAGCCAGCACGTGTAGACACAAAGTCAGAAAAGCTAAAGCACAGAATGAACTCAGGCTTGCTAGAGAGGTTAAAAGCAACAAAAAAGGCTTTTATGGGTATGTTCGTAGCAAAAGGAAGAACAAAGAAACATTGGGGTCACTCAGAGGAGAAGATGGTGAAATGCAAACAGGGGACACAGAAAGGGCTGAACTCCTCAATGCCTTCTTTGCCTCAGTCTTCTCCGATAAAGAAAACAATGCCCGACCTGAAGAATTTGGAGCAAATGATTCAGCAGAGGAAACACAGCCCAGAATAACTAAGGAGATAGTACAAGAATACTTGGCTAGTCTAGATGTATTCAAGTCTCCAGGGCCAGATGAACTGCATCCAAGAGTATTAAAAGAACTGGCAGATGTGATCTCAGAACCACTGGCAGTCATCTTTGAGAATTCCTGGAGAACAGGCGAAGTCCCGGCAGACTGGAGGAGGGCAAATGTTGTCCCTATTTTCAAAAAGGGGAAAAGAGAGGACCCAAATAATTACCGCCCAGTCAGTCTGACATCAATACCAGGGAAGATTCTGGAGCAGATCATTAAGCAAACAGTCTCTGAGCACCTAGAAAGGAATGCTGTGATCACCAATAGTCAGCATGGATTTCTGAAAAATAAGTCATGTCAGACTAACCTGATCTCGTTTTTTGACAGAATTACAAGCCTGGTAGATGAAGGGAACGCAGTGGATGTAGCCTACCTTGATTTCAGCAAGGCATTTGACAAGGTGCCCCATGATATTCTTGTAAAGAAGCTGGTAAAATGTGGACTTGACTATGCTACCACTCAGTGGATTTGTAACTGGCTGACTGACTGAACCCAAAGGGTGCTCATCAATGGTTCCTCTTCATCCTGGAGAAGAGTCACTAGTGGGGTGCCACAGGGTTCTGTCTTGGGCCCGGTCTTATTCAACATCTTTATCAACGACTTGGATGATGGACTCAAGGGCATCCTGATCAAATTTGCAGATGACACCAAACTGGGAGGGGTGGCTAACACCCCAGAGGACAGGATCGCACTTCAAAACGACCTTGACAGATTAGAGAACTGGGCCAAAACAAACAAGATGAACTTTAACAGGGAGAAATGTAAAGTATTGCACTTGGGCAAAAAAAATGAAAGGCACAAATACAAGATGGGGGACACCTGGCTTGAGAGCAGTACATGTGAAAAGGATCTAGGAGTCTTGGTTGACCACAAACTTGACATGAGCCAACAGTGTGACGCGGCAGCTAAAAAAGCCAATGCAATTCTGGGCTGCATCAATAGGAGTATAGCATCTAGATCAAGGGAAGTAATAGTGCCACTGTATTCTGCTCTGGTCAGACCTCACCTGGAGTACTGTGTCCAGTTCTGGGCACCACAGTTCAAGAAGGACACTGACAAACTGGAACGTGTCCAGAGGAGGGCAACCAAAATGGTCAAAGGCCTGGAAACGATGCCTTATGAGGAACGGCTAAGGGAGCTGGGCATGTTTAGCCTGGAGAAGAGGAGGTTAAGGGGTGATATGATAGCCATGTTCAAATATATAAAAGGATGTCACATAGAGGAGGGAGAAAGGTTGTTTTCTGCTGCTCCAGAGAAGCGGACACAGAGGAATGGATCCAAACTACAAGAAAGAAGATTCCACCTAAACATTAGGAAGAACTTCCTGACAGTAAGAGCTGTTCGACAGTGGAATTTGCTGCCAAGGAGTGTGGTGGAGTCTCCTTCTTTGGAGGTCTTTAAGCAGAGGCTTGACAACCATATGTCAGGAGTGCTCTGATGGTGTTTCCTGCTTGGCAGGGGGTTGGACTCGATGGCCCTTGTGGTCTCTTCCAACTCTATGATTCTATGATTCTATGATCTGTCTATCTAGCAAAGTGCAGAGGCAGCATACCAGATGCTGTAGACATCTGAAGGACAGCTCTCACGTACAAGAAGCTGGAGCAGACTTACTCCCCCTTGGCTCCAGAAGACAGGATTAAACATAGGACATGCTCAGAATGGGTTGCATCCTGCTAACTACTATTAAACTTAAGCCCATGATGGAAATTAAAGTTTGCTGTGGCCATAAATTCCAGTGGGTCTGATGTGAGTAGACCTAGCATTGGGTACTGTTTTGTGCATCTCATGTGTATTTTCAACAGTAATTAGCCAGATGGTTATTTTACAGCGCTGCTTTGTACTGTGCGTTGGGCAGAGAGTGCTATGGCATCAACCCCACTTCTCTTTCTCCCCTAGTCCGAGTCGATGGTGTTGGAGACTGCAGAGAACGTGAACAATGGCAACCCCTCTCCTCTGGAAGCCCTCTTGGCTGGGGCTGAGGGGTTTCCTCCCATGCTGGACATCCCCCCAGATGCCGACGATGAGACGATGGTGGAGCTTGCCATTGCCCTGAGTCTGCAACAAGACCAGCAAGGTGAGAAGCACCTGCGGGGAGGTGGCATGGAGGGAGAGGGTCAGGTTTCCCCCAGTTCAAGAAAGCTGTGCTCTGCCTCCACTGTCAGAGGCAGTAACGCTGGACAGCAGTTGCTGGGAATCAGAAGTGGGGAGAGCACTGCTATTGTACTCATGTCCTGCTTGTTGGCTTCCCTTTGTGGCATCTGGTTGGCCACTGAGAGCAGGATCCTGGACTAGGTGGGCCACTGGCCTGATTTTGTAAGCTTTCATGTACAGTGGTATCTCGGGTTACATGTGCTTCAGGTTACAGACTCCGCTAACCCAGAAATAGTACCTCAGGTTAAGAACTTTGCTTCAGGATGAGAACAGAAATCGTGCTCCGGCGGCGCAGCGGCAGCGGGAGGCCCCATTAGCTAAAGTGGTGCTTCAGGTTAAGAACAGTTTCACGTTAAGAACGGACCTCCGGAATGAATTAAGTACTTAACCTGAGGTGCCACTGTATGTGGCTTAGGATGTTCTCAGTCTGGTTTTGTACTTTTAATATTGAAATTTGTTTTATACTTAATTGTGGATTGCTGCGAGCCCCTTTTTTTTAATCCGTGGGAAGAATTATAAATTTAATTAACCTAGGTAAAGTAAAGGGACCCCTGACCATTAGGTCCAGTCGTGACCGACTCTGGGGTTGCAGCGCTCATCTCGCTTTACTGGCCGAGGGAGCCGGTGTACAGCTTCCGGGTCATGTGGCCAGCAGGACTAAGTCGCATCTGGAGAACCAGAGCAGCGCACAGAAATGCCATTAACCCTTCCACCAGAGTGGTACCTGTTTATCTACTTGCACTTTGACGTGCTTTTGAACTGCTAGGTTGGCAGGAGCAGGGACCGAGTCACTTCCGAATTTGCTGCTTGATGAAGGGTTATTTGAAGGTGACATTTGGGGAGAGCAGCATTCTTCCTCGAGGCCAAAGCATTTTCACTTGCTGTGTGAATGAAAGCACATCTCTGGGCGTTTGCTTTTCTGGGGATAAGGATCTCCACCTTTTCAGAGGCATTTTTCTTCCTTCCCTCGCATAGGGAGCAGCAGCAGTGCACTTGGACTGCAGAGCCTGGGGCTGTCCGGCCAAGCCCCCAGCTCTTCATCTCTCGACGCCGGGACCCTTTCGGACACGACAGCATCAGGTAACTGTTCACAGTGTAAAACCCCAAATGATACCTCCTGTTTCAGAGCACAGGCAATACCGCTTGGAATTCCGTATGTGCCTTTTAGCAGCTGGGGTTGTGTAGATATGCAGTAGCCTTATATCAAGTCAGACCATCTTCCCATCTAGCCTGGAATTGCCTGCTCTTACAGGCAGCTACTCTCTGGGGTCTTTGGCAGAGAAGAGTCTTTCCTGGTACCTGATAACCGGGGATTGACCTTCTGCCTGCACAGCAGATGCCTTTGCCTCAGAGTTACAGCCCCTGCGCGTGTATCTATACACTTGTATAAAAAATAATAAATATCTTAATAATATGCTAATTGATCAGTGAAGACCACTTTTTGAAAGCCGTTTTTAAAAATCCAATTGATTATTCTGCAGCCATAATGCTTGAAATCTACTAAGAGCTTTAAAAACCCTTATCACAACCTTTTGTGTTGGAGTTGCTCAAAGACAGTGTTTTTACTTGTAACAGCCCTCCTTACTCTCTTAGCTCCAGCTTCTGACGACGAAGGCAGCACGGCAGCAACAGACGGGTCCACCTTGCGGACCTCCCCGGCTGACCACGGCGGCAGCGTGGGCTCCGAGAGCGGCGGCAGCGCGGTGGATTCGGTGGCTGGAGAGCACAGTGGTAATGCCCACGATTAACTTGGCTTGGGCCCTGCCCCTCCCTTCACCTGGCAGCACATGTTGGAATAATGTTAGGAACCCGGGAAGCTGTCCTAGCACTGAGTCAGAGCATTGTTCCATCTTCCATTTAGTTTTGTTGGCACTGACTGGCAGTGGCCCTCCAAGGTTTGGGGCAGGGCGCCTCTCTCAGCCCTATCTGGAGATGGCAGTGGGGATTGAGGTAAAGGTAAAGGGTCCCCTGACCATTAGGTCCAGTCATGGCCGACTCTGGGGTTGCGGCGCTCATCTCCCTTTATTGGCCGAGGGAACCAGCGTACAGCTTCCAGGTCATGTGGCCAGCATGACTAAGCCGCTTCTGGCGAACCAGAGCAGCGCACGGAAACGCTGTTTACCTTCCCGCCGGAGCGGTACCTGTTTATCTACTTGCACTTTGAAGTGCTTTCGAACTGCTAGGTTGGCAGGAGCAGGGACCGAGCAACGGGAGCTCACCCCGTCGCGGGGATTCGAACCGCCAACCTTCTGATCTCCAAGTCCTAGGCTCTGTGGTTTTACCCACAGCGCCACCCGCTTCCCCATTGAGGATTGAACCCGCATGCAAAGCAGATTCTCTTCCACTGAGCTAGGGGCCATTCCCCGATGGAATCCCTGTGTTAGATAGAGTGCTTTCCTGGCCCATTTTGAATGTGTTTACTTCATTTTAGAATTTTAATACTTTTAACTAGAGGTGTTTTGTTTTGTTTTTGAAAAAATTGAATGTTCTGTTGTCAGCTGCTCTGGGACCTTGTGATGAAGGGCAGGTGAGGCATAAATAAAAAAGCAACAGCTCTGCTGGATTGATCGCCCAGTCCAGCATCGTGTAACCAAAATGCCACTGGGCTGTTCACTGGGGCAGCCTATCATACCCTCTTAAAGGAGTTGCACTGGCTGCCAGTCACCTGCCACCTTTGAAGCTTAGCTATTAACCTGTAACAGCCTTTGGCCAACCTGGTTCCATCTTTAAATGTTTTGCACTACAACTCCCATCAGCCCCATCAGGGGACCAGGTTGGCCAGAGTCTCACCTGTAAAGCTGTTAAGCAGCTTGGACGTAGGCTCCCTCAAGGAGCCCCTTTTCTCCCTGTTACCCAGCAAAGGAAGCCCTACTTTTCTGGAAGTTCTGTCAGTGGCCACTAGGGGGAGGACCTTTTCTTGCAGTGGTGCCTATACTGTGTAGCTGCCTCCTCTCTCAGCCTCCTATGAACATGAACAACATTGAAGCATCTCTTAAAAAACACTTCAGTTCTTTGCTGGTAGTGGATCTTGGTGTGTGCCGCCCCCCCCCCCCCCCCGATTTTAACTCTGCCCTAGTGTTTCCAGTTGCCTTATCTTCCTGTGTGCGAAAGCTTCAGTACATATCTGGTAATATTCTTGTGCTCCAGCCTTCAGACGGGAAGCAAGAAACAATGGGCTGTGCCCAACATTAGCCCCAAGCAGAGCAGATCCTTTGAAGTGAACAGACGCAACTAACTTAGGCCCTCAGTAGACTTTCTCTATGTCTTTGGGTGCAACCCCTTTTTGCTGAATTGGAACACTGTACAAAGTCAGAGCTTGAGTCCCAGGGTACCAGGCAGGGAGTCCTTCCCAGCCCTCCCTGGAGATGCTGCCAGGGACTGAACCTGGGCCCTTCTGCATGCAGAAAAGGCGCTCTGCTGCTGAGCTGCGCCGCTCCCCCCAGCAAATGTATCTATCCCGGTGTTTGGGGTCCCGGGAGTGCTTATTACTTCTCCCCCTTGCCCTGCTCCTCTCTTTCCAGTGTCCGGCCGCAGCAGCGCCTACGGAGACACGACCGCCGAGGGCCACCCTGCTGGGCCAGGGAGCGTCAGCTCCAGCACGGGCGCCATCAGCACCACCACCGGGCAGCAGGAGGGCGAAGGGTCCGAAGGGGAAGGAGAAGGAGAGGCGGAAGGAGACGTCCACGCCAGCAACAGGTAAGGCCTCCCTCCTTTCTGGCGTATGGGGGAGTCTCGGGTTTCTGAGGCTAGAATGGAACACCCTGTCCTCACCCTGCTCCACATTTTGAGGCCTCTCTTCTCCCCACCCCCCCACCCCTGGCAGCGCATGCCGTTAAATAGATCCCTGCCAGATGAACCCGCCATTAACCTAGAAACTGTTGCGAGATGCAAATGAGAGTCGATTCAGAAGCTGCAAGTGATGTGAGCCAAAGGAAGTCTTGTATGTGTAGCGGGGAACCAGATCATCAGCTGGTCAGACTGGGAAGTGGTCTCTCCCTCTCCCAAATGATGGAAACTGGCTCAGCAGCCCTTTAGAGATTGGTGGCGCCCACCCATTTTCCATGGTCGTTGACTGTGCTGCCCGTAGAGCTGATAAGGAGGCCGTCAGGTTGGGAAAGGCCTGTCCCAAAGCCCAGTGACGTCCTTCCTCCCAGCTGCAGCAGCACCTGGCATGCAAGAAAGCCATGCTTCCCTCCCATTTTTATGCGGGGAATTGGATACTTGTGGTCCCAGTGAGCTTCCAGGATAAACGTTGCAAGACTGCAGTGTCCAATCAGGGAGGCTCCCAAGGATTTGTGGGAAGTGGTGGCGGCAGCTCAGGATGCTGCCGTTTTGTTTTTATGGCCCGTGTCCTTCTGCAAGAAGCCGCCTCACCACCGCCTTTCTGGGAAAAGTTGTTGATGTGGGCAGTGAACCAGTTCCTGGTTTGTTTCTCACTAGTTTGCTGCTTTTTGGGGGGGGTGTGTTACATTTGGCTCTTTGCCGGCATGTGAATACTGCACTCGTACCGCATTGCTCTTATTTGGAGCAGGCTGATTTAAATCAGGGTTTCCCACGCTTGGATCTCCAGCTGTTTTTGGACTACAGTTCCCATCATCCCTGACCACTGGTCCTCCCTAGTCGTAGAACAGCTGGAGCCCCACGTTTGGGAAACCCTGATTTAAATGAATGAACGTGACTTGAGTCCTTCCACTTCATTGGGTCCACCCTTGAGTTAAAACTGAGATGGCTACAACCCTGTGGGATATTGCTTGGCCACACCTGCTGCTCTCAAATGCCTTCTCCTCTCCCCCTCTGATGTTCAGGCTGCACATGGTCCGTCTGATGCTGCTGGAGAGGCTGCTGCAGACCCTTCCCCAGCTGAGGAACGTGGGCGGGGTCCGTGCCATCCCTTACATGCAGGTAACGTACAAAGCAGTCTCCCTCCTCGCTGTTTGGATGAGAGTCATTGCTTAGGAATCTTCGCCATATTCCCTGGGTGGGGAACATCAGGCCCAGGGGTGAAATGTGGCCCTCCAAGACTCTCTGTGTGCCCCTGGGAGGCGACACAGAGGCCCTGCCTTGAACCCTCCTGGGATGTGCTTGCCTGGCTGGAAATGTGTCTTTGGACTTCAGTCATGCCTCTTGTTTGCCTGGATGGGAAGATTAGAGAGGGGGTGAGAGCATATAGAAGCCTAGCCTATTATAGTCATTGCTGTGTCTGCTCTTGCCTCTGGCCCTGCCCAGCCTGTGTCCCTTAGAAGCTTTCCCAGAACTGAGTACCCCTGGCCTAGAACCTGGAGTGTCCCGTCATCTGCCAGGGGCCAGAAGGGGCTGCCCCCCCTTAATACAATACAACATTGCTTCCTTAGGGATACTGTAGTTTTCTCTGGTTACAGCTGGCTGCCGGAGTTGCTTTACTGTGTTGCTTGAAATGGAAAGTACAGGTGAATTACATCTTTAACAGCCATTTTGAAACTGTGGTCTGTTCCAACTCCATTTGTAAATGCTGGCTTGTCGCTCACTACACAGCTAGTGTTAGATGCCACACTGCACTATGGTTAGCTCCGGGAAGGGAGAGAAAGGATTTGCAGAGGATGGGGTGGGGGACAAACCACAGCTGCGAGTTGGCTGCATCGCTGTCTGTCTGAGCTTCTCAGCAGCTGTCCAGTGTGGACACCCAGTTTGTGTACTCCCAAGGAATGTTAATAGCGGAAGAACCTCTGTCCCGGATGCCTGCGAGGTCCCCCTTCTTTGTGCCTTATGAGCTTCTTTGTGCCCAGGTGATCCTGATGCTTACGACAGACCTGGACGGCGACGACGAGAAGGACAAGGGTGCCCTGGATAACCTCCTTGCCCAGCTCATCGCAGAACTGTGCATGGATAAAAAGGTACAGGGAGCTGAGTTGCCCTCCTCTCCCTCTCCTGATCTCCTTTCGGCCAGGAGGAAAGGAATATTGGGTTACTTCTTCTACTTCTGGTCAAGGCAGGAAGACAGATGCTTTAGGAATTAGGCTATTGCCCCCATGAGCCTCTCTTTGCTGCCTTTCTTTGAACACAGCTGCAATCGCCTTAGGCTGCCCTATTATCTTACCAGTAGTGAGTTTTGGTATTGGTTTTTCTTCACAGCTGATGGGAGTGGAAGTCCAAAATATCAGGAGGTGTGAAGGCTTGTATAAAGTGGGACTGGGCTTCCCTCCCAGCAGCAGCACCACTTTCATCGGCAGGCAGTCCCAAGCAGAGTATTATGGCAACGTGGTGGGGTTTTTTTTTGGGGGGGGGGGTTGCCAAGCAACCTCCCGCCCAGCCATCTCCTCCCTTCCCTTGAAGCTTTTAAAAACACAGACAGCACAAAGCAGGCTTGACAACCTGAGTCGCCCATGCCTGGCTTCTTTGGGTGGTGTTGGAGGCCGGCTGGTTTTGGCCCATGGGGCAGGGTGCCTAACTACTGGGAGATCTTTTGCTTTGTAGCCATAAAGCTGGGATTTATTTGAAGACTCCCCCCCCAAAAAAAAACCCCATTGATGTAAGACGGTCACCTCTTTCTGAGCCGCACAGTAGCCCCTCCACCAGTGAAACCATTTCAGGCCACTGACTGCATGGGCCACCACCAGCGCAGGGCAGTATCAAGTGAGCCTCCTTGCAGTGGAGGTGTGCATGTTGTGGACACAAGGCAGGACGTGAACCGCCCTGATAATTTATGTGAACCGGGCTCCGCTAGGGGCGCCTTGGAAGATGGCCGACAATACCATCTCTCCCGCTCACACGAGGTAATTAAGGGGCTGAGATGGGAGTAAATCAGCCTCCCATATTTCTTCTCGGTAGAAGGGAAGATGCAGCCTCGTCCGCGGTTGCCCATAAATCACCCCCGAGTTCGAAAGAAGGAGGACACAAGGCAGGATGTGAACCGCTCTGATAATTTATGTGAACCAACCTGAGACTTTTGGGTAGAGAAATTAAATAAATAATAATAATAATAGATAATAATGTGTATGGGACAGTCAGCCTTTGGACCAAGTTGGCCACCCCCAAATTGATGGCTGGCAAGCTGCCTTATACTGAGTCAGAACGTTGGCTCATGCAGCTCAGTATTGTCTACACTGACTGGCAGCAGCCCTCCAGGGTTTCGGGCAGGAGGCATTCCCAGCCCTACCTGGAGATGCTGCTGGGCATTGAACCTGGCACATTCAGCCTGCAAAGCAGATGCTCTTTGCCCCAAATCGTGGGGCAGTTTGAGGCTTTCTGCATAATCTGTTTTATTTCACCGTGCAGTTCTTGAGATTTGGGCTGGAGGGGGTGGGCTTGAGGTCTACTCCTATGCAGCTTCAGAGGCAACCAATTCCTCTCACCTTCTCCCTTCCCCACCCTTCCCAGGACGTCTCCAAGAAAAACGAGCGCACCGCCCTGAACGAAGTCCACCTGGTGATCATGCGGCTGCTGAGCGTCTTCATGTCGCGAACGAAGTCAGGGTCCAAATCTTCCATTTGCGAGGTACCAAAATCCCTTCCGCAGTTCTGGTCTTGCAAAAGACTTTCTTACGTGAGGTTGGTAGAGGGAGAATGTCTGCGTGTGGCTGATAGAACGGCCGGACCACCTCCGGAGAGCAGCTCCCAAGCTCCCTTTTGCCCTTGAAACCCCAGTTGGCAAAGAAGTGGTTAAAAGTGGGGATGGGGGACAGGGATTTGCAGATGTGATTATAGGGGAGCAGAGATGTTGCAGCACCAACGTTTCAAAGTCGCTAAGAGGATTCCATCCCTGTTTTGGTGCAGTAATAAGGCTTTTTTTCCCTTTTTTTCTGAAAAAGAGGGGGGAAAGCTGGGGGGCTGGTGGGGGGAGAGCCGGCAAGCGTGCAGGCAGAGGGAAGAAGATTAATAACAAAAGCGTAGAGGTTAAAAACGGAGACCGAAGTGCGTCGGATTTTAATGAGCTTATGAGCTGTGGGGTTTGTTTGGATTTAACCAGAGTTTCTGTAATGGTTTTATTTACACTTGCGTTTTCGCCGGTCCTTGTTTTGCCTGTGGTTCATCTGACCCAACAAAAAGAGGTGGGCTATATATATCTATTTAGTGCAGAAGTTTGCTGTTTAAGGACACGGGTGCAAGAGATTTCCCTTCTGCATACGGGAGGCTAAAACTCTCCTCGTCGAGGCCTTTACCTTCCTCCCACAACTGGCCAGATTCCAGAGAAATGGATCGGAATTCCAACTTCTTAAAAAAAAAAAAAAAGAAATTGTATGTGTGTGTGTCTGAGAAGTATCTCGCTCCTCCTCCTAATCCTCAGCTCATTGCCCTCTGGCATGTGTGTCGAGGGGAGATTAGACTTAAGAACTGATTGCCTTTTTTTTTTTGTCCTCTCCTCCCCCCCCCATCCCTTTTGCTAAGCACTTGTTCAAAAGACCCCCCCTGCCTCTCTCCATAAACACATCATCAATTGATGCTTTCTTTAAGAAATGATATCAATAAATCACACCACCGAAACTTGAAATCCAGCTGTCAAGTCCTCAGCAGCTATGAAAGGAAGCCCCAGGTGTCTCCTGACCTTCTTCCTTTCGAGCGATCCTAAGCCCCCATCCTAAGCCTGCTGAAATGAGTCTTCTCAAGCAGATGTATCTCTGTACTGGCAACCATCTGGTCTCTAACAATTTTCTGGATCATCCAACATTTACTTTGTCCTAGTTTCCATTGTTTCTACCCTACAACTTACTCGATTGTTGCTGTTTTAACAAAGATACTACTTTCTGCCCAGCTCCTCTTCACTTCATCCCGCTCTGAGCTATGGCCCTTGTGGGGAAAGGGTGGTCAGCCCAGACCAGGGGACCCTTCCTAGACTTTGCTGGGTTCCCGTCATCCCTGACCATTGGCCGTGCTTGCTGCTCGGGCTTCTGGGAGTTGTAGCCCAGCAGATTCCGGAGGGGAACCCCATTAGGGTTTCGATGCATTCCTCAAGATCACCCTCACTTGGGAAGAAACAGTGATCTGCCAGGAACGATACCCCTGTTGGGAAGCTATCTGTGATCCGATCCCTCTTTTGGAAAGGGCTGTAGCTCAGTGGTGGAGCATCTGCCTTGCATGCAGAAGGTCCCACGTTCAAGCCTCGGCATCCCAAGGTAGGGCCAGCAGAGAACCCTGGAGAGCCACTGCCAGTCAGTGAAGGCATGTCTTCAGTATAAAGGCAACTTCCTAAATTCCTAAGAATTCCTAAATTCCTAGGGAGCTGCTTTGTATGGAGTCAGGTCCTTGATCCATGCAGCCCAGCATGGTCTACACCAGGGGTCAGCAACCTTTTTCAGCCATGGGCCGGTCCACCGTCCCCCAGACCATGTGGTGGGCTGGACTATATGTTGAAAAAAAAGTATGAACAAATTCCTATGCCCCACAAATAACCCAGAGATGCATTTTAAATAAAAGCACACATTCTACTCATGTAAAAACATGCTGATTCCCGGACCGTCCGCGGTCCGAATTGAGAAGGTGATTGAGCCGCATCTGGCCCCTGGGCCTTAGGTTACCTACCCCTGGTCTACACTGACTGGCAGAGGCTCTCCAAAATTTCAGGCAGAGAGGACATTCCTGGCCCTGCCTGGAGATGTTGGCAATTAAAGCTGGGATCTCAGTGGGCTGTATTACTGAGTTGCGGCCAGCTGTCAGTAATCAGACTCCTAAAGTGGGCTCACTCAACCCCAGATTTGTCACTCAGGTCTGCAAATATCTACAAGGAAATAAGCTGTGAGGACTCAACTTCCTCTCTTTCTCTCTCTCTCTCCTCTCAGTCCTCTTCCCTGATCTCCAGTGCCACCGCAGCCGCCCTGCTGAGCTCTGGCGCAGTGGACTACTGCCTGCATGTCTTGAAATCCCTCCTGGAATACTGGAAGAACCAACAGAATGACGAGGAGCCTGTGGCCACCAGCCAGCTGCTGAAACCTCACACCACCTCCTCCCCACCAGACATGAGCCCCTTTTTCCTGCGCCAGTATGTCAAGGTGAGTTGCGGATCAAACTGGTGTGGGTCCGGCACCAGCAGCCACTGCAGATTGGGCACATCTGTCCAATCCTGTCCCATTTCCACAGGGGAGCAGATTAAAGTCTTAACCGTGTTCCTGGGCAGATTTCCCCCCAAGGATAATTCTGGGGAATTCCACCCCCCACCTAAAAAAAAAACACCAGGCAGAAAAATGGAAATCAAATACAGTGGTACCTTGGGTTACATACGCTTCAGGTTACAGAATCCGCTAAACCTTGGGTTAAGAACTTTGCTTCAGGATAAGAACAGAAATTGTGCTCCGGCGGCATGGCAGCTGCAGGAGGCCCCATTAGCTAAAGTGGTGCTTCAGGTTAAGAACAGTTTCAGGTTAAGAACAGATCTCCAGAACGAATTAAGTTCTTAACCCGAGGTACCACTGTAACTTACATCTTCAAACCGACACCCTTTTATTTTATTTTTTTGTAACTGTTGCAACACTGTCAGTTGTACAGAAGTGGAAAGACGTACAATGACTGAATAGGTATTTACAGTGTAAAATATACAAAAGCTGTTCGCTCGATGCTGCGGGCCCAAACCTGTTGAGCTCCCTCCCAACTGAGATTTCACACACAGATGTCTTGAAAACCTGACTAAGACCTTCTTATTGGTGTTCAGAGTCCTAAGGAAGTGTGGGGAGCATATCACCTGCAGTCCCCGGCCTTGTCCCATCATCCCCCCTTCTCTCTCTCTCTCTCACACACACACACACTGAATGGGTGTGGCATGGTCTTAAGGTGAGCTCTGAAGGGGGAGGCTTATTTCCAATAACTGACTGGCGAGGGCCCCTCCTGGCTCCTGGCAGCCCTTGTGAACGACATGGATTTGCCGGCTTAGTTCCTCGGCCACTGCAGCCGCCATGGTGCCTTCTTTTATACTCAGCGCCTGGTGGTGGAGCTTTAGTTTTTTATTTCCTGCCCCAGCAAAGCATAATGGAATAAGCCGCATTAAACGTTAGGGTGCTCTTTGCTGGAAGAATAGAAGCTGTTGGGATTCTGAAGGCCTGTGGTGATGGTTGGTGCAGTTTTAAGCTCTTGCCTTTTCTTTCCTTTCTCTCGAAGGGGACCTGCTGTTTTCACATTACTCTTGTCAGTCAAGAGGTGTTCTTTTCTTTTAAAAAAAAAATAGCCGGAGAAAGAGGCTGTGCTAAGGATTGGGGAGGATATAACATGCAACAGCTCTCTTGATTACCCAGCGATGCCACGTTGAACACAGTTTAGAACTCTGATCCGCGGAGGTGGGCAGCAGATGTAAAACGAAGGGGTGGCTTCCTCCAGCTAACAGCTTTAGTTCTGCCTCGAGAGATCTCTCTCCATTACCCATAATCGGACGAAAATATTATAAGGAAGGGAGAGTTGTGTACTCTCCCCCCCAGCTCCCAGCTTGGGTACTTGACGTCTTGCAGCTAGATTCTAGATTTGCTGTAGCTTCTTCTCAGGAGGTTCCAACCAGCTGGTGAAGGATGTCAAGCAATTGTTTATTTGAAAGCAAGTGATGGGGGGCAAAGTATCTATGCTCTGCCTCCATAATAATAATAATAATTTATTATTTGTACCCCGCCCATCTGTCTGGGTTTCCCCAGCCACTCTGGGCAGCTTCCAACAAAGATTAAAAATACATTAAAATGTCACACATTAAAAACTTCCCTGAACAGATGTCTTCTAAATGTCAGGTAGCTGTTTCTCTCTTTGACATCTGGTGGGAGGGTGTTCCACAGGGCGGGCGCCGCTACCTAGAAGGCCCTCTGCCTGGTTCCCTGTAGCTTTGCTTCTTGCAATGAAGGAACCGCCAGAAGGCCCCCGGCGCTGGACCTCAGCGTCCGGGCAGAACGATGGGGGTGGAGACGCTCCTTCAGGTGTACTGGGCCGAGGCCATTTAGGGCTTTCAAGGTCAACACCAACACTTTGAATTGTGCTCAGAAACGTACTGGGAGCCAATGTAGGTCTTTCAAGACCAGTGTTATGTGGTCTCGGCGGCCGCTCCCAGTCACCAGTCTCATCAGAGACAGTAATGCTTCTGAGTAACAGTTGCTGGAAACTACTGCAGGGGAGAGCGCTTGAGCTCGGGTCCTGCTTGTGATGACCATCAACTGCATGACTTTAAAAGAGGATTATGCGAGTTCACGAAGGAGGGCAAGGCTACCTGCAGCTACTACCTACAGTGGCTACATTTTACCTCCACTGTCAGAGGCATCATGCCAGTTGCTGAAAATCACAGGAGAGGGGAGAGCTCTTGTGCTCAGGTCCTGCTTGCAGGCTTCCCAAGCCCACAGGCATCTGGCTGGCTACTGTAAGTAGAGGATGCTGGGCTAGACGAGCCATTGGCCTCTGGGGCTTGTCAATCAGAAGGTTGGTGGTTCGAATCCCCGCGATGGGGTGAGCTCCCATTGCTCGGTCCCAGCTCCTACCAACCTAGCAGTTCGAAATCATGCCAGTGCAAGTATATAAATAGGTACCACTGTGGCAGGAAGCTCAACGGCGTTTCCACGCACTCTGGATTTGGTCACGGTGTCCCGTTGTGCCAGAAGCGGTCTAGTCCTGCAGGCCCCATGACCCGGAAAGCTGTATGTGGACAAGCGCCGGCTCCTCGGCCTGAAAGCGAGATGAGCGCCGCAACCCCATAGTCGCCTTTGAGTGGACTTAACCGTCCAGGGGACCTTTATCTTTTTTACCTTTACCAGCAGGGCTCTTCCTATGTTCTTACCAGTGCTTGGCTTTTGATTTTGATTAAAGTTTCCAGACCTTTTCCATTGGTTGTGGCTTTTGGACGTGCATCACAAATGGACCAAAATTCAACCAAGTGGGCTTTGTCAAAACTAACAGTGCTTCCGTGATTCACAGAAGCAGAAACGGGTTCAAAAGCAGTGTGCATTATAAAGCCAGAAATCGATATGTGCTTACATATCCAAGAGGTCACCTTTCATTGCCGGCACCAGCACCTGCTATCCCTGGGCAGCTGCAGATGCCCCCTGCAGATGGTCTGGCTTGGTACAAGGCAACTTCCCATGTTGGTTGGAGGAGACAGTATTACACTAAATGCATAGCTGTCAGCTTACAGATTTGAAAATAAGGGATCAGCAGCCAAAATAAGGGATTTTAGTCAACCAGCTGAAATACAAAGTTAAAAGGAACCAGATAATTTGGGAGAGCAGTGCCGGTTTTTAGCCCTTCATTTCCAGAGGTTTCTGCTCAAGACACCAGCTGATGAAACACTGCAATTAAATAACTACAAGCAGCCACCACTTTTCGCACAAAACAAAGTCCAAGCTACGAAGATGCTGCTGCAGTTCTGTATCTTTTCTCTCGTGATCCATCTGCAGCTCTCAGTTCCATCAGGCGGGGCGGGAGGAAGGGGGGGGGAATAGCGCCCAAAGTAAACTCGCAGATCAGACCACCTATGCTAGTCTACCACTACAAATCTATGGGAGAAGTGCTTGCGGTCCTTCCTCTGCTTTCCCCCTCTATGGTTAGCCCTTAGAACACCTGCCCGCGCCTCCGCCGCCGCCTCCTCTCTCTGAACTGCTTTCTCTATGGTTACCCTCGCTCTCCTCCCAAGGCTCCTCAGTCCCGGCGGGGAGGGGCTCCTGGGGGCCGAGGCTGGTGAGAGGAGGCCGGAGGGGGGCGGGCTGGGCATCCAAGCAACACTGTTGGAGCCTCCCTCCTCCCTGGCCGGCAGGGAGTGAGGGAGAAGAGCTGCTTCCTTTGAAACCCGGGAAATTTAAGGGACATCATCAATAAGGGACAGCAGCGGGACACGGCACTGGGATAAGGGAGTTTCCTGCCAAATAAGGGACACTTGACAGCTATGCTAAGCGGCATGTGGCAGCTTCATAAATTAACTTCTGTTCCAAACGTTTCTCCCTTTCAGGGCCACGCCGCTGACGTCTTCGAAGCTTACACCCAACTCTTGACGGAGATGGTGCTGCGGTTGCCGTACCAAATCAAGAAGATCGCTGACACCAACTCCCGCATCCCGCCACCGGTCTTTGACCATTCCTGGTTCTACTTCCTCTCGGAGGTAGGTCCGCTTGAGATTGCAGGCCTGAGGTTGAATCCTTGACGGAGGAAGCAGCCTTGAATCTTCATCTTCTGAGAACCACCTCCCAGCTACCCTTAGGATGCTGTCTCTTACCCTGGCATGTCCTCCTCATGTTGAGAGAGGTCATGTTTTGTAGCCTTATTGGAGTTCACTGATTGGGTCTGCGTTGCTCCCGGACAGGAGGAAGGAAGTCAAATGACACCGAGGGTTGGTTCAGAGAAAGAGTTCTTTATTTCTGCTCTCCGGAACGGCAGAAAGGCACTTGTGTGGTCAGTCCACAGCAAGTCCAAAGAAATGAGAGATTCATGCAGTATATATATCCTCTTCCCCCTTCCCCAGGAATCCAACCATGTCAGCTTATACATGCAGGTTGACATCACATATGTTCCTGCTCCGGTATTCTTAACCATAAAAGGGTATTCCTTCCTGTACTTCTGACCATAAAAGGATATTCCTGTTCCTACTCTTATCTTGGAGCAAGAGGTCACCAACTCCAAGAACACACTCTGGCGCTGTTCCCGGACTAGGTCTGTGCGTCAGGACGTAAGATAAGACCTAGACATGTCATCCCTACTCCACTGAAACAGCCAAGGTCATCCTTGCTGTCACGAACTGATAAAGGAGAGGGCTCTGAGCACTTGTTTATACAGCTGGGTTTTTGTTTATACATTGACTCAGAGCTCAAGTTAATGGAATTTAGCTAAGGAAAAATAGGGATTTTGGTGCCCGTTTCAAACTGCCTGCACAGTCAGTTTTGGGTTTGGGAAACCCATTCCTTCAGTTTGAGCCGGTGATCTGGAATGCAGACAGGTGCAAAAAGGGTTTCAGAAACCAAGTCCATTTCTGCTAGAAGATGCTGAGCTACAACTCAGATCAGCCCTCTCTGATCATGATGGCTCTGAGTGGAGCTGATGGGAGTTGGGAGTCCAGGAAGTGTTGTGGACCAGGCTGGAGAAAGTCTGGTCTTTGTTTATATGCTAAAAGCAGGGCTTGACTTCACTAAACATGATCCTCCTTTGAAGAAGTGAGTGCAGGTGCAGGTGTGGTGGGGTAGATTGGTGAGAGCAGGTTGTGTAAGAGAGCCTGCGTTGTGATGGTTAAGAATGTCTGACTAGAACCCGAGAGACCAGGATTCAAATCTCCAATCGGGCATCAAGCTCCCTTTGGGCCATTCTAACCTACCTCTGCTGATAATGATAAATGGAGAGAAGGGAACCATGGACACCACCTGATTTCATATATATTAATTTCATGAAATATATATGTTGCTTGATTGTAAAAGCTTCAAAAGTAGTTTTTAAAAAGTTTCTTGGAGTAAAGATGCTATCTTCTTCTTCTTCTTTAGATTTATATACCATCCTTCATCAAAAGATCTCAGGGCAGTTCACAGGATAAAAACACAAGACAAAAATACAAATAAATAGCTTGTTGTTATTTATCAGATAAAATAAAAATAATAGTAATACAGTGGTACCTTGGGTTACATACGCTTCAGGTTACAGACTCCGCTAACCCAGAAATAGTACCTCAGGTTAAGAACTTTGCTTCAGGATGAGAATAGAAATCGTGCTCCGGCGGCGCAGCAGCAGCAGGAGGCCCCATTAGCTAAAGTGGTGCTTCAGGTTAAGAACGGACCTCCGGAACGAATTAAGTATTTAACCCGAGGTACCACTGTAATCTGGCCAAATGGGAGTGAAGATTCTTTAGGTGATGCCTGTTTGCTTCCATTGGAAAGGAAATTTCTAGACCTCAGTGCTGCCCAGAAAAACACTTGGATGAGAGGGCGATGGATCCTACACGTCCTGGACTTCTCTGTTGTGTTATCAGCAGACAGCACGGTGCTGTTACTGTTATTACAGAAGGGCCTTGAGAACCTCGCTCTTCTCTTTGTGCCTGTGCAATTGCAGCACTTTCAACTATATAGGTTTTCTTACGGAAACTCTGCACCCTTTTCTCTCCCCCCCCCCCCCGCCCAGTACCTGATGATCCAGCAGACGCCCTTTGTGAGGCGCCAGGTCCGCAAGCTCCTGCTCTTCATCTGCGGCTCCAAGGAGAAGTACCGCCAGCTGCGCGACCTGCACACACTAGATTCCCACGTCCGGGGGATCAAGAAGCTGCTAGAGGAGCAAGGGATCTTCCTGAGGGCCAGCGTGGTCACGGCCAGCTCGGGATCTGCTCTGCAGTACGACACACTGATCAATTTGGTAAGGAAGCCCGTGCGTGTCCTTTTGAGCATGGATGAGTGCAAAGGCCCAGTAGAGCGGAGGTGCAAAGCCAGAGCAGTGAATCATGCAGAGACACAGCGGAAGATCAGCCCCCCCCCCCCGCCCCGGTTATGGTGTTCGGCTGTCATAAATGAGCTTCCTTCTGTTCCGTTTTAGATGGAGCACTTGAAAGCCTGTGCGGAAATCGCCACGCAGCGGACAGTGAACTGGCAGAAGTTCTGCATCAAGGATGACTGTGAGTTGCTTTCCTGTGAGGGTGTGGGGTGGCAGAAGGCGATTTGGGTGGAATTGTGGTGTGGGGATGGGGGTGGTAGTGCTGGAAAAGACCTACCAATCTAATCAACTGGATTCCTCCCCTTATGAATAGTGAGATTTGATTGAAGAGGAAGGAAGGCTGATTTTTTTTAAAAAAAATCTTTCATAAATTTTATACAGTGCTTGGTTGTAAAAAAACAAAAAACAAAATCCAAAGCAGTTTACAAAACAGATAAAACAATAAGATTATCAGTAGGAATTAAGAATAAATTAAGACTATTTAAAATAACAACAGAATAGAATAAAATCACCTGGGTAGGCTTTGTTTTGAGTTTTAGGCGTATCAGGGAGAATCGCAGAGGGTCTTAGTCTTGCAGGAGGCGGTGATCTCTGCTGCCTGCTTGCCACCCAACAGACAAATCTACTGTCTGAAGAATATGCCACCCCCTTATCCCAAGTTTTTGTTTTCCCATGAGGTCTAGAAACTTGTTCTGCCGTGAAAGTAAATGAATTGGTGCTCAAAGCTCCCACGATCCCATTCGGCTAGATTTTGCTGCCTGTTTTCTTTTTAAAAGGGAGCTCTGATAGGGAAAGCCGAGAGGACTTGTTTGTTGAGACAGTCCCTTCTTCTTCCTCCTCTAGCCGTCCTCTACTTCCTCCTGCAAGTCAGCTTCCTGGTCGACGAGGGCGTGTCCCCCGTCCTGCTGCAGCTCCTTTCCTGCGCCCTGTGCGGCAGCAAAGTCCTCTCGGCGGCATCTTCCTCTGGATCATCCGGTGCGTCAACCTCGACGCCTGCGGGCTCCGGGACCTCTGGGCAGCCAGCCGGGCAGAGCAAATCCTCCACTAAGAAGAGCAAGAAGGAAGAGAAAGAGAAAGACCGAGAGGGTGAGAGGAGTTGTGCAATAGAGGCTGTTAGATGCTGTGTGGTGGTTGCTCGTGAGTAACCAGGCAGGACTCCGACCTGTTTTTTACAGGTTTTCTTGTGCAAACTATTTACAGTGCAGATACACAAGTTTCATGTCCGTCTTAGTCGTTTGCAGAATCCGGGAGTAGCCTCTTCCGGCTTTCCCCCCAACATAAGAACTTTGTTGTTGTTGTTGTTGTTTAGTCGTTTAGTCGTGTCCCACTCTTCGTGACCCCCTGGACCAGAGCACGCCAGGCACTCCTGTCTTCCACTGCCTCCCGCAGTTTGGTCAAACTCATGCTGGTAGCTTCGAGAACACTGTCCAACCATCTTGTCCTCTGTCGTCCCCTTCTCCTTGTGTCCTCCATCTTTCCCAACATCAGGGTCTTTCCCAGGGAGTCTTCTCTTCTCATGAGGTGGCCAAAGTATTGGAGCCTCAGCTTCACGATCTGTCCTTCCAATGAACACTCAGGGCTGATTTCCTTAAGAATGGAGAGGTTTGATCTTCTTGCGGTCCATGGGACTCTCAAGTCTCCTCCAGCACCAGAATTCAAAAGCATCAATTCTTCGGCGATCAGCCTTCTTTATGGTCCAGCTCTCACTTCCATACATCACTACTAAACCATAGCTATATGGACCTTCTAAGAACATAGACACCCCAAATCTCCACCTCCCCTTTTTGCGTTTCACCCCTCTGTGCATGCTGGGCGACGGAAGTGGCATGCATTCCTCCTGGCCAGCCTGGCTAGGTGAGGCGCTGGGGCTCTTAGCAGCATCTTCGAGCCCTTTCCCACCTTGGCTGGCCCCTTCCCTCTTTTCTCCATTGGAGGTGTGGCTTTTCCCCTCGCTGGAAGAGAAACTGCTCCTCAGAAGCGTTGGAGGCTTTCTGTATCCCAAACGCCTCCCTGCCTCCCTCCCCTGTTCTGATGGCAGTCCCCTGACAGAGGCAGGTCTTTAGGCCTGCTGCCAACTTTATAAAAAAATTAATACGCTCATTCCTTTAAAAATCAGCAGGTTTTTTTTTTACAACAATTATATCAGTTCACAACAATTATTCACAAAACTGTACAACAAAAACTATACGAAAACCTTAAAACCAGAAACCAGCTATCTGTTATGGAAAGATAGATTCTTAGTTGCCTACCTGCCTGCCTGCGTTTTTCCATTTTTATCCCATTTTTCCTCCAAGGAGCTCAGGTGTGGTGTATGTACATGGTTCTGTTCCTGTGCATTTTATTTATTTATTATTTTTATTTATTGAATTTAGATACCCCCCTATACCCGGTGGTCTCAGGGCAGTGCACAGAACAAAATCAGAATATAAAACTACATAACATAATCAAAATAAAAACAACAACCCAATAACCCACCCACCCCCAACCACATTTTAAAAGGGCATAGGAAGTCATAGGATTTTATCCTCATGCCTGTTAGGCATGGCTTAGGCTGAAAGACTGTGAGTCTCCCGAGGTCGCTAACTACTGCACTATGCTGGCTCTTTAAATTATCATCAAGGGGTTAAATGTTGGCACAGAAGATGGTGACAATGACACCAAAGGCTCAATTTCTCGTTTCTGTCTAATGATCCTTGCCAACTCTGGGAACAACCAGTAACATTCCTACAGATATGGGGGGTGAGGGGAAGGGTGGACTAATGCTTCTAGAACTGCCAGTCAAGAAACTGGTAGAATTCACAGGGTCAGGGCAGAAATCTGATCTGCCCAGTCCTCTGTCTCCGCTAACAGTGGCTTTTGCGCACAAGGCAGGGTGTTGCTAGCTAGCCTCTGTCTCCAGTATTGTGTAATTGGAGGAGTCCTGCCTTCTGAACAGGGAGCTTCCATTCAGTATAGATCCATGTTTGTTAGCCGGTAGCCTCATCTGTTCATTCAACTAGAATATGCGGGCAGCAGAGGAACTGGACTGGTCACCTGCTGCCAAGAGCTGTACACACAATCATAGGAACATAGGAAGCTGTCTTCTACTGACCTGAACTGTTGGCCCATCTAGTCTTAGTATTGTCTACTCTACACTGACTGGCATCAGCCCTCCAGGATTTCAAATAGGGTTTTCTCCCAGCCCTGCCTGCAGATGACTTTGGGGGTTAAACCTTGGATCTTCTGCATGCAAAGCAGGTGCTCTGCCACTGAGCTGTGGCCACAGGAATGCATGAAGCTGCCTTATACCAAGTAAGACCACTGGTCCATTTAGCTCTATATTGTCTACACAGACTGGCAGCAGCACCTCAAGGTTTCAGACGGGACATTTCTATCGCTACCTGGATGCAAAGCAGCAGGTGCTTTACATTCTCTCCCCCACCCTAAACTGTACCTTACGATACACCTGCCTAAGCAATCTCCCTCTTTTTTATTCCTCTGCCCCATCTTCCAGGAGAGGGTTCATCGGGCAGCCAGGAAGACCAGCTGTGCACAGCTCTGGTGAACCAGCTGAATAAGTTTGCTGACAAGGAGACCCTGATTCAGTTCCTGCGTTGCTTCCTGCTAGAGTCCAACTCGTCCTCTGTCCGCTGGCAGGCCCACTGCCTGACGCTCCACATCTACAGGTGAGTCGTGAAACTGGCAGCTTACATTTTAAAAAAACCAAAACACAGTAATAAAAGCAAACTGATTGAAAACCGCCGTATCCTGCTTGTGGGTTTCCCTTTGTGGCATCTCGCTGGCCACTTTGAGAGCAGAATGCAGTTGAAATGCACTTTGCCCTGGCGGCAGCCCCGTGATCAGCATCGTTTCTGAACCTTACGTTTCCAAAGGCCTCCCTGAGCAGGAAGGAATGATAACAAGGAGGGAGCCTGTCTGACCTCTGTTGGGAGGGATTCCCATAATATGGGAGCAGCCCCAGAAAAGATTCTCTCTCTAGTGTCTCCACCAGCCATGGCTCTGATGCTGGCGAGACTGAGAGAAGGTGCTCATTCAAGGATCTTGGCACCTGGGTCGGGTTGTTCTAGACTTCAAGACAGGTGGCGGCCTTTACCTATTTGTATGCTTATTTTTTAAAATAGTGGACCAGGTAGAGAATGAGCAGTCTGAAATGGCTGAAGGGCTTCTAAGAAGGGCACAAAAGGGAGGGATGGGTCCGCATAAACATCCCGGAGGAGAGATGTGTCCAGAGGGTGGGGGATAAGATCTTCAGCCGTATGCGCAGTGGGGAGCGGGCCCCTTGGTTAACCCCCTCCTCCTCGCCCCCTTTCCCTTTAGAAACTCAAACAAGTCCCAGCAGGAGCTGCTACTAGATCTCATGTGGTCAATCTGGCCAGAGCTGCCGGCTTACGGACGGAAAGCTGCCCAGTTTGTGGACCTCCTGGGCTACTTCTCCCTGAAGACGCAGCAGACAGAGAAGAAGGTAGGGGTGTCTCATTGGGATGGCCAAAAGGGCTTTCTCTCACCATCCTCCTCCTTTATTCCTCAAGGATGTGAAAGAGCAGCCACTACATCTGGTGTGTGTGTGGGGGGGTGCTTCTCAGTGTGCAAAGGAAGGTCTCCTGAAGAAAGGAAAGCCCAGTTCTAGCCTCCATCTTGACCAGGCAGGCTTTAGAACAGAAACCTGTCTCTCCGTAGGGCAGGGGGCTCCTCAGGCCTGGGAGCTAAATACAGCTTTCCAGGACCCTCATATTTGGCCCTCGCGACTCTGCCTAGGCCACATTCTGGATGACGCCTGCTCTCCCTGGGTGCTATTGCCTGGCTGGAATGTGTCTTTGGACTGTAAAGATGGTGCTCCTTGCTTACGAGGATGGAGGGAGTGGGATGTGTAAATCTCTTGACTTTTGTGCGGTTGGAATGCAGGCCCCTATATATTTACAGGCATATGTGGTATGTGCAAAGGATCGTCATCATTCTCGGGAGAATAAATACTAAATGGCAAAGAGTGAGAGTGGATAATTGGGAGCTCTCTATAACCAACTCTGGTTTTGGTCTTCATATTCACTCCTGAATCCCCTTTGTGAGCTGTTTGTTAAACCTTTCTTTCAGTTAAAGGAATATTCCCAAAAAGCTGTTGAGATCCTACGGATGCAAAACCACATCCTGACCAACCATCCCAACTCAAATATTTATAAGTGAGTATCTTTGGTATAAAATAAATACATATATTTCTTAATTTGTACAGGGCTGTGGTGCAACCCATCTCAGGAGTGGAGGGCAGCTGGAACTAGGGGGTGTGTGTGTGCTATTTCTTAGTCACTGAGCCATTTTCATTTCCTGCAGAAGAACAGTCTTGTTCTCCACCCACCTGCTTGTTTTCCTGTTGCATCACACTGCAGCTCGGGGCTTTCAAAAAGGACTATCAAGGGATAAGACTTATCAGTGACTGTCAGCCAGCTCAATGGATCTGCCAGGATCAAGAGCAGTGTACCTTCGTATGCCAGATGCTTGGAACAAACAGGAAGTGGGGGGTGGGACTGTTGCTTTCACGTACTACTTGAGGGCTTCCTGAAGGCCACTGCATCAAACAGGGCTGTTTGGCTTGACGGGTCATTTCCCAGTCCAGTAGGGCTCCTCCTTTGCCTGGGCAAATTTCTCAGATGTCCTTATCCCTCCCCTTCCAGCACACTGTCTGGTCTGGTGGAATTTGACGGCTACTATTTGGAGAGCGACCCCTGCCTTGTTTGCAACAACCCAGAAGTTCCATTCTGCGTAAGTAGTTGCTCCTCAGCATCAGTCCTGCCTTGAGGGTATCGGGGCGTCGATTCTGCACAGCTTTGCTCAGTCTCCTTCTACGCACTTCCCTTTATGTTCTTTATTTATCACATACAGAAAGATAAATGGAAGTAACTGCTTTGCAAAACTTGAGTGCAGCATACAGAGTCGAAACTGACTGATAGCACAAAGCACATAATAAACAAATGGAAATAAAAGGGATGAGCATGTTCCTTCTTATATATATTTTTTATCTGCACCAGGGTTCATGTTTAATTTACAAAGCCTGAACAACTTGGGTCCAGGGTACCTCAGGGTTCACCTGATCCCTCATATCCCAGCTCAGTCACTGACATCATCTGCAGGAGTGTCCCGGGCTGTTTCCTGAGTTGGTAAGGCTCATTTGACAGCAACAAGAAACCAATCCCTTGACTGAGTCCTGTCCAACGCTCTGCCAATAGCGATTCAGCAGGTGCCTTCTGTCTCAACTCTTAAACGCCTGCTGAAAACCTATGCAGAGAATCCACAAGGGTTTAATTGATGTCTGTTTTTCAACCTGTATAGCTTCTGAAAAGAAGTACAGTCAAACCTTGTTTTGCGGATGGGATCCGTTCCGGAAGCCCACCTGCAAGCCGAAAATGACGCACGTCGAAATGCCACGTCTGCGCATGCGTGAAGTGTGATTTAACGCTTCTGCGCATGCGTGAGTGGTGAACCCAGAAGTAACCCATTCCGGTACATTCGCTCAAGCGGACACAAGCGGAGGCGGACGCAGAACAAGGTTTGACTATATTCTGTACCGTTTCCAACACTTCATTATAGTTCAAATCAGAGTCCCAGATTTCAGTGCCATAGTAGAGCTTTTGACTAATCACATTGCTGCCAAAAAACCATTAGGGGAGGTTCAATCAGCTGTCCTCCCTTACTGTAACAGAACTTAATCAGTGCCCCTGTGGTTTTCTGTGCTTTGACTTTCGCTGCCTCCAAGACAAGGTTTCACTAAAGCGTTCGCCCAGGTATTTAACTGAGGGAGTTTGTTCCATAGCTTCCTGATGTCGCTTTTATTCTTTTATTTCTGTTGTGTTTTGTCTTTGCGTTTTTATTGCTGTAAACCGCTTTGATGTGTTTTTATGTGACAGAGCCGTATACAGATACTTTTGGAGATGAATAAGTGAAATAAATAAGATAATCCATTCCTGTTAACGTGTAACTGGCTGGAGTGTAGGGTGCTTTCTCCAATTTGTTTATAGGTAAGTGATGCTTCTCTGCTTCTCTCCTCCTCCTATTCCGCAGTACATCAAACTTTCTTCCATCAAAGTGGACACTCGGTATACCACCACCCAGCAGGTGGTGAAGCTCATTGGCAGCCACACCATCAGCAAAGTGACCGTGAAGATCGGGGACCTGAAACGCACCAAGATGGTCCGGACTATCAACCTCTATTACAACAACCGGACAGTGCAGGCCATTGTGGAGCTCAAAAACAAGTAATTTCATTTTTTTTTATTTAAATGACTTGTGCCCTTCTGGATTCCCCCCCCCCCCCCAGTTCCCAGAATGGCTTGCAGAATGATTTTAAAAGAAAAGATAAAAGACGCCCCTCTGCCCTCAGGCATGCAGTCTAAGAAACATGACACAAAAGGGGGAGGGAGGAGCAAGGAGGAAACAAGTGAGCCCCCAAAGGCGCTGACCGTTAATCAGCAGGTTACAGTGGTACCTTGGGTTAAGAACTTAATTAGTTCTGGAGGTCCGTTCTTATCCTGAAACTGCTCTTAACTTGAGACACCACTTTAGCTAATGGGGCCTCCCACTGCTGCCGTGCCACCACCGCATGATTTCTGTTCTCATCCTGAAGCAAAGTTCTTAACCCGAGGTAATATTTCTGGGTTAGCAGAGTCTGTAACCTGAAGCGTATGTAACCTGAAGCATCTGTAACCCGAAGTACCACTGTATTTTGTTGACCAGCTGGGTTAGAAAGCTGAGTTGTGATTGCCCATATGCGGGCAGCAATTAAGTTTCATGTATTTCATATGTCACAAAGAGAAGAGGATGCAGATTCTTCTTGACTTTCCATGTGGATTAGCTGGCATCTCAAGAATCCTCCTCGTTCCTTGCCCCCACTCCCCACCCCTTGCGAAAAAAGCACCCTTGCCAATAAGAAAAAGGACTCTGTTCAAATTCCAGGGTGGTGGTGTATATATATTTATGTATAAATAGAACTAAGTGTTACATTTTGTTCCGTCCCATGAGGCATGAATATCTCTTTAATCCTAAACAGCCTTGCTGTGGATGGGGATAATGGCTTAGTCTCTGGCTCTGACTCCCTATCATGTTGACACAGGCGGAGAAGAAGCGAATCCAAAGAGCCCAGTCCCACAGTTCATCCTCCTTTAAAGGAGATTTTCAATGGAGGCCGCTGCGCTTAGCTTTGGCGTGGGATGGAGGATGCTGAACCTACTTGCCTTCCTTTAAATCAGTGGCTCCCAAAGTGGGTGGTAGCGCTCCCCGGGGGGGGGGGGGCAGGTAGTGACATCACCTGGGGTGGGGTGGGGGGGTGCTGAATATGCAGAGGACCACTGGGCTTTGAAAAGCTGGTATCCATGGATCAAGTTAATCCATTTTGTTGAATTAACAAAGCTAAATAGTTTCGATTGGATTTTGAATAAATGTATAACTGCAGTGGTACCTTGGGTTACTTACGCTTCAGGTTACAGGTGCTTCAGGTTACAGACTCCACTAACCCAGAAATAGTATCTCGGGTTAAGAACTTTGCTTCAGAATGAGAACAGAAATTGTGCTCTGGCGGTGCGAGGTTAAGAACAGTTTCAGGTTAAGAACACACCTCCGGAATGAATTAAGTACAGTGGTACCTCAGGTTAAGTACTTAATTCGTTCCGGAGGTCTGTACTTAACCTGAAACTGTTCTTAACCTGAAGCACCACTTTAGGTAATGAGGCCTCCTGCTGCTGCCGCGCCGCTGGAGTACGATTTCTGTTCTCATCCTGAAGCAAAGTTCTTAACCCAAGGTACTATTTCTGGGTTAGCGGAGTCTGTAACGGTTGTAACGTGAAGCGTATGTAACCCGAGGTACCACTGTAATTCTGCTCTTACCTTCCTTTTTGGGTCATGTGAACTGCTCTTATGACTAACACTTTTTTATAGGGAAGGGCAGGGGGAACTGAGGGCGAGTTTATGGAAACTATTGGGGGGCAGTGAACAAATGAAAAGTTTGGGAACCACTGCTTTAAATGGTTTTCCTCTTCCTTCTCCCCCACTCTTGCCCCCCCCCTTGTTCGTTCACTTGCTTTATTCCCCCCTCCTCCCACTTTTATAGGCCAGCCCGCTGGCATAAGGCTAAGAAGGTCCAGCTCACCCCGGGCCAGACGGAGGTGAAGATCGACCTACCATTGCCCATCGTGGCTTCCAACCTGATGATTGAGTTTGCAGACTTCTATGAGAACTACCAGGCATCTACAGAGACCCTCCAGTGCCCCCGGTGCAGCGCTTCCGTCCCGGCCAACCCCGGGGTGTGCGGGAACTGCGGGGAGAACGTCTACCAGTGCCACAAGTGCAGGTGTGTAAAATTCCTCAGAAGCAGTCTTCTTCTGTGTGCAAAACCCACTTTCACTTAGATACTGAGCTACAGTTTTCTCTCCCCACCCAAAAACTGCACCAGCGTCCCTCCTGCCTGAATATCCCCCCTTGCGGGCCCCTCCTCACCTGGTGAGGAGGTGAGCCTGTCGTGGACCAGCGGTTGAGTTCCTGCCACGTCAAAAGCCCTGCCAACTCGCCTTTTCCGCCCTTCCTTCCCAGGTCCATCAATTATGACGAGAAGGACCCCTTCCTCTGCAACGCCTGCGGGTTCTGCAAGTACGCTCGCTTTGACTTCATGCTGTATGCCAAGCCCTGCTGCGCAGTGGATCCAATTGAGAATGAGGAGGACAGGAAAAAGGTCAGGCGCACAAACGCTCACACGCATGCATGCCCTCTGAGCTACCCTGGTCAGAAGTTATAACATAAATTCCATGTCTTGATTTGAAGGCCGTAACCAACATCAACAGCCTCCTGGACAAGGCGGACCGAGTGTACCACCAGCTCATGGGTCACAGGCCACAGCTGGAAAACCTCCTCTGCAAAGTGAACGAGGCAGCGCCCGAAAAGCCACAGGTATTCATCTTCTCCCTCTCCCTCCCTCCTCCTTCCAGTGCTTTTGTTTGCCATTGCTCTGTGGGGAAATCTCTAAATGCGCACAGGCATAGCAGGGGTGTGATTGTGGAACATTGCCTGGCCAGTTCAGTCATGGGGGTGCTGCTTTCTCCCACCATTCCCTTCGCCGTTTCCTTCCTCCGCCGCGACCGGTTTTGAAATCCCTCCCTCTTGTGGCCTTTTCAGGATGACACCGGCGGGAGTGGAGGAATCAGCTCCACCTCGGCCAGCGTCAACAGGTACATCCTTCAGCTGGCCCAGGAGTATTGCGGAGACTGCAAAAACTCTTTCGACGAGCTCTCCAAGATTATCCAGGTAAACAACCTCCGTGCTGCTGGCAGTGCCAGCATATGTCAGGTCAATCTGTGCCTGGGAAACCACCATTGAAAACAGAGGCTCCACACCCCCAAGATAGGCTCTCCTCTCCTGTGAGGTGCCGTTACCTGGTCTGTCTTCCAGTTTGGCACAGCCCAAGATGGCAGAGACCGTCTTAGTGCCAAGTTTGGGACTCCCTTCCTTGAAGGATTGCTCACGCCCCACCTGTGCTCACTGAGCCACACTACAATCTGCAGAACTGGCACTTTCACCACTTTTGTACAGTATTCATTCTACACTTGGAAGGAACCAGTTCTTTGGTGTGACAGCGCCTGCACTGTTGGAACTTCCTGCCCATTGATAACCGCACCAGGCGCCATTGCTGTACTGCTTTTGGCGTCTGCTTATATAAGCCAGCCTACCCAGACATGTTTACTGGATACGTATTTTAGAGTGTCGTTTTATTTTATAATGTGCATTTTCTAACTGTTTAGTTTTGTTTCAGAATTTCTTTTAGGCTAACTTGCTTTTATTGGTAATTTTTTGTATGCTTTTATGCGAACCATTTAGACTATGAAGCAGTATATAAATACTGTTGAATCGCGTAAAAAATGAACTAGAGGTTAGACACATATTAGTGCTTTTAACACTAATTTTTTCCTGTAGAAGTGGAGTTTCCAAAGGGAGGGTTTTTTGAGCATGGAAGGAAATGCTGCTTCCTAATCTGCCCCTTTTCTGCTCATAGTTGACCCTTCCTGAAGGTTTCCCCACCTATATAAAAGGTGGCCTTTTTGGAGTTGCTCTTTAAAAACAAAAACAAAACCTTGCATTTCTTATCTAGCTTGGCATCCAGTGTTCTTTCTGTGAAGTAGCTGATGTGGCTCAATGTGGCCACTAGGGGGCCAGTTGTAGCGGCAGCATAGTCTTCTGTAAGCATAATTTTGGGGCAGACTTAGCTAGGGAAAAGGTCTGAACTTCAAACTTGCCCGTATTCTCCCACTCAGCCACTTTGATCTGCGGAACTGGCACTGTTAACAGGCGCCACACCATACCCATTTGCAATGGTAAGAAACCAATATTTCCATGTGGCAGCACCCGCACCTGGGAACTCCCTGCTTATTGATATCAGGCAGGTGCCTTCGTGGTACTCCTTTCAGTGCCTGCTAAAAATATATATCCGCCTATCCAGATGCCTAAAGCATGTGCTTTCCTCTGGTTTTTAGCTTAATCGTTGATTCTAATTATCTCTTTGTAAGCCCTTTTTTGTTGTTGTTGTTTAGTTGTTTAGTCGTGTCCGACTCTTCGTGACTCCATGGACCAGAGCACGTCAGGCACTTCTGTCTTCCACTGCCTCCCGCAGTTTGGTCAGACTCATGTTTGTAGCTTCGAAGACACTATCCAACCATCTCGTCCTCTGTCGTCCCCTTCTCCTTGTGCCTTCCATCTTTCCCAACATCAGGGTCTTTTCCAAGGAGTCTTCTCTTCTCATGAGGGGGCCAAAGTATTGGAGCCTCAGCTTCACGATCTGTCCTTCCAGTGAGCACTCAGGGCTGATTTCCTTAAGAATGGATCGGTTTGTTCTTCTTGCAGTCCATGGGACTCTCAAGAGTCTCCTCCAGCACCATAATTCAAAATTCTTCGGCGATCAGCCTTCTTTATGGTCCAGCTTTCACTTCCATACATCACTACTGGGAAAACCATAGCTTTTACTATACGGACCTTTGTTGGCAAGGTGATGCCTCTACTTTTTAAGATGCTGTCTAGGTTTGTCATTGCTTTCCTCCCAAGAAGCAGGCATCTCTTAATTTCGTGGCTGCTGTCACCATCTGCAGTGATCATGGAGCCCAAGAAAGTAAAATCTCTCACTGCCTCCATTTCTTCTCCTTCTATTTGCCAGGAGGTGATGGGACCAGTGGCCATGATCTTCATTTTTTTGATGTTGAGCTTCAGACCATATTTTGCGCTCTCCTCTTTCACCCTCAATAAAAGGTTCTTTAATTCCTCCTCACTTTCTGCCATCAAGGTTGTGTCATCTGCATATCTGAGGTTGTTGATATTTCTTCCGGCAATCTTAATTCCGGCTAGGGATTCATCCAGCCCAGCCTTTCGCATGATGAATTCTGCATATAAGTTAAATAACCAGGGAGACAATATACAGCCTTGTCGTACTCCTTTCCCAATTTTGAACCAATCAGTTGTTCCATATCCAGTTCTAACTGTAGCTTCTTGTCCCACATAGAGATTTCTCAGGAGACAGATGAGGTGATCAGGCACTCCCATTTCTTTAAGAACTTGCCATAGTTTGCTGTGGTCGACACAGTCAAAGGCTTTTGCATAGTCAATGAAGTAGAAGTAGATGTCTTTCTGGAACTCTCTAGCTTTCTCCATAATCCAGCGCATGTTTGCAATTTGGTCTCTGGTTCCTCTGCCTCTTCTAAATCCAGCTTGCACTTTTGGGAGTTCTCGGTCCACATACTGCTTGAGCCTTCCTTGTAGAATTTTAAGCATAACCTTGCTAGCGTGTGAAATGAGTGCAATTGTGCGGTAGTTGGAGCATTCTTTAGCACTGCCCTTCTTTGGGATTGGGATGTAGACTGATCTTCTCCAATCCTCTGGCCACTGCTGAGTTTTCCAAACTTGCTGGCATATTGAGTGTAGCACCTTAACAGCATCATCTTTTAAAATTTTAAATAGTTCAGCTGGAATACCATCACTTCCACTGGCCTTGTTATTTGCAGTGCTTTCTAAGGCCCATTTGACTTCACTCTCCAGGATGTCTGGCTCAAGGTCAGCAATATGGATGTGCGAGACATCCACATCTTTCTGGTATAATTCCTCTGTGTATTCTTGCCACCTCTTCTTGATGTCTTCTGCTTCTGTTAGGTCCTTACCACTTTTGTCCTTTATTATGGTAATCTTTGAACGAAATGTTCCTTTCATATCTCCAATTTTCTTGAACAGATCTCTGGTTCTTCCCATTCTGTTGTTTTCCTCTATTTGTTTGCATTGCTCGTTTAAGAAGGCCTTCTTGTCTCTCCTTGCTATTCTTTGGAAATCTGCATTCAATTTCCTGTATCTTTCACTATCTCCCTCGCATTTTGCTTGCCTTCTCTCCCCCGCTATTTGTAAGGCCTCATTGGACAGCCACTTTGCTTTCTTGCATTTCCTTTTCATTGGGATGGTTTTCGTTGCTGCCTCCTGTATAATGTTGCGAGTCTTCATCCATAGTTCTTCAGGCACTCTGTCCAGCAAATCTAAATCCTTAAACCTGTTCCTCACTTCCACTGTGTATTCATAAGGGATTTGATTTAGATTGTATCTTACCGGCCCAGTGGTTTTTCCTACTTTCTTCAGTTTAAGCTTGAATTTTGCTATAAGAAGCTGATGATCTGAGCCACAGTCAGCTCCAGGTCTTGTTTTTGCTGACTGTATTGAGCTTCTCCATCTTTGGCTGCAGAGAATATAATCAATCTGATCTCGATGCTGCCCATCTGGTGATGTCCATGTGTAGAGTCGTCTCTTGTGTTGTTGGAAAAGCGTGTTTGTGATGACCAGCTTGTTCTCTTGACAGAACTCTATTAGCCTTTGCCCTGCTTCGTTTTGATCTCCAAGGCCAAACTTGCCAGTTGTTCCTTTTATCTCTTGCCTCCCTACTTTAGCATTCCAATCCCCTATACTGAGAAGAACATCCTTCTTTGGTGTCACTTCTATAAGGTGTTGTAAGTCTTCATAGAATTGGTCAATTTCAGTTTCTTCAGCACCAGTAGTTGGTGCATAAACTTGGATTACTGTGATGTTAAAAGGTCTGCCTTGGATTCGTATCGAGATCATTCTATCATTTTTGAGATTGCATCCCAGTACTGCTTTCGCCACTCTTTTGTTGACTATGAGGGCCACTCCGTTTCTTTTACGGGTTTCTTGCCCACAGTAGTAGATGTGATGGTCATCCGAACTGAATTCGCCCATTCCCGTCCATTTTAGTTCACTGATGCCCAGGATGTCAATATTTATTCTTGCCATCTCATTTTTGACCACCTCCAACTTACCCAGGTTCATGGTTCTTACATTCCAGGTTCCTATGCAATATTTTTCTTTACAGCATTGGACTTCCCTTTCACTTCCAGGCATATCCGCAACTTCATCAGCTCTGGATCTACTTGTACTTGTCCTCCGCTCTTCCCCAGTAGCATGTTGGACGCCTTCCGACCTGAGGGGCTCATCTTCCAGCATCATAACTTTTATATGCCTGTTGGAGTTTTCTTATATGTCCATGGAGTTTTCTTGGCAGGGATACTGGAGTGGCTTGCCAGTTCCTCCTCCAGGTGGATCACGTTTGGTCAAAACTCTCCACTATGACCTGTTCATCTTGGGTGCCCTGCTTGGCATAGTTCATAGCTTCTCTGAGTTCTTCAAGCCCCTTCGCCACGGCAAGGCAGTGATCCATGAAGCCCTTTTTAACGGGACGCCAAAAACCACAGAGCCTAGGACTTGCCGACCAGAAGGTCGGCGGTTCAAATCCTCACAACGGGGTGAGCTCCCATTGCTTGGTCCCAGCTCCTGCCAACCTAGCAGTTCGAAAGCACATCAAAGTGCAAGTAGATAAATAGGTACCGCTCCGGCGGGAAGGTAAATGGCCTTTCTGTGCGTTGCTCTGGTTCGCCAGAAGCGGCTTAGTCATGCTGCCACATGACTGTACGCCGGCTCCCTTGGCCAATAAAGCAAAATGAGCGCCACAACCAGTCTGTCATGATTGGACCTAACGGTCAGGGGTCCCTTTACCTTTACCTTTAAGTCCTTTTTACTGATGATTTCATTGTTTTATTCTTTTTTGTAAACCATTTAGAGGTGTGGAAATTTTATGAAATAAAAGGGGAAAAGGAAAAGATAGGTGCCTATCTAGCCCTGCCTGCAGGTCCTGATCAGCAACAAAGGCAGCAGGGTCGGGCCCCCCTGTCCTCCCTCTTACCCTCCCCTCCTTTGTCCACCCACAGAAAGTCTTTGCCTCCAGGAAGGAGCTCCTGGAGTATGACCTCCAGCAGAGAGAAGCGGCCAGCAAGTCCTCCTGCTCTGCCGTGCAGCCCACTTTCACCGCCAGCCAGTACCGGGCGCTCTCCGTCTTGGGCTGCGGCCACACCTCCTCCACGAAGTGCTACGGCTGCGCCTCGGCCGTCACCGAACACTGCATCACACTGCTCCGCGCCCTGGCCACCAACGCCGCCATCCGCCACATCCTCATCTCCCAGGGACTCATCCGAGAGCTCTTCGACTACAACCTGCGCCGTGGCGCGGCCACCATGCGGGAAGAAGTCCGGCAGCTCATGTGCCTCCTCACCAGGTGCGGAGGAGCGTTGGTGGCCTTTATGAATGTCCCGAAGGGAAAAAAACGCTTTGGGCTTTTAAAATGTATTTTTTTAAAAAATGCAACTGGGTCTCCCACATCGACCTATGTGAACTTTAAAAAAAAAACACATTTTGATCAAATAATAATAATATTATTTATACCCCACGCATCTGCCTTGGTTTCTCCAGCCACTCTGGGCTGCTCCCAGCAGAACATTAAAAACACGATAAAACATAAAACATTAAAAACTTCCCTAAACGGGGCAGCCTTCAGATGTCTTCTAAAAGTCAGATAGTTAAAGAGGTGCCCCAATTTATCATGCGGGATTCATGGGTTGTCTCCAACTAAGTCCTGATCAAGAGTAGGCCCACTGAAATGAATGGACCAGTTAGTAATGTTCCTTAATTTTGGCAGTTCTGTTGTTAGTAGAACTAAACTATATATGCCTTTCTTCATAATGTTGGTAATTCCTTGGTAATTTTTCTTACGGATGGGACCCCACGCACTTCCTTTAGTGAACTAGCATTGGATTTCACAGGATATACACAAGCACACAGAAACACATGTAATGTTGACACAGACGCCTGTAAAAATAAGTGGGGTTTTTAGCGTACACTTTGCTACTTTGGTGTTTTCCTTTCCTCTGGAAACAAGAGGAAACCAACAACTCCTATTGACCCTCGGCCCTTTGCAAGGTCCCTCTGCAGCCTGTCCGAGCACCAAAGCATTCCCAGCTGCCTCACCTAAACAAGGAATTCGAGACTTGAGTTCCGCCTTGGAAGTGCAGGCTAAGCAGACCAGTTACAACTTTTGCATGACCCAGACAGTACAGGGAGGTCTTGACGACGTGTTGAGGGAGTCGGCTCAGTGTGGAGCTTTTTAACTCTGTCTTTTCTTTTTATTCTGTGCCCGTCGTGAAAACAAGGGACAATCCGGAAGCCACCCAGCAGATGAACGACCTCATCATCAGCAAGGTGTCTGCGGCTCTGAAGGGTCACTGGGCGAACCCTGACCTGGTGAGGAGGGGGTTGGGGCTTTGGGTATTTGATCTGCCTTCCGTCCCTCCCTGGCTGCATCCAAATTGGTTATCATGGAATTGTAGAGTTGGAAGGGACTTTCAGGGATCACCGAATCCAACCCCCTGCTCTGCAATGCAGGAATCGCAGCTGAAGAATCCCTGTCAGATGGCCATCCAACCTCTGTTTAAAAACCTCTAGTGAACTTGATTGCAACATTTCTTTTCTTACCTTGCCGCTCCTTGCTATCTACGGGACCGCCTCTCTTGGTATGCCCCGCAGAGGACCTTAAGGTCCATGAATAACCATAGTTTAGAGGTCCCAGGCCCTAAGGAAGTCAGACTATCCTCCACCAGGGCCAGGGCCAGGGCCTTCTCAGTGATGGCTCTGACCTGGTGGAATGCTCTGTCCCATGAGACCAGGGACCTGCAGGATGTAACCTCCTTCCATTGGGCCTGTAAGACAGAGCTATTCCGCCTGGCCTTTAATTTGAATTCAGCCTGATCTTTTATTTCCCTTCTCTTCCCTCGCCCTCCCCTTTTATGAAGATCACCCGCTCTGAGACCCCACAGCTAATTCTCCCCTGGCCTCCTCGCTGGCCCAAGTAGGACCAATTCAGCCAGCTAGCCCTGGGGATTATCTAATTGATTTTTGAATTTTGAATTTTATTGTTATTCATGTTTTTATACTGTATTTTATGCTGATTTTATAATAAGTGTTTTTAAGTGTTTTAAATTTGTTGTTAGCTGCCCTGAGCCTGGTTTTTGAACCGGGAAGGGCGGGGTATAAATAAAAATTTATTATTATTATTTATTATAAGAAGGGTTGTATCCAATGTCAGTCCTCCCCAGAGCTGGCCCGTTGAAATTCATGGACAGGACTAACTTGGACCCACGTATTTCAATGGGTGTAACAACCCTAGTAGTTTAGGGTTGCACATGTACACAGCCCAGCCCGCTTATTATCTCCAGAACAACCTTGCAAGGTAGGCAAGGCTGACAAGAGCTCCAGGGCCAAGCAGGGATTGAAAGCCAGCCGCATCCTGCTGCCCAATAGTAGCTCAGTACGCTTGTATACCTCTCCTGCGCTCACATTAAGAAATGTTCCTGTAGTCCTCGGTTGCAACTTGAGATCTCTTAGCTGTGATTCCTACATTGCAGGGGGTTGGATTAGACAATCCTTTGTGTCCCTTCCAGCTCCACAGTTCTGTGGTTCCTCTTTGTGCCAATCCTTGTTTTCAAGTTCTGCCGAATTTCTTTTGTGGGGGAGGAGAGAACCAAAGTGGGACGAGGCAGCGGTATTCTGGTCTGGCCCGCCTCTCAGCCCTGCCTTACTCTTCCTCCCCCATCCGCAGGCCAGCAGCCTTCAGTATGAGATGCTGCTGCTGACAGACTCCATCTCCAAGGAAGACAGCTGCTGGGAGCTGAGGCTGCGCTGTGGTGAGTCTTCATTTGGCAAGCAAGATGTGGAGTGTGCGCAGTAAATGGTGTTCTAAGAAAAACTGCTCCATCAAAGGGTTTTCTTGTGTGTGTTTCTTGTGGCTGATTAGCTGCTCTCCCTGTGCAAAGGTCAGAGGGGGCAGGGCTTCTGTTGAGGTAGGTGATTAGCTGTGGGAGGAGCTTATCAGAGCTTGCAGGGCAGCAGCTGAAGAAGGTGCAAAAAAGGGTTTTCTTGTGTGTGTTACTTGTGGCTGATTAGCTGCTCTCCCTGTGCAAAGGTCAGAGGGGGCAGCGCGCAGTTTGATCCATCTTTTAGATTTAGGGGAGCTAGTCTCAAACGTTTGTTGGGGGAGACCTAGGTTTTTTTGGGGGGATTTATTTGTCCTGTCTTCACGCTTTTTATGACGGAGGACCGCTGTAGTCACCCCCAACGACACGTTCTCAAGATGGAGGGTGAGGGAACAGCTGCAGTCGCCTGCGATTCCTGCGCAATGTTTGCCATCTTGCCAAAGGTTGCAGGCAGCTTTACTTGCAGCAGTTGCATGTTGATTGCCCTCTTAAAAGACAAAGTCCAGCAACTGGAGGAACATGTAGCTACGCTCCATAGAATTAGAGAGCTGGAGCTCTTCTTGGAAGCAACAGAGCACACCGTCTCCACCAAGGAGGAGACAGGGGACTCCCCTGAGAAGGAGGCTGGTTCACCAACACAGGAGCCAGATATATGGAGAAACGTGACTCAAAGAAGTAGGAGGCCCAGGGTTCGCTCTGATTGTTTAGAAATACACAATCGCTTTGAGGTCCTCTCCCCTAGCATGGAAGACGAAGAGCAGACTCCATTTGAGGATCTCTCCCTCATTACAGTCGATCAGGTATATGAAGACGAGCAGCAAAGTCAGTCCTCAGGGAATGTGCAGGCGACCTTGGAACGGACAGCTCACGGAAGAACCCCGACCAGACCTAAGAGGAGGCGTGTAGTGGTGATAGGGGATTCCCTACTGAGGGGAACAGAAGCAGTGATCTGTGGGCCTGACAAGATGTCTCGGGAAGTGTGCTGTCTCCCCGGGGCTATGATCCAAGATGTAACTGAACGACTGCAAGGAATCATAAAACCCACTGACAAATACCCCTTCCTCTTGGTTCATGTGGGAACCAATGACACTGCAAGCAATAGCCTCCAGAAGATCAAAAGAGATTACGAGGCTCTGGGCAGGAAATTGAAGCAATTAAATGCACAAATTGTCATCTCATCTGTCCTCCCAGTTGAACGCCGTGGCCCAGGGAGAGGGGGAAAAATAGTGGAAGTGAACAACTGGCTTCGCAAATGGTGTAAACAGGAACGGTTTGGATTCTTAGATCACGGATTGCAGTTTCTTAAAGATGGACTTCTGGCAAGCGATGGGCTGCACCTCACAACGGTTGGGAGGAATGTTTTTGCCAAAAATCTCAGAAACCTCATCAGGAGGGCTTTAAACTGACTAATGTGGGGGAGGGAGACAGTGCTCCTGAAGGTAGGAGTCTATCAATTGATGAAGATGATAATCCAAATGTCATAGACCGAATGGAGCAAACAGCACGCAGACCTAGTGGTGGGAGGAAAAAATCCTTAAATAAGAGACACGGGGGAATGATTAATGGACTTCAATGTCTGTACACTAATGCGCAAAGCATGGGAAATAAACAAGATGAGCTTGAGCTCTTGGTACAGCAAACTAAATATGACATAATAGGCATCACTGAAACCTGGTGGGATAAGTCCCACGATTGGAATGTAATAATGGAGGGATACAATCTATTTCAGAGAAACAGACCAGACAAGAAAGGAGGAGGAGTGGCATTATATGTCAGGGATGTGTATACCTGTGAAGAGATCCAAGATTTAGAACCTCAAAGCCAAAGTGAGAGCATTTCGGTCAAAATTAAGGGAGAGAAGAATAACAGAGACCTCATTGTGGGAGTTTACTATAGATCCCCAAGCCAAACGGAGGACATAGATGATGCCTTCCTGGAACAGATGGCCAAGCATGCAAAAGGAAGGGAGATAGTAGTAATGGGGGGCTTCAATTACCCGGATATTTGTTGGATGTCAAACTCAGCCAAGAGCATAAGGTCAAACAGATTCCTCACTGGCCTTGCAGACAACTTCACTGTCCAGAAAGTGGGAGAAGTAACAAGAGGAACAGCAATTTTAGATCTGGTCCTAACCAATGTTGAGGACCTGGTTAGTGGGGTAGAAGTGGAAGGATCATTAGGCGCGAGTGATCATGCTCTTCTGAAGTTTACTATACAGCGGAAAGGAGCAGCCAAGCATACTAGGACTCAATTTCTTGACTTAAAAAAGCCGACTTCATAAAACTTAGGGAAGTGCTGGGTGAGATCCCATGGACAGTAATACTAAAAGGAAAGGGAGTTCATGATGGCTGGGAGTTTGTTAAGAGGGAGATAGTAAAAGCACAACTTCAGGCAATACCAATGAGACGGAAACATGGAAGGTGCCTAAAGAAGCCAGGGTGGCTATCTGAAGAACTTTTAACTGAGTTAAGATTAAAAAAGGATGTGTACAAAAAATGGAAAAGGGGGGAAACCACCAAAGAGGAATTCAAACAAATAGCCAGCACGTGTAGACACAAAGTCAGAAAAGCTAAAGCACAGAATGAACTCAGGCTTGCTAGAGAGGTTAAAAGCAACAAAAAAGGCTTTTATGGGTATGTTCGTAGCAAAAGGAAGAACAAAGAAACAGTGGGGTCACTCAGAGGAGAAGATGGTGAAATGCAAACAGGGGACACAGAAAGGGCTGAACTCCTCAATGCCTTCTTTGCCTCAGTCTTCTCCGATAAAGAAAACAATGCCCGACCTGAAGAATTTGGAGCAAATGATTCAGCAGAGGAAACACAGCCCAGAGTAACTAAGGAGATAGTACAAGAATACTTGGCTAGTCTATATGTATTCAAGTCTCCAGGGCCAGATGAACTGCATCCAAGAGTATTAAAATAACTGGCAGATGTGATCTCAGAACCACTGGCAGTCATCTTTGAGAATTCCTGGAGAACAGGCGAAGTCCCGGCAGACTGGAGGAGGGCAAATGTTGTCCCTATTTTCAAAAAGGGGAAAAGAGAGGACCCAAATAATTACCGCCCAGTCAGTCTGACATCAATACCAGGGAAGATTCTGGAGCAGATCATTAAGCAAACAGTCTGTGAGCACCTAGAAAGGAATGCTGTGATCACCAATAGTCAGCATGGATTTCTGAAAAATAAGTCATGTCAGACTAACCTGATCTCGTTTTTTGACAGAATTACAAGCCTGGTAGATGAAGGGAACACAGTGGATGTAGCCTACCTTGATTTCAGCAAGGCATTTGACAAGGTGCCCCATGATATTCTTGTAAAGAAGCTGGTAAAATGCCGAACCAAGGGTGCTCATCAATGGTTCCTCTTCATCCTGGAGAAGAGTGACTAGTGGGGTGCCACAGGGTTCTGTCTTGGGCCCGGTCTTATTCAACATCTTTATCAACGACTTGGATGATGGACTCAAGGGCATCCTGATCAAATTTGCAGATGACACCAAACTGGGAGGGGTGGCTAACACCCCAGAGGACAGGATCGCACTTCAAAACGACCTTGACAGATTAGAGAACTGGGCCAAAACAAACAAGATGAACTTTAACAGGGAGAAATGTAAAGTATTGCACTTGGGCAAAAAAAATGAGAGGCACAAATACAAGATGGGTGACACCTGGCTTGAGAGCAGTACATGTGAAAAGGATCTAGGAGTCTTGGTTGACCACAAACTTGACATGAGCCAACAGTGTGACGCGGCAGCTAAAAAAGCCAATGCAATTCTGGGCCTCATCAATAGGAGTATAGCATCTAGATCAAGGGAAGTAATAGTGCCACTGTATTCTGCTCTGGTCAGACCTCACCTGGAGTACTGTGTCCAGTTCTGGGCACCACAGTTCAAGAAGGACACTGACAAACTGGAACGTGTCCAGAGGAGGGCAACCAAAATGGTCAAAGGCCTGGAAAGGATGCCTTATGAGGAACGGCTAAGGGAGCTGGGCATGTTTAGCCTGGAGAAGAGGAGGTTAAGGGGTGATATGATAGCCATGTTCAAATATATAAAAGGATGTCACATAGAGGAGGGAGAAAGGTTGTTTTCTGCTGCTCCAGAGAAGCGGACACAGAGGAATGGATCCAAACTACAAGAAAGAAGATTCCATCTAAACATTAGGAAGAACTTCCTGACGGTAAGAGCTGTTCGACAGTGGAATTTGCTGCCAAGGAGTGTGGTGGAGTCTCCTTCTTTGGAGGTCTTTAAGCAGAGGCTTGACAACCATATGTCAGGAGTGCTCTGATGGTGTTTCCTGCTTGGCAGGGGGTTGGACTCGATGGCCCTTGTGGTCTCTTCCAACTCTATGAGTCTATGATCTTCTATGATCTATGATCTATGATCTATGATGGTGTTTCCTGCTTGGCAGCGGGTTGGACTCGATGGCCCTTGTGGTCTCTTCCAACTCTATGATTCTATGATTCTATGATTTTCCGTATGGGGTATTTCCTTAAGTAGGTTCCCTATCGGTAGGAGAAAACAGAGGCCAGCCAGAATACAGTAGTACCTCGGGTTAAGAACTTAATTCGTTCTGGAGGTCTGTTCTTAACCTGAAGCACCATTTTAGCTAATGGGGCCTCCCGCTGCCACCACAAGATTTCTGTTTTCATCCTGAAGCAAAGTTCTTAACCCGAGGTAATATTTCTGGGTTAGCGGAGTCTGTAACCTGAAGCATATGTAACCCGAGGTACCACTGTATATTGAGAAGCAAAGCTGCTAGTAAGCCTGATCTTTGGATTTAGAAGAGGCAGAGGAACCAGAGACCAAATTGCAAACATGCGCTGGATTATGGAGAAAGCTAGAGAGTTCCAGAAAGACATCTACTTCTGCTTCATTGACTATGCAAAAGCCTTTGACTGTGTCGACCACAGCAAACTATGGCAAGTTCTTAAAGA